TGTCCCTACCATGACTTTTAACTTTCTAAGTTTGTGACTTGGGTTTGCAAGTTTTCCTTGTTTATTGCATTGATGTTCCCATGTAAAAGTTTTTTAGTTTGGCTGTTAAAGTTAACCTTGGGCTGAAATTATCATCTAAGTTTTTAATAACTGGTCCCAGATTTTAAAAATTGTAATAAAATTGAAACTTACTGGTTTTCTATGCCTTTTTGAACTCTTGTAATTGAGCTCTGATCACATTTTATATTAAAGTGGCTTAACACATGCCTACTATAATTGTGCAAGCATTTTTTTCTTAAGGACTGGCATGTTAATCTGTTAAACTTCGTCCTCCCTGATGAGTTGCTGTGCTGACAGTTACCTTGGTCTGTAACAGGCATAGAGGAAAGTAGGTCTTTCATGTCCATTTTCTTTGTTTCATTTTGCCTCCATGGGATCTTGGAGTTGACTGTGAGTTCTCCAAGGAGAATAGCCTTGCAAGCAAATGCCTTTTTCTGATGGGGACTGTGGTGTGAACTTGAGTTAATATTTCACCCATCACAGTGGCTGTGGCAGCCCTTTAGACCAGTTTGCTCTGACCTCATGCCCCACCTGCCAGATCTGAAATGTCAGGGCACAGAAACAGCAGAGTCAGGAAGTTGGAAGCTGTGACTGAAGTTCACAGAAGCCACAGAATAGAATGTTGGCACTGGCTTGCACCCTGCTGGCTCTGGTTGGACCACAAATGCCCTCCGTCCCCTTGAGTATGTGGGTGCTGCTGAGGAAATAAAGAGATGTCCCTAGATGCTAGGGTTTTCTCACTTCCACCGCTTTAATATATTTTCTTCCAGAAGCCTCTTAATTAATGCCCTTTCTGCGACTTTTTCAGTGGTGACATTTCCACCCCCCAATAGTATTCTCAGGAAAGCCAGGTGGTAAAATACAGGGGTCCCAAGTTTGCTCACCACTGGCGCCTTACACATCGGTGTTGAGAAACAGGGAAGTGTGGAAGTTTGATCTCATTGAATATCTTTAAGACAAAGTTGCTATCTGGGAATTTTTTTTTTTTTTTGGCAGTGCTTGGGTTTGAACTGGTCTAGAGCTTTCTAGCAGGTGCTGTACCACTTGAACCGTGCCCCCAGACCTGTTTTGGGCTTTAGTTTTTGCCAGGGTCAGCTTCAGACCTCCATCTTCCTACCTACCACTCACCATGTAGCTGTAATTGTAGATGTACACCTGCTCCCTGCTTACTGGTTGAGATGGGGTCTCCCTAACATTTTTGCTGTGCTGGAACTGAACCTCCTGTTCTCTGCCTCCTAAGTAGCTGGGATTACAAGAGTGAGCCATTGTGCCTGGCCAAACTTCAGCCTTTTTGGGGGACACTTGGTTTATTGGAAGGAGAGGACCCCAGTGAAGGTATGATGGTCCCTCAAAGTCACTGATAACTTCAGGAGAGTACAAGTTACCATGGACACTTGCTTTCTTTTCCTACTTGTGTTCAGGACTCGACCCTAATGTGTCAAGTGAGCAGGGAGTGGTACAAACCTAAGGTGTGGGTCCCTTACAAGAGGCAAGTCTGGCAGTACCAAGGGGTTATATGAGCCTTGGGTCCCTGTGGGCAGGGCTGGTTGGAATCTAGAGCCCCAGGAAGCCACTGGAGGGATCTTGCTGGCTGAGTCATGGTGATGGGCTCCTCTGAGGAGAAGAAGGGAGGGAGGAGGTTGGATGTGGGGAACTTGCCACCCCAGCAAGGAGCGGGTGTGGCAAGGGAAGCAGGTGGACGACTGCCTTTTAAATGATACCACAAGAATGCTTATCTTAGGAACAAATCCCCAAGAATTTTTGATCCAGCCATTCCTGTCTTTGGGGTGATTTAAGAATCCACATTGTTTTAGCTATTTGAAGTGAGCTGGAGCTCCACAGTCCTAAGTCTGTGCTGACCTGTGGAAAGCATTTCGCTGCCCCCTAGCTGGAGCCCAGGAAGCGGCCATCAGACACTGTAGGTTGACATGCTGCCAAGGCTTCAGGGCTGTGGCTGGAGGTTCCCTTTCTGAGGCACTCCTGCCTCTCCCATGATCCCAGTGGTTTATGCAAGATTTGCACTTAGAGAAAAAGGCTTCAAGTAAGCAAGCAGGAGCCAGGTCGGCCCTACAAAGGGACTCTGATCTTCCCTTCAGAGGACGCTTGAGTGATGAGGTCTCCCCGTGCTGAGTAGGAGGTGCCCAGCAGAGTTCTGGTTTCTTCACTCCCTTAAGAAGCCTAGCATAAGCTGGAACTGGTGGCGAGGATCACGAGGATCAGGGTTCAAGGCCAGCCCAGGCAAATAGTTCGTGAGACCCCCATCTCCAAAATAACCAGAGAAAATGGCCTGGAGGTGTGGCTCAAGTGGTAAGAGTGCCTACTTTGCTAGTGTGATGTGAAGCCCTGAGTTATAAAAAACAAAACAAAAAAAACCCTAGCATTGGGAAGTGGCTGTCATGTGGAGCAGGCTGTTGGAGAAATTGTCCCTAGGCAGGGCTTGAGGTGCCCACAGGAGGAATTTGTGGAGCCCAGGATCGGTGTATGTAGGAGATCAGCTATTTCAACTCTTCTTTGAGAGATTTCTTCCTTGGTGCTTTTATAACCAAAATACTTAAAAAAAATTTTGATTTTTGAATTGTCACTGAAGTGTAATTACAAACTGTGACCTTAATGATAGGCTCATTCTCAACAACTGCATGAATGTTCACCTTCTTAGGGATTGCTTTTCACATCAGGTGTTTTGGGTCCATTGTCCTGAAAATAAACATTTAATAGTTTAACAATAATAAGAGCTCTCATTTAAAAATTACTGGATATGTGTAATCAAAGGCTCATTTTTTTCTACCATCCAGTTTTTGTCTTGCTTTGCCTTTGGTCATTAGCTAATACCACTTCTATGCAGACTTCTGGAAGAATAGGGTAGGGGGTGCATCGTAAATGATGAGCATCTCGACTCTAATTTGTTGCAAATTAAGCAGTTGGAGCTTTTCTTGAATGATATCTTGACTTTCACAGCCTCACCTTGGGAATTGGAGCCAAGGTTAATGTGTGCGTGTGTGTGTTCACACATGTGGCAGTGGGGGTGCTTTCAGGTGCTGTGGTGGAGCAGAAGACCTATGAAAGGTTCTAATGTCCACCATTAGAGAGGGCTTGTGGGGCTGGTAAAATCTTAAGGCTTTTTTCCTGGATGGTTAGCAGTCAGGGAGACAGGAAAGAGCCTAGAAGCCCTCTGAAGATGCAGGCCCTGCTCAAGATTCCATGATCTGGGGCTCCTTTGACCTCTCTGCTCAGTGGCAGGAAACAGCCTGGACTGAGGGAGCCCTTTGGGTTCTTAGCCTACCTGCTGGCTGTGTCCTCCCCCCCCCCCACTGTGCTGATCCAACATCTCTGTCTACGGTATGCTTTAAACATGATCTGAGAGATGAAGATTCCCAGCACCCTGCACGTTGATCTTGGCAGGCTGGATAGACCTGCCTTTGCCCAGAAATGAATAAAGAAGAGCTTTTGTTTGGGGCTTGTTGGCAATTAATTTGGGTGGCACGAGGAGAAAGCTTCAGTATAAATCTAACCCTCTCAGGGCTATCCATCGCCTGTGGCCGGCAGAATGTGTTTGGGCCACCTCCCCAAGGGGTCTTTAGCAAAGGTGCCAGAACAGGGAAAACCTTCCTGGGGATGGCTCTGGGCACTGGTAACTGCTTGCCTAGATGGTGCAGGTCTGAGGGTTTGTGCTACAACATCTTCCCAGCTTTCAGCTTCCCAAGTCAGGTGGATCCTACCATCTGTGACAGCGGTGGTCTCCAGTGGCCCCCCTGCCCCGCCCCCACGTCTATGGACACAGGCGGTGAGAAAGGAAGCCCTCCCTTTACTGGCCCTTGTGGGATTAGAGAGCTGGTGATCCTGCTGCCCCTTAAACTTCGGCGTTCTTAAAGCAGCTTTAAGACCTGCTGCAACCAGACTGAGAGCGCTCACTTAAAATTCCAGTCTTGCTCCCCAGGGCTTCGGCCTCCATCTTCACCTTTAACAGGTGAAGGGCTGGCCCGGGCAAGTCCTTCCACCTCTGCGACAGGTGTCGCTTCTGAGTGGGAGTTTGGGGCGCAGACCACGCAGGGCCGCACCACCCTCTGGGGTCTGGATCTTTTGGAACTGGATCCAGTCTGGTGGGGTGTTTTGGAAGACAGCACGCGGGCAATGGGAGCAGGGGGTACCATGGGTGAGGCAGGGGTCAGCTTGCACGAATTTCTTACGGAGGAATCACACCCATAATCTTTAGAGTGTCCCTTCCTCAAGGGCGGAACACATTTTTCTTCTAATTCTCTTTGGAAAGGGGGTTAGAAGCATGTGGAAGCTGGAACCCAAGTGCGGGGCGGGTCTAGTCCGTGTGAGCCTAGCCGGGAAGCTTGCTGGCCCGCGCCCTGGAGACCCCGCCTCCGCGACCTTGGGTACCCTGGGGCCAGAGAGCCTTCGCGGGCGGGGCGGTGGCCCGGCCCAGGGCGTGCCGAGGCGGTGTTTCCTCGCCTCCCTGCGCCCGGGCCATGAAGTCCCCACTGCCGGCTCGGCCGTCGGGTCCCAGGGCACGCGGGCGCCTCGACGGCTCCCTCTATCCGAGCGCCACTGTCCCCCACGCTCACCCCGAAGTTCAGGACTAGTACCCCCAACTTGTTCTCGGCTGTTAACTAGTCGCGCTGCCGGAACGATGGGATGGGGTTGCCACAGCAACCAGACTGGACGTCACAATCCGGGCATGTGTGCCGCCCCCCCACCCCCCGCCGTGCAGCCGGCGCTGCCGCCGCCACCCTCGGCCGACTGCGGGACTCGGGCTGCGGGGCGCGGTGGGCGGAGCGGCCCGGGCTTTGCGGGTGCGGGCTAAGGCGGCCGAGAGGAAGAGGGGTCGAGACGGGGGGGTGGAGGTTTGGGGGGGTGGGGGGGGCAGGCGGCCGCCATCTTCTCGCCGAGGCCGCCTCGCCCGCCTCGCGCGCCCGTCCGGCAGCGCACGGGTTAAGGCTGGCACCGCGCCCGGCGGGAGGGGGGGCGCCCATCTCCCCTCCCCCCCGCGCCGGGCATGCGGGGCCCGCTGGGCACCGAGGAGGAGCTGCCGCGGCTGTTCGCCGAGGAGATGGAGAACGAGGACGAGATGTCAGGTGAAGGGACGCCCCGGGGCTGGAGCGACTGGGGCGCCGAGCCCCGAGGGCCCAGGGTCGGAGCGCGCGGGCGGCGGGGGCGGCGCGGCCCGGGCTGGCGCCGCGCGGGAGGGGCGCCCGGGCTGCGGGCTGCGCTCCCGCCCTGCTGGCGCCGCGCGGCCAAGGGCGCGGGGCTGGGCGAGCGCCGGGGCGCGGCGCGCGGGCGGCCAAGGGCGGGGCGCGATCCGGACCCCCGGCCGCGGCGCGAGCTCGGCTGACCGGAGGATCCGGGGCAGGGGCCTGCGCGGGGCGCCCCGGCGGGGAGGGGGCGCGGCGCCGCCGGGGTCAGCCCGCGTGCCCTTGAAGGGGGCGGGAATCGCGCTCGCTGCTGGCGCCGCGCACCGGCGCTCTCGCCCGGCCGCCGCGCGCCTCGATCCTGGGCGCCGGCAAGCGGGACCCGGCGCCCGGCCCATGTCGGCTCCAGGGCGGGCTGGGTGGGGCCCGGAGCGGGGCGACGAACCGTCATGCGTGGGGATCTGGAGCGCGCCCGGGCTGAGGCGGCTTCTCTCGGGGCTCCCGAGGGCTCCGTGCTGGGGCGCGCGGACTCTTGACTCCCGCTCCCCTTCCCGGCCGCTGGTGGTGTGGCCACCGCTCCCGAGCACTTTGCCCGTGCTGCCGGTGTGCTCTTGCCGCGCGCTAGTGTCCGCCGCCCAGGGTAGTGGCGTTCCCAGCCCACCCTGCTGCTTTGGCTACGGGCCTGGCGCCCCAGGGCCACCGCCCCTGCCCTTGCCATGTCTCTCCTTTTAGCTGTCTCAGAATTCATCATAAATAGAGCTTATGCGTCAGGGGTGCTTTGCAGGATCGTTCTTCAGCCAGCTGCTCACCATTTGTTCCACGTCTCCCCTCCTGGCCCAGCCTGAGGGTCTCACCTTACCTTCCAGCCGCCCGCCCTCCCTCCCTTCTAGGACACTGTATTACTTCTCAGCTGCCCAACACCAAGTCTGTGGCCCCTTCTGGACTTCTGAGGGCCTTGGAGGCTGGAGGGCCCTCTTTGGCCCAGAAATGTGCACCTGGCCTTAAGGAATGTCTCACCCAGGGGTGACAGTCCACAAACTGGCACCCCAACTCCTGTTATGCAGGAGACAAGCAGCTGCTCCCATGCCCACTATCTTCCCGGTGAGAAAATTCTAACTGAGAAGGTGGCCACACCCCCGGCCCCCAGTCTCCCCTTGTTTGGGGCTTTGCTTAGTGGCTTTGATGCTGTGATTGGGGTCTCTGCAGGAGCCTGGCCCTCACCTTGTCTTTCAGCTGGGCCAAGTTGGCAAAGACCTGGCCGAGGTGAGGGGAGTAGGGTTGGGGTATCCCCATGTGGGGCGGGGTTGCTTGGGCAATCATTGACTGCTGCGTTCCCAGGCTGGTGGAATCGGGCCATTCTCTGGAGGGGAACACAGAGGCTAAGGCAAGTGCAAGGAAACCTGGGGCTCTTTTCTACCCGGGAGTCTGGCTCCCTCATAAGCAGTTAAATGGTTTCCTCAGTGAAGTTCCTGGTAGTATTTGAGGTGTGGCCCTTTGTGGTATTGACAGGGGCAGTGAACAGTTGAGTGTGTATCAGCAGGTCCAGTTCTGGGACTTCAGGCCCCCTGATGGTGTCCTCTGTCCCCCTTTCCTGCTTTTCCTCTGGCTCTCCCAGATTTTGTTAAAGTGCAGAACTTGAGGAAGGGAGGAGGCCTGGGGTTCGTCCAGGCTGGGGGCACACAACTGACTGTTGAGACCAGAGGGGCTGAGCTTTGCTCAAAGTCTCCCACTGGCACCTTGTTCTCCCCCTCCCTCCTGGGCTGGGGAGGTTGTCCCCAAGGCCTCCGGAGTGCCCCTAAAGGCCCCCAGAGAAGCCACCCTACTCCAATCCCTGTGGCTTGGGAATTGGTTCCATCCAACAGTCACCGCAAATCTCTGTTCCCAGTCTCTAACTCCTTTCCAGGTCCCTGGTCTGAACCTTGCCCTCTCTGGTCCCCTTCAGAACCTCCCAGCAGTTCTCACTCCCCTCCCCCAAGCCAGACTCTGAAATTAGAGCCCAGACTCCCTCCCATCCCCCACCTCATCTTTCCCATGGCCCTTGTTCACACCCAAGCATCCATGCTTCTGGAACACTGCAGGCTCCATCCTGCCTGTGATCCTGGCTGTGCCCTCTGCTTGGCTCCTTTTCTCCCAGGTTTCTCTTGGACCATGTAGGTCCCAGCTCCAGAGAGCCAGGGCAGAAATCCTTGATCTTCTAAGTGTGGCCCCATTGCATTCACTCCCATTTTAATGGTTTCTTTTCTTGGCAGCACTTCCTGCTCTCTGAAATACTGTCAGTCTGCTTCTGTGTCCATTGGCTCCACCCTTAAGTGAAATTCCCTTGACCACCTGGAGCTGAGGGTGCCCAGGAGATGGTTGTGGTCTGAGTGACTGAGGTTGTGGGACGCTGTGTTTTCCTTGCCCTCTGGACATGATGACAGCCCCATCGCAGGCCTCATGTCTCTCCTGCAGGACTGGTCCACTACTCCTGTGTCCACTAACCCCTCTGCAGTTTGGGTCCAGGTCCAAGAGAGTGACCCCCATGGACCGGAGCCAGCTAGCTTCAGAACATGGCCGGAGAGCCAATATTTTGGAAGCAGTCATACTAACTTTGGACTTGTTACTCTGAAAGCATTTTTAATTTGGACTGCTCTGCCTCTCACCTCCCCCTCAGAGTGGCTCTTGCTTGCTCTGCTTTCTACATGGAGGGGGGGGCATCCTGACCAGCTTTCTAGCTTTATGGCACGTGGGTGTGTCTGTTCCAAGAAGGAAAGTGGGGTGGGTTCCCACTTCTTCTGGATCAGGAACCAGCAGCTGCCAAGTTGTCTAGGGAATTGGAAGGACTGGTCAAAGTGAGGGCTCAAGAAGTGGATGTCAGGGGGTGTGTCTGAAGTGGTGAAGCACCTGCCTAGTAAGTTTGAGGCCCTGAGTTCAAAACTCAAGTATCAGAAAAAAAAAAAGGCCTGGAATCCCAGCTCTGCTCTTGTTAGCTCAGTGGTCTTGGGTAAGCTCCACAGTCTTCTACCTCAGTGTCCCCACTTGTAGAATGGGACATAGCACTAGCTACCTCATAGAGGGTTATTATGAAGACTACTGAGATGGTGCATGTGGAACATTTAGGTCATAGTGCCCAGCACATGGTAGGTGTCCACTAAACTGTAGCTCTTATAATTAGCACCATGCAAGGTGGGCAACTGTTCTGCCTCCCCAAGGAAATGCTTCCAAGACATGCGTTCCGATCCCGTAAGTCAGAGGAGGAGGAAGGGCCCCCCTGGGCAGGAGTAGGGGCTGGGAGTGAGAAGCCTGAGGTGGGGGTAGAGGGACGAAGGAGAGGGCCTGGCCCTTCCAGTCTTTTCCTCAGGAGATTTGGCTTCAGGACCCGTTAGGGCCTCTGTTGGGTTGGGCAGGGGCCGGGTCCCTGGCTGGTTGGTCCAGCCCTTTCTCAATCACCAGCCAAGCTGGTGAGGCCAGGTTCTCTTCTGGCTGGGCAGTGTGACTACTCTGGCTCCAGGGATACTTGGCTGGCCCATGCCTCCCATCCCACAGGTCTGGCACTACTGCTTGAGCATCCTAGGCTTCCTCAGCCTCATGGGAAGGAGAGAATGACTGTCATGATTCCCAAAGGCCCATATTTCCTCAGATAACCCCTCTGAAATGCAGGGTTGGGGAATGTTCTAGGGAGGCTGATTCTATTAGTCTTTTTGGGAGGAGAGAGGCAAAGGAACCAGAAACTTTCACTGGCCACTTGGCTAGTAGGTTGTTCATTCTCAAATTGTTTAAGGCCAAGATTCATCTGACATTTCATCATTTCAATAATTACCCATTCATGTATTCATTCATCCATCCATATATCTATTCAACCACCAAAACATCTACTTACCTACTTATAAAACCAACCATTTACCCACCTTCTACCCATGTATCTACCATCTGTCCATCCAGCTGCCACCCACACATTCATCTATCTATCCGTGTACTCAGCATCCATCCAACATTCGTACAGCCACCATCCATCCATCTATCCACCTACATCTATCCATTCACTCCACATCCACCCACCTACATCTATCCATTTGCCCACCATCCGCCCACTATCCATCCCTCCATCCATTCACTCAGCCACCATCCATCCATACATCTGCCTGTTACCCATCCATATACCCACCCACCCAAGACAGATTTCTTGAGTATCTTGTCTGAACACAGTGTAACTTTCTGGGGCTCTTGCAGCAAAAGCCTTTGAGACCTTCTACTTCATCTTGGTGGCTTTGTCTATATCTCCCTCCCCCTCCTTGTCTCTTTCTTTCACTATTCCCCTCTGGCTCCAGATTTTCTTTCTTTCTTCTCTCTTTATGTCTGGCATCTTTGTCTCTCTTTTGTCCCTATCTCTTCCTGTGCCTTCAGGGTTGTCTCCTTATGCCCTCTCTTCTTTGCCTCTTTTCTTGTGCCCCACCTTATGCCCCAGGCATGTCTGGGAGCCACTTCCTGCCTGCCCTGGACCCTCCTCAATCTCCCAGGCCCCAGTCACTTAGGGTAAAAGCCTCACCTACTCCTCTCCCTCTCAGGACTGATGCTTTCCCTTGATGAGACGCCAATGAGATGATGTCTGGGTTTTGTTAAATGTCATAAATAAATTATTAATTGCCTCTTGGGCAAGAGTACTCCCCCCACCACTTTCAGCATAGGGCCTGTGTGGGGAGGTCCAAGGACTAAAGGGAACTTCAGTTTGGGCTCCTCCTTGACCAGAACTCCTAGTCCCACCCTGTCATTTCCTCCTGGGCTCCTTCTGGGCACTGCATGGCACCTTTCATTCACAGCTCTAATTCTCTCCATCACCCTGGGAAAAGGTTACAGTGTCAGATCCATTTTACAGATGATAAAACTGGCTCAGTGGGGGAGGATTTGTGGGACCACCCCCAGGAAGGGGAGGTGGTTTGAAGCCCATGTGCTGTCCAGTTCCCTCCCTGCCTCAACCAGGTAGGCTTGTTCCCTGCTCCCAGTTGGGTTTGGGGGCTGGGAACAGAAGCAGCCCCTATCCCCAGGCTCTGGGGAGGATGGTGGACACTGAGCTGTTCCCATCATTGGCAAATTTGCCATCCTTGGACCCTGGCGATGGAGCTCTTGTCCCACCTCCCGGCTCAGCAGTCCATCCCCAGTCTGTCTGCACCAAGTCAGATGACCTAAGTTTTCCCTCCACAGTCTAGACTTTTCTTTACTCCGATCAGCTGAGGTTGCCTTCTGGCTCTACCACTCCCCAGGGGAGGTGGGGCCTGGAGCCTGGCAGGTGGACTACCCCTGACTTCCCTGCAGGGCTCTTGTGATGTCCAGGTCTGGAACAGACCTCAGTCACCTCAAAGTGTCTCCAGAGCACATCCCCGAGTTTGGCACACTGGGGATACTATTGAAGTGCTAGATTCTGGGTGGGCCCAAGGCCTGGAAGGAAGGGACAGGGGAGGGACACACATGATGCCAGAAGTCACCTGCCTGAGTTCTTATGTGGTTTTCCCACCTGCTAGCTGTGGAAAGGAATTGTGGGCAAGTTGTAAAGTCTTCTGAGACTCAGTTTCCCCATCTGCAAATGGTGGCTACTACTTATCTCCTAGGGTTACTGTGTGGGGTGGATGAATGGACATAAGTTAATCACTGTTACGTGCCTTGTACCTTTCTACAGCACCACCATTGTAATGTATTAACCTGGAAAGGGCCACCCAGCTTGCTGGGCTGCAGCCTGGGTCCTGCAGGCCTGAGCTGGGGTGTGTGCTAGCCAGGAGGTGGGAGAGCTCAGGAAAAAGATGCAGAAGGTTCCTGTTTTTGGCCTGCCAGACTCTGTTTCCACCATGTCCCCACCCCATCTTCTTCCTGTCTCTAAAGAAGCTTCTTCTGCCCCTCTCTGGGCCTGCTCTGGCTGGGCAGCTCAGGAGGTAAGATATAACCAGGCTAGCGGACCTAGTTATAGCTGGCTTGGATTGATGGGGTCTTAGGCCCTGAAGGGGCAGGGCTGGTATGGGAGAGCACAGTCAGGCAGGCCAGAGGGCAGTGGGACAGCCATGAAGGGCCAGGAGTTGGTAGGATAAGGAGTCATGAGAATGGGCCATTCTTCCTCTGGAGCCCCAACTGTGGGACAATGGGGCCTTACCACTGACCACATGCTCTGTGTCTCAGAACCCTCTGCTTCTCTGCCCTGTCCCTGTCACTGGACACAGGACTGTAACTGATGGGTGGCTGATGGTGGGATCATACCTGGCTTTAAAAGGCTCAGGGGCTGTTGCAGAAGAGGGAGAAGAGGGTTCAAGTGGGAGGAGAAGAATCAGGTAGTGGGGGGCAGTGGCACAGAGGACCAGGCCTGAGGTGTCCTCAGGGCCACCAGAAGCTGTATAGGAGCAAGAAAGAACTGTCCAAGATAGAGGTGGGCAGGGCCAGGTCCTCATCCATGTGTGCCAACTCTGGAACCTGCCTGGAGGAGGACTTTATCAGGCAAATGGCCCTGGGCCAAGAGATCTTCTTGGCATTGGAGGATGAGTCTGACCATTGTCAGAGGGCTGGACTTTGTCCTCTGAGACCTGCCCAGGGGTTCCCTCTTGCCCTCCTCCTCACCCGTGGGCAGATCACAGCCTTCTTCCAGTTCCCGCCAAGCCACCTGTGCATCCCCTTTGTCCTGCTGTCAGTTGGGGACTAAGTCTTTCTAAGTCTGGGGACTGCCCTGCAGGGAGGGGACAGGGGACAGCCTGGAGGAGGCAGAAGGGAGAGGCCCCCCTCACGATTGCATCAGCTCAGAGCCGGTTATATAACCAGTGTTGAGAACTGCCAGGGATGGGGTGGCTCTGCCTGGGCGGTCTTGGTAGTGTCTGGAGAGTGGACAGGTATAGATGGACATCCCCTTGGCTACCCTAGCCTGGCTCCCTGCCAGCCCTGACCCTGCTGCCCAGATATCTCCACTCCAGGTGGCTCTAGGGTCCCTGTGAACACTTTCAGCTGCTGTGCCACCTCAGAGCTCTGAGGGAAAGGATGGGGCCAGTTCTGTCACCCCTGGGCTCAGCCAGGGTGCACCTGGGGTCTGGCCCATGGAAGCCCAAATCTGAGGTGGCCCCTGCTGCCCATTCCCTTTTGCCTCAGAGCCCTGCCCATGCCACTGCATCTGTGCTTTCCACACTGATTTTTTTTTGCCTCACTGGTGTCCCTCTCTGCCTGTCAGAACATACTGCACTGGTGGCATGCCCTCAGACCACACACAGTCCACCCCTGCTCAGGCCACCTCCCCAGGCAGCTTCCAGTCTGGCCTGGACCCTTCCTCCTCCGTCTTTGTGTTTTTTTGGCTGCCCTTTGGTATTCCCACCCTCTCAGGATGGTAGGGACTAGGACTCAGACATACCTTGCTCCATTCATGGGCCTTGCTGTGCAGGCAGTGGAGAGGGGTGGTACAGAGGGATGCCAGAAAGTGGTGCAGCCCCCACCTTGCCCTGGTAGTGGTACACAAGTGACCTGGCTCTGTGGGGTGCAGGGGTGGGAGGAGGGTCTGCTTGACCAACAGAACCACCAGTGCTCTCTGAGATGGGGTGTATGTGGCTTTAGCTGCACCACAGTGCCTGTGGGACCTCCCCTTCTCCCTTGGGACTCTGGGGAAAAGGGGTCCCAGGCTGGTGGGTGGATCTGTGTGGAACACGGGAGGTGGACATAGGTGTGTCCTAGTGTACACACATATCTGTGAGCTTGTGTGAGGCTGTTGTGTCTGTTACGTGTGGTCTCCATTGTGTGATACAGGGGTCAAAAGATTGACCAGCCACAATGATAGCAATGAAGACTTCTGAGGAGCTGGGCACCGGTGGCTCATGCCTGTAATCCTAGCTACTCAGGAGGCAGAGATCAGGAGGATGGTGTTTTGAAGCCAACCCGGACAAATAGTACCTGAGGCCCTATCTCAAAAAAACCATTCACAAAAAGAGGCTGGTAGAGTGGTTCAAGTTGTAGGCCCTGAGTTCAAACCCCAGTACTGCAAAAACAAAACAAACAACCCCCCCAAACTTCTAAGGGTCCCCTTTTGTATGAATATCCTTTGGGCACGCCTGGACCTCTCATCCTCAGTGTCACCAGGATGGGGTCCTATGAGACAGCCTATAGCTCACTGTGTCTCCCACCCAGATAGATCCTGTGGGTTCCTCTTCCTTCTGCAGTGCCTCCCCTGCTGCTCACTGCTCATGAGCACAGGGCAGGATGAGCCGCCAGGGGTGCTCATACCTCAGGCTGGTGCTCTCTGGCCTTTTGGAGCTTCTTCCTTCTGAAAGCCTCCTTTGCCTCTGTGGGTGGACATATCTCCATTCTGGATGGTTTGTTTCTTGCTCTGTGCCTCCCAAGTGCACCCTCCTAACCTCCCCGAAGTGACCCATGCTTGGTCTCTAGGAACCCTAGGTTTACCTGTGATTTCACCAGTGGGAGTGAGGTCACAGCTTATTGTGTAAATGGCAGGGGTCACACGTCATGCCCTCATGGTGGGAGCTCCCCTCCTCTAGGTTGGAGGCAAGCAGGAGCAGGACCCCCTCTTGCCTTTAGGGGATGGCATAGAGCTCACTGCCAGCTTCTTCAAAGATACCCACCTCCTAAGCACACCCTGCTCCCCTAGTCTTTTGAAGCCAGTGAGGAGATTCAGGATTCTTGGGCAGCTTCTAGAATGTGGTTGGTGTGGCGCCTCTCTGGAATTACTCTTTTTTTCTGGGTGCCCAGCTGGGACGTGCTTGCATCCTGTTACCTGTGTGTGTCTGGGGTGGGGGGTGTGTATCTGTGTGTGTATGACATTCGCCATTCTTTAGGGGAGGAAAGGAAGGCCAAGAGAGTGAAGTGACAGGATGCCATCCTCTAGAGAGGGCATTCCTGTCTTTGCTGAGTCTGAAGAGGATGCATGGCCATGAGTGGTGTGGATGGGTGCTGGTGGGCCAGGGGTTGCAGTGGTTCTCCTTGGGCTCTGTGGCTGATCTTCCTCCTTCTGACTCTTCCAGAAGAAGAGGATGGTGGTCTTGAAGCCTTTGATGACTTTTTCCCTGTGGAGCCTGTGAGCCTTCCCAAGAAGAAGAAGCCCAAGAAGCTAAAGGAGAGCAAATCCAAAGGGAAGCGGAAGAAGAAAGAGGTGAGCGGCAGTGGGCGGGTGGCACAGGAGTCAGGCTTGGCTCCTGACCTTGGATGAGGCTTTCTTGAGAGCTGAGTGTTGGGGGAGAACACCAAAGTAGCCCACAGCGAAAGCATCGTGTGCAGAAACCTTTCTGAGACGGAGCTAAAGTGTCGTGTTTCTGGGGCTGAGGAATCAAACCCAGAGCTGGCCCCTTGCTCGGCAAGCACTCCATCCCATGTGAGCCACACCCCGGGCCCTTGGGTTTGTGTTTTGCTTTTGAGAAAGGGTCTTGTTAACTTTGCTTGGACTGATCTTGATCTCAAAATCCTCCTGTAAGTAGCTGTGCTTACAGGAGTGCACTGTCATGCCCAGCTCCGTGCTGTTGTTTTTCCTCCTCCTCCCTCTTTCTTGTCTTCTTGTAGCTCAGGGCTTTGCCCTTACAAAGCAGGCACTCTGGGGCTCTACCCCTTGAGCAATATCTCCAGTCCATTTTGCTGTAGTTATTTTGGAGATGGGGTCTTGTAAACCATTTGCCTGGGCTGGCCTCCAACCTCGATCCTCCTGATCTCAGCCTCCCAAGTAGCTTGGATTTGCAGGCATGAGCCAGTAGTGCCCATCTATAATCCGCTTCTTAAACAGAAGGTCAGAGAGTCATTTTTTCTTTCTCCCACCCTGGCTGCCCTGTGCTGGGACACCATGATGACAGCATTTGTTATTCCTTTGTTGCTTGCACTGTGTGGTCATTGACTGCCTGGACCTTGTCACTGTCACAGTGTATTGTCTTCCCCTGGCTGCTCTGTAGCAGGCCTGTCTCTCCACGTGAAACTTGGAGAAATTAAGGAAAGTCAGAGATGCATAGGGAAGCCCTGGAGAGGAATGGGCACCTGTAAGTATTGTGCTTGGTGACCTCAGTGATCCTGTCATTTTCTTCCTGGTTCTTTCTTGGTGGTTCTGGGTAGGACAGGTTGTGCCTCAGGGTGGCTGAGGAGTGAGGGAATGCATTTTTCTGCATGCTGTCACTTGCTTCATGCTGACTCACTCCATCCTTGGGTCAACCTTGGAAGTCAGTGGGACAGGGAAGATGATTGCCCTCGGCAGACAGGGAAATTGAGGCAGATTCAAGTTCTTTCCTTTTGGATGAGAACCCTGGTATGCCCGTTTTCTCACTATGCTAAGTGCAACCCTTTAGGCAGCCCTGCAGGGAGGATAGGAGTGTGCACTTCATTGGATAGATGAAGAAGTGGAGTTGTTCGGAGGCCACTTAAGGCAGTGACAGCCTGCGGGTCACTGTGGGCCTCTTGCCTGTCCCTTGAGCGAGATGGGGTTGCTAGAAGGCCTTGAACAGATGGGGGACTTGAGGAGACTCAGCTCTGTCTGGTTCCCCTGATGGCTCCAGGGCACAGGCCGGGGCAGAAGTGAGGAGAGCCTGGGGAGGGGGCGATGAGGGTAAGGGGAGGGGAGAGTGCCACCTGTGCCTTTTGAGCCTTGATTCTGCATCCCCTTTCCCCTCCCTTGCTTGTTCGGGATACACCTCTGATGGGGGTCAACAGGCGCCTTCATGTGACACATGGGATGGAGAAGGCTGGGGACACCTGGGGGTCCTTAAACTCCACTTGAAGCCTATTTCCTCTTGTCTGGGAGGGGTCATTCTGCAGGACAGAGCCACCCTGCACTGTGCTTCTGGTCCCCATGGTAGTCACCTGGGGCTGGCCTGTGGGGAGCTCAGGGACTGCTGCTTTCGGGGAAGTGTCAGCCTTGGCTCCTGGCCTGAACCACATCAGCGTCCGCGTCGTCATCCTTTCTTCGAGTTCTCTGTTGAGACGGACAGTCAGCATCTCTCATCTGGCCTGTCACCACATCTGCCCCCGTCTCCTGCTCCTGCTGCTCCTGCATTCCCCATCCCTCCTGGGAGAGCTTCCTGAAGGATACAACTGACCACGCCCCACAGCCTCCTGGTCCAGACTCCTAAACTGTGCCCCAAAGGCCACCCCTTGAAGCCCCTGTCTCAGCCCCTCTCCCTGCTTTGTACCACACCCTTCCTCTCCTGTGTTGGGTGTTCGTGTGTGAATGTGCAGATGTATACCACCCTTTCTTCCCCTGGAGAGACCCTGGGACCCCCTGACCAACTCCACATCTGTTAGCTTTATCCTAAGTCTGGTGTAATGTCCAGGGCTGGTGTGTGTCTGTTCCCTTCTAGGACACCCACCCTTTACCATGGGGCCAGCCTGTAGGCTTCACCTTCCATAGGGTGAAGGGAGGGCCCCTTGACGAGGGACAGGTCGATGAGGGTCCTTATTCGCAGGCCTGTATTCTGAGGCTCTGGCATCTTCCCAGGGGTCACAGGAGGTGAAGCTTCCTGTCCCCATTATCCATATGGGAAAGTGGGGGCAGGAGGGGGAGGGGCCCTTGTGCCTCGAGGCTCCCCCTGGAAGATGTTGAGAACCAACTCTTTTGACATGGGGCTCCTGAACCCCACCACTCATAACTGCCATTGGCCCCTATGGTTTGTCCGTGACTGTGGATAGAAGGTTCTGGACAATGAGGTCCTCCAGGGATACAGGCTGTGATCTCTCATTCTGCTGCCATCACTGCCCTCACGCCCTCAGCCCTGGGCTCTGGTCCTGGATCTTGTGGCCAGCTGTAGGCAGGGGCTTCTACCTGGTGCTCAGGTCTCAGGCCTTGGGTTGCATCTGCCCAGTTCCAGATGCAGACTCTGGCTGGAGCCTAGGTGGTACAGGTACCTGTGGGAACCCTACTCCAGGTGGGGCCATCTTTGTTTCCTTCCCTCCTGGGCACAGGGTTCAGTTGTAGCCCTGGCCAGGAAGGAGGCTAGAGGTGGGCAGTGTCCAGACAGAGGCAGGGGTGGGAGGTTGCTGGGGTCTGGGTGGTCTACAGGGCCAAAGAGGGCTTGTCTCTGCCCCTCTCTCCCCAGGACCATGAACAAACACATTGACCTCTTTTTCTCCAGCTGGCCTGGGTCTTCTCCAGCCCTTCTTTCTCTGTGACATGATTTTGTTTTTTCTGGGTACTGGCTCTTTTTGGCTCTTGTCTGTCTTCTGTCTCTCACTGAGTCTTACATACCATCTTTCCTTCTGGCCTGTGCTTGGCCTCTCTGCCTTATTAATCTCTCATCTCTTCCTCTATACCCCTGGCGTTTTCTCTCTCTCTCTCTCTCTCTCTCTCTCTCTGTTTCTTTTTCCCCTCCCTGCCACTTCATTTCCCTCCCCTTTTCTTTCTTCCGTTCCCTCCCCTCTTTTCTCTACTAAGATGCATTGCTACTGGGGTGGATAGGAGGTCCCCAGATGACAGGTTTCTAAGGTGACCCTTGGGCCAGGGCTGTCCTCTTCTCTGTGTCACTGAGAACCTGGTTCTGAGCAGCTGTTGGATCTTAGGGGTGGGGGTCTGGAGCATGCTGATTTCCAGAGAGGAGGATCCTGACTGCTCATACCCCCACCTCCACCCTGCAGACCAGTTCATGGGCAGGGGAATTTCACCCCTTTGCCCCTATCCATCTCCCACCAGTTGACCCCAGGATGAGGCTCAGTGGAGCTCCAGGCAATGTTTTTTTTTGGGGGGGGGGCAGGCAGCAAGTCATGGATTCTTATTTACATAAAATAACCAGGCTGTAGCTGGAACCTGAGCATATGTAGATGAAGCTCCTTGTCAGACCAGAGCGCAGGAGGGAGAAATGATTTCAACCTGTACTGCAGCGGTTACCATAGCAACCAATTATTCAGTGCTAAATTATAACTGTTTATAACACTCGTGAATGGGAAGGCTCATATTTCATTCTTTCTTTTTCCCTCTCAATCTTGAAGGACCCCAAATGGAGAATGACCAACTGTCCGAGTCTTTCCTTTGAGTTTAAATACCTTCTTTTTCTGTGAATGCCGTGTGTGTGTGTGTGTGTGTGTGTGTGTGTGTGTGTGTGTGTGTTGGGTGTAGAAGGAGGGGGAAGAGGGAGAAAGGAGACCTTGATCCAGAAACATCTCTGGAGCTGGGAAGGAGGAAAGGTGACAGGGACTGTCCATTTGGGGACCCCAGAGCTGTGGCTGGCATACCGTGCCCTCAGTGGGGAATGGGGCTCCAAGCAGAGCCTTCCCCACCCTTTCCTTCCCCCTCCCCCAGCCTGGGCGTGGTGTCTAAGATGCTTTGCAAGTAGATTCTACGTCATCTAAGATTCTTCCCTCAGCCGTTGGAGCATCCCCCACAGTCACGCCCAGGGCTGCTGCAGCAAAGGACAACGCCAAGGTCATAGACCCGACTGCCATCAGCCAGAGGTGTGGTTTGCTTGGTCTCAGAGCTCAGGGCTCAGGTTGGTGCATGAGCTGTATTAGGGAATTACTGGTCTGTGCCTGGGTCCCCTCCTTTGAGTGGGGTGTAGCCTACAACTTTCCTTATAAGTTTCAATGTACTGGATGGTCACTCTGGTTCTCCATCCTCCTCCTCCTCCTTCTTCTTTCTTCTTCATCTTTTTTTTTTTTTTTTTTTGGTGGTACTGGAATTTGAAATCAGGGCCTCACACTTGGTAGGCAGGTCCTCTACCACTTGAGCCATTCTGCCAGCCCTTTTTTTGTGATAGGGTCTAATGAACTACTTGCCTGTCTGGCTTCGAACCATGATCCTCCTGATCTCTGCCTCTTGAGAAGCTGGATTACAGTGTGAGCCACTGGTGCCTGATGTCTCTTCCCTTCTTACCACCGCATGGTAGTACGTCCCCCACGTCCTGCTGACGGTCACTCACTCTGTGAGCCGTCTTCAGAACCTTTGTAGCTATTCCTGTTGCCCCTTTCTGTACAGGAAAGTGTTTTCTTGGTGGTGGTGAATAGGCCTAGTTGTAGAGGTGTGGAAACAGCTGGGTGTGAGTTCTGCTATGGTTGCAGACTTGTTCTGCACCACTGAGGTGGGGGGGTGAAGGGAGGACTGGGTTGAGATCAGGTGGGCGTGGGGTATGTGGGAGTGGAGGGGTGGCCCAGGCCCTGTGGGCTTCATTTGGTGGAGGCAGGAGGCAGAACAGAGAGGAGGAAGAGGGAGTGGGCTAGGTGGCAGAAAGTCAGAGCCTTCTCTTCAGCTGGGTTCTTCCTGCTTTGTGAAATGGGAGGTTGGTGTGTTGCCTTGGTGGGTGGATGCAGACCCACTCTGCTGGGAATATAGCTCATTCTGCTCTCCTGCCCAGCTCTGGAGTGGATGCTAGGTGAACCCTCTTGTTCGAGCCTGCATTATGTTTTCTGCCCCCCTCCTCTCCCCATGTGCTGTGCACACGCTGCTTCTCCTGCCAGTCAGTGCAGTCTTCTGGAGGCCCTTCTTTCTGCCCTCCTACTGCCCTCCACTCCTTCTGGGTCCTGCATTCTGAGCTGTGCTGGCTACTCCTGGTCTCTTCTGCACCAGGAATGTGGTGGTGCTTGCTTCCCGGCAGCTGCTCAGGCCTCATTGCCTGTCTATACCACTCTTGTCCGGTTTCTAGCATCTTGTGCAGTTGGTTCTAGCCCAGTGCCAATGGACAGAAATGACAGAGATAAGACAGGTTCATCCCCTCCAGTCTTTCCTCCTGGCAGTATCTTTGGCTTCTAAGTAGACTTGGGGTCATCAAGGGTCATGGGCATTTTGGGGCATTGCCAGGGAGGAAAGGTCTCTTGCACTGGTAGTGTTAAAACTAAAGGGCGGGGATAGTTCTGAACACAGGATGAGGCCTGACCCTGGCAACCTGACTCTTCTGTCTCTGAGCACAGAGCATGACTTCTATGTGTTTGGCTGTCTCCCATGTCAGAAAGGTTCAAGGCCTTTTTGGACACGATCTTGGTTCCTCTTACCTTCCTTTGTGTGCTCCCATTGTACAGATAAGAAGGCTGAGGGTCAGGTTGACTTGCCAAATCCCAAGCTAGAAAGGAGCAGAGCCTCCCAGGGACCCTAAGGACCCATAGGTAGGCCATGCAGGTATCAGCCTTGTGTCTCCTGGCCTTATCACTGGCCCAACTGATCAAGGGCTATCCTTAGGGCTGGCCTGTGGCCTCTGTCCATGGTGCTGAAAGTCCATGGCTGCCTCTCCCATTTACTTTTTGCTGGGATGACGGCTGGGGTACAGTGTGCCTCTCAGGTCCTCTTGAAGAATGGTCTCTTGGTGCTAGATGACCTCAGACACCCTGGGGGAAATAAAGGTCCCTGTATTACCCCACTTCCCCCAAGGACTTTTTCAGAACCTGGGAGCTGTGACCCTAAGGCTGCACATTGCCACCAGCCCTGGCAGCAGGATTCTGCCCAAGCCAGACTCAGGCAGCAGTTAGGACTGGGAACTTTCCCTGGGACCTGCTCATGGCTGGGTCAGTATTCTAGGAAACACCTGGGTTCCAGAAAAGCAAGGAGGCCCAACTCTTGCCAACTGCTGCCGTCACTGATGTGCTGATTAAAGGACAGAAGAGGTTTGAAAGCAGGGAGCCTGGTGAGGGATAGCAAGCAGGGCTTCTAGCGGAGTGGGGCATTACAGTGTAGGTAGGGTCCCCCACAGCTGGATCTCAGAGCGAGCCCCTTCAGTGACCTTGTTCACCCTCAACTAAGCCTATTTGGAGCCTCTCTTATGGGAAAAAGGCAAGTCAAGAGCTCTTTATAGCATGGCCTGAACAGGCAGATCGGCTGGGGCCTCCTAGGATTTTCTAGGCAGCCCCTCTTCTCCTTTACCTGCCTCTCATTCTCTTCTTCCCTCCTTGCCTCTCTGATACCTCCTTCTCCCCCACTGCTGTTGCCTGAGTTCATTTTTCATCCTCAGTTCTTTCCATCTCTTTCCATGCCTCTTTTTGTGCACCTTGACAACAGTTCATAGTACTCATGAGGTGACAAACTCCATGCTGGTAATTGAAGCAACAGTGCCAGCCTCTTCCCACAAACCCAGGCTGGAGGGGGCTAAGAAGGGCTCTGCCTTCCTTCGAGAGGCAGTACCTTTCAGGTGGGGACGCTCTGGCTGTAAACACTCTTATATCCATATAAATGTGGCCATTTTCTGCCTGTCCAGACGGGAAACTAAATCAAGGAAGCCAAGCTTAAGAGTTGCCTAAATTACCTTGTCTCATATTGAATCAGTGCAGCCAGTGTGGGGCTGGTGGAGAATGTGGGCTCGTGCCGTAGCAGCCTCTGGAGAGGCCCTCAGATGAATCTGGGATGTGTGCTGTGCATTAATTACACATTTCCCTTGATCAGTGCAGTCCCATGGGATGCATGCAGAAGCAGAAAGCTTCAGGGCTGGAGTCTGGGTGGGCTCAAGTCGTGGATTGTGTCTTGCTTGGGGCTTTTCTTGTGCACTTTTTTTTTTGTGACTCTGTGCATCATATCCTCTTCCATGAGTACTTGGGTCCCAGTGTCACCATGTAACATTAGTTACAATCCCAAAGTCCACTGTGACTGAAATAGAACCTGAGCTTGGTCTGAGCACCACACTTAGCTCATCTGGGGGATGTCTGGTTTCATGAGAGGTTCACCTTACCTGCACTTACTATCATTCATGGGGACAAGCTCCTGACTTGTGCTGGTTCAGGGTGGCTCTTCTTGCTGGGCTTTGGGGCTGAGCTGTGAGCAGCAGACATTGATGAAGGATGGTGACTGATCCCAAATGTGGACTGACTGACCTGGCCAGGTTGCTCCCAGCCATGCTGCTTTCCAGAACCTGGGGGAATCTGCAGCCCTCACTGTCTCCCCTTTTTTTTCAGGGGAGCAATGATGAGCTGTCAGAAAATGAAGATGATCTGGAAGAAAAGTCAGAGAGTGAAGGTAGTGACTACTCCCCTAACAAGAAGAAGAAGAAGAAGCTCAAGGACAAGAAGGAGAAAAAAGCCAAGCGGAAAAAAAAGGATGAGGATGAGGATGATAATGATGACGGATGCTTAAAGGTAACCACCAGGCCAGACTGCAGGAGTCTGAGCTCCGATAAACCACACACCACTTCTTAGCCCTCTACCCCAGGTACCCCCAAGTCAGGAGGACCAGAGTGTTCTTTCTCAACTGATGGGCACACAGGCCCCTGAATGCACGCGTGCGTGTGTGTGTATGTTGGACACAATTGAAACTGTAGTCAGAAGTCATGGAGACATAGTGAAATAACGACAGACAAAACTTAGGAGTTTGTGGAGGGAAGCACGTGACATCTTGCTGATGTATTGGCTGCTTTTGGCAATAGCTTGCCCACCCGAGCATGCAGCTAGCTGTTTTTGAGGAGGGTGATAGATAGTGTGAGCTCAAGTTTGGTGTCAGGAACCTCTTGCTTGGAGCAATAATGGGAAATAAAACAATAAATGAAGCCTTTGCTGCAAGCAGAGTCTGGACAGCCCTGCATATGGTGGAAAAGAGGCCCAGTAACTTAGCACACTGTCAGTTCTGCCAAGCGGGTGTTCCCAGAGTCTCCCACCGAACTTGAGCAGAGTGAGCAGCTGCAGAGATGAGCCTGGCTGTCTCTAGAGACCACATCTTTCCCACTAACCAATGGGAAACAATGAGCAACAATCCAAACCTTTAGCATCCTCCCAAGGCCCTCGGGTCCCAGAGGCTGCGCTGTTGGGGCTTTGGGTAGTGCAAAGAGCTCCATCATAAGGAGCGCTTTGCTTTCTGAGCACCGTGATGTAGAGATAAATATTAAAGGTGAGGCACAATGCTAAGTATGAATGACTGAAGTCAGGAGGTGCTGGCGGGAGGGGAGCAGCACTTACAGGGGGTGTCCTGACACCCACAGTGATCCCATTAGTTGGTGGGTGTGTTGTGAGTTGTCTGTAACTGGTAATAGCTGAAGGGCTGACAGTTTTGAAAGATTAACTCAGGGAGTGGTTCAGGGTTATGTGTGACAGTATCAGCCATTTGCTAGCATGCTCCACTCTCCTGGGGGGTGGGATATGTACCTTCAGGGATGGCTGAGTATGTCTATGGGGACCAGCTGGCCAGGGGAGGGCATGTCACGTGGGAACATCTCTGAACAGTCACAGAGCCAGGTTCCTAAGCCCTCTTGCTGTGCTGGTCAGGCAAGCCTGGTTCTCAGTACTGGGGACCCCTCAGGGCCAGAACAACTGTATGAACCACCTGTGTGGCTTTCCTCTGAAGGAGCAAAAGCCTAGCTCTAAGGACTTAGGCAGTGAAGAGGCTGGCTGCACCAGGACCCTGAGAACTGAGAAGCAAGGGGGGGGGTTCTGTGTTATGAGACCTAGTGATGATGTCTGTGTTTGTTTCTTAGTACCCCTCTGTCTCTGTGGGGTCAGCTCTGGGCTCAGGCAGGACACCCTCTGGTCAGTTCCATCTAGCAGAATGGAGAGCAGACCTTTGGCATCCAGGTGTCTAAGCAGAGACTCAGTGTTTCCCTGACTGGACTAGTCTGTCATGTGACCACCATGACCAGGAACTCTCGCTTATAGAAGTGTGTGTGTGTGTATGTGGTGTTGATTGGCTTAATTGGTCTGTGGTTGGGATTAGAACAGCTGCCTGGAAGTGGAGGAGGAAGGCAGCTGGGCTAGGTGCTGACAGTTGCTAACACATTTTGACCTGTCTGTGTCCTAAGCACCTCACCTTCAAGGTGGGTGCTGGTATTATCCCCATTTTATAGACAGGGAAACCAAGGCACAGAAGTGAAGTAACAGGTTCACTTCTTACTACCAGTATGTGGTAGAGCCAGGATTAGAACTGGCCCAGACCCCTAGCCAGCACCTTCCCATCGGAACCTAGCCTGCCTGGAGCTCTGTGGCTCTCTGGGCATTTGATCCATGAGAGAGCTAGCTTTCTTGACTGCTCCTGGGACATCACACACCTCCCTGGCCTCAGTGTCTTGTGTGGAAAGTAAAGTGATGGCTCTGCTCCTATCTGGGCCACTGACTGGTGTCCTGGCTGGCAGTGGGCTGTCCTTTCTGGGGCCATGCACTAATATACTAGAGGTATCTGGGGAGTCCTCATTTCTCTCCAGCATGTCATACACAGTCCTTTAGCCCTGATTCCTTCCCAGGGACATCTTGCCTCCCACAGTCCATCTTCAAGCCCTATGGTGTGAGTTCTGTTACTTTGCCTTCAATCCTGAGACCATTAGGTGGGCAGCTGTCTTGCCAGAGGGGCCTGGGCTCAGCTCTGGCTTATCTGCCACTGCCTCTTGCTTTGACCTTCTGGAGAAATGCATGGACATACATGTGACCTTCCCCCAAGTCCCAGCATTAAATGCTTGGCCTGCTCCCTGTGAGTTTGCATCTGAGATGTGCCACTGATCAGGGCTGACAGGGTAGGGCACTTTAGGGTGTCCCAGCCACGGGGGGATTAACTGCTCCTTATAAGTTGCAGACTGCTTTCCCCTCCCTCGTTCTGAAGTCTTCTGGGCAGGGGCCCTGGGGATGGGATGCAGATCAGAAGGGCCCCCACCTCTGATTCCAACTCCGGTTATGTCTCTCTGTAGGAGCCCAAGTCCTCGGGGCAGCTCATGGCTGAGTGGGGCCTGGACGATGTGGACTACCTTTTCTCAGAGGAGGACTACCACACTCTGACCAACTATAAGGCCTTCAGCCAGTTTCTCCGGTGAGCCAGGGGACCAGGCTGCCACGGCTGGGCCTCCATGGGGGCTGACCCTCAGGCCTCAACTTCCCAAAGGGGTGGGCACCAAGTCAGGGGAGGGGGACAGAGAGGCGGATCCCCAGGTTCCTTGGGTGGATGAGGACTGTCAGGCCAACCACTAACCTGGGCAGAGCTGGTTGAGGGTGGGGCCTTACCCTCCATTTTAACAGATGGTTGGGATTTCCCAGTCCTGCCCTGGATCCTCCGTCTCTTCCTGTGGAGATGGCTGGCTTCAGGCCCCTCTTTGATCTTTAATGCAATTCTAAAAGCATTCACTTAGGGCTGGTGGAGTGGCTCGACTGGTAGCGTACCTGCCTAGCAAGTGTGAGGCCCTGAGTTCAAACCACAGTACCACCCCCGCCTCAAAAAGAAAGCACTCACTGTGAAGAGGGAGTGTGTTGGCATAGAGCCTTATCTCAGCTTTGTCTTTCTCTTGTCCGCCTTTCTGCCTAGTGTCTCTAGCCAGGAATATGGGACTGGTGCTACAAAGTGCAGGTGTGGGAGAAGGGGTGGGGCCTGCCCTTACCCCTGCTTTTCCCTTCACAGGCCACTCATTGCCAAGAAGAACCCAAAGATTCCCATGTCTAAAATGATGACTGTCCTGGGTGCCAAATGGCGAGAATTCAGTGCCAACAACCCCTTTAAGGGTAGCTCAGCAGCGGCGGCAGCAGCAGCAGTGGCTGCAGCTGTAGAGACGGTCACTATCGCTCCTCCACTGGCCATCAGCCCTCAGCAGGTGCCCCAGCCTATGCCTATCCGGAAGGCCAAGACCAAAGAGGGCAAGGGTAAGGCTGTGGGTGGGAAGGTACCGAGTTTTGCCACATAGAGCACCCCCTCCCCACAGACCCTATGGGGCAGCTATAGGCACGTGGGGGTGTTCCTTATGGAGGACCTGGTGTGTTGTATGACCTGGCTGACTTGCCTTTTCTCAGCAGTGATGTGACATTGTAGCTTCTGCCCTGCCTACCGTTTGTGGTGGATGGCTTTCCTTTTACTTTGCTTTGTAAGCACTTTGGCATGGAGAGGGGAGGAGAGGCACGCAGCGTGGAGCTGCTCCAGCCTCGGGTGTCTGGGAGTGGTGGGCTCCTGAGTTTCAGGCAGCCCAAAGTTAGCCCACTGATCCCCTTTCTCTGAGCAGCTACTGCATGCAGGGTCCAGGCCCTCGGGATAGTTCAGAGAGTTAGGTCACTGCCCCTCCAGCTTTAGGATCCAGGAAATGCACGGGAGTTTGGAGCCAGGAATGGGGGTAGTCAGTGTTGGTTCCCAGGGATGCCAGGAAAGAGGTCCTGATCCAGTCTGACTCAGTGCTGGGGCTGATGGAGGGGGTGTAAGAGGTCAGCAGGAGAGGAGGGACTTTGGAGAGGAACAATGTGGGTGGGGGTTCTGGAATGTGGGGGACTCTGGTCTTTCCAGGTCTGTTCCTAGTGGGACCACCCGTGACTCAGTCTTCCTGCATGCTGCCCTGATTTTTTAGTTTGTTTTATTTATATCTTTTGCAGTACTGGGGTTTGAACTCAGAGCCTCTTTTGCTAGGCAAGTGCTTCCAGTCCTTTAGTTTTTGGTTTCTTTTTGAGACAGTCTCACAAACTTTTGCCCAGGCTGGACTCAAACTCGTGGTCCTTTTGCCTTGGCCTCCTGATTTGGGTTTTGATGGGGAGTTAACAGGGACTGGGGACTGTGTGTTTCAGCCCCAAGACGCTTCAATTTCTGGGATAATGCTGAGGTGCTGTGTCCAGTGCCTCTTTGCCAGGTCTTGGAAGGTGGGAGAATGACATGGGTCATACCCTGTACCCTGTCCTGCCCCATCCTGGTCATCTGGAACTCAGGGGGGCCTGGGCCTATCCCTCACCCACCCGGCCTTTGTGCTTTCTCATTTTTTTCATGGGTCAACTGCTGAGCTATCGATTCCCTGAGCCTGAAAAATTGAAATGGATTTTCTGTGGCGCCACCCATGGTGCAGCTGGGCTCTCAGTGCCATGTGCTAGTGTGTGTTGTGGCCAGAAGAAGGCCTGGTAAGGCCACATCAGCAGAGTATGAATCCCACCACAGGCTCCCACCTTTGCTCAGCCTGGCAGCAGGACAGGCTGCTGGGGGGTGGTCATTACTCCCCAGGTGCCTGATTGTTCTGTGCCCAGTTGCATACACACAGCTTTAACTTGCTGGCTTCTCCCAGGGTGGCTGGTGGAATTGAGGGCAGCAGTGGTGCCCTCACTCCTTAAGCCTGGGAGGCTGACAGCCGGGGAAAAGGCTGCCAGCCCCAGAACTTTCCTCCAGGGGCCTGGTATGGACCACATGAGCAAGTGTTTAAATGCTAGGCCCTGCTAGCATTTGAGACTGGGACTGCTTTGGTGGCATCTCTTTCCTGGGGGGTGGGGACAGTACAGAGGCTTTTCTCAAGATGGCTGGTTTTTCCAGTGTCCATGGCAGAGGATCAGCACAGTGGCCAGGGCAGACAGACTTGGTCCAGGTTGGTCTCTTGCTTTGCCTTTACTTGCTGCATGTCCCAAGCAAGGACTTCGCCTCTCAGGCCCTAGACTTCCTCATCTGAAAAGGGTGATGGTGGAAATGATGTATTTCTCGTTGGGATTACCCTCCTGAGGTCTGTGTGACCAGGATTGTGCAGCGTCCTAACTAGCAGTCAGTGCTGTGATGGTGGGAAATAAGCAGCTGGTGACAGTTTTGGTCACTGCGGCCCTTGTCACAATGTCCAGGACCTGGAGTGAGAAAGAAGATCAAAAGCTCCAAGGATGGGAAGAAGAAGGGCAAGGGGAAAAAAATGGCCGGGCTCAAGTTCCGCTTTGGAGGGATCACCAACAAGAGGAAGAAAGGCTCCTCGGTGAGTGTGCATGTGTGCACATACATGTTTGTGTGTGGGTACCTGTTTGCACATGTCTGTACACATTTGCATATGTCAGTACACTTGTGCATATGTGTGCACATGTGTGCACGCACACATGTGTATATGTGTACATGTGTGCGCATTTGTACATGTGTGTATATGTATTGCATGTTTGCATGTGAGGGCACATTTGTATGTATATATGTGCACTCACACATGCATACATTTGTATATGTGTACACATGTGTCCGTGTCATGTGTGTGTGAAGAGGGCTGCGGTGACTGAAGAAAGTGGGTCAGTTTATTCTCCTGAACCAATTGGTCCTGCACCCCTCTCTCACTCTGTCTCCATTCTACCCATGGGCCTGATAGGCCTCAGTTTTCCCATCTGTCTGGTGAGGGATATAGACTGGATCCTTCCAAGGGGTTCTCCAGCTTGGGTCAGGGGTAGGGAGCTCTCTCTGGCTCACCCTGCTGAGCTGGAAGCACAGCCCTGGCTCCTGCTGTCTACAGCTGTGGCTCCATTCAGGGAGTAGGTGGGAGGATCAGTAGCCCTTTAGAGTCCTGATGGGGCATGGCTGCCCAGGTGTGCTCGAGGGTGGTACCCACACCAGTGGCAGGTATGACCACCAGGCAGGCTGGAACGCTGATTACTCTCCCTGCCCCCCGTGGGCCAAGTTTAGAGCTGAAGCCTATGTTTTAGCCTTTGGGCTCCCTTCTCTCTGTGGGGCATTCCCTAGTCTCACTCTCGTAGGGCAGCTATTCCTCTCCCCTCAGCCCTGCAGTGGGGCAGAGAAGAAAGCTGGAAGCTGTTTCTAGGCAAGTGCTCTACCACTTAGCTACATCTTCAGCCTTGGAAGCTGTTTCTCTGTCCCTTCTCAGAGGCAGGTGCCAGGCCTCCAGGTTGGCTGTTCTGGGAGGGAAGCAAGGAGCAGAGGGGGTAGCCCTGCCCCAGATCTGGCAGTGCAGCTCAGACCAGCAAATATTATTTAGCTCCTATGGTGTGCCAGGCCCTGTGTTCAGCCATTGTGGGCACTGCTTCTGCCGTGCAGTCAGTCCAGCAGGCACATCCACTTGGAGGTAGCTGATGATGTGCTTGGTAGATGGAACAGACTAGACCTGGCACCTTGCTTTGTCATGGGTCCAGTCAAGGAGAGATCAGGGAAGACTCCCTGGGGGAGTGTGTGGGAGTTGGAAATGTGGGCATGTCAGAGGGCTGGAGAGGTGGGCTTGGAGGGCGTGGGATATGAGACTGGACGTGCATTCTGGGCTGTGACTGAAGTTTCTAGCTGGATCAGGGTGTGAGGTGACCCACTGAGAGCACTGCCTGCAGAGCCTCCTCTACCCTATGTTGCCCTGGGCTCTGGCTCACAGGCCCTACCTTCTCCTGCAGAGTGAGGAGGACGAGCGGGAGGAGTCAGACTTGGACAGTGCCAGCATCCACAGCTCATCCATGCGCTCCGAGTGCTCTGCAGCTCTGGGCAAGAAGAGCAAGAGGAGGCGCAAGAAGAAGAGGAGTAGGGCTTCCTGTTGGGGGGGGGCTTGTCTTGGAGCCTTTGTGGTGGATGGGAGGTGCAGAGCTTCCCCTTGGGAAGTTGGGGAAGGGCATCCTCATGCCTTGGCCTCTCCTGGCCTCAGGCAGGCAGCTGTTTGTGCTTTTTCAACTGCCCTTGTCTCAGGGAGGGGGAAATAAAGAACATAGTGTGTGAGCCATCCCACAGCATTTGCACTGGCAGAATGGGGATTGGAGAAAGAAGCACTTCTTAAGTTCATCCATTCATCACTGAACGGGTCACCACTCAGTCATCAGCCTTCTCCCCACCAACCCAGCAGCCATTCTCTTACCCTCCAGTCCCATTCTCCTCCTTCCTTTTATCCTATTATCCATTCATTTGTCTATCTGGTCTTCTTTCTGTCCACCAGTGGGTCTCCGTCCCTGTCCTTCCTTTTTTCTTTTTCACTCTTACTACCCCAACCATTTCCAACGTTTTTTGACCCCACTGGTTCGTCTACCCTTGCACCCATCTTACCTACCCATTCTTCCATCCATCCACCTATCCACTCATCCATCTATCCATCCCACCCACCCACCCATCCATCCATCCATCCATCTATCCAACATCCACTCTGGCCTGGGATGGTAGAGATGTTTGTGCACTGATTGTGAGGACATTGACCTTCCCCAATCACTACCTCTCCACCCACCCCAGTTGACGATGGTGATGGCTACGAGACAGACCACCAGGATTACTGCGAGGTGTGCCAGCAGGGAGGGGAAATTATCCTGTGTGACACCTGTCCACGGGCTTACCACCTGGTCTGCCTGGACCCAGAGCTGGAGAAGGCTCCCGAGGGCAAGTGGAGCTGCCCCCACTGTGTAAGCCTCGGTGGAGATCCCAGGCTGGGGGAAGGTGTGATTATGCACCATTATCTGGGGGCAGGTGCTTGTTGGGGGGGTGAATTTGGTCGGGGTGGAGGAGGCCTGGCCCATGGTGCCTTTTCCTGGACTTTCTTCTCCAGGAGAAAGAGGGGATCCAGTGGGAGCCAAAGGACGACGATGATGAAGAGGAGGAGGGCGGCTGTGAGGAGGAGGATGACCACATGGAGTTCTGCCGCGTGTGCAAGGACGGCGGCGAGCTGCTCTGCTGCGACGCCTGCCCCTCCTCCTACCACCTGCATTGCCTCAACCCGCCGCTGCCCGAGATCCCAAACGGTGAATGGCTCTGCCCGCGCTGTACTGTGAGTGTTACGCCGCCCCGCCCCGCGCCGAACGCCCCGCCCACCGAGGCCCCTCCCACGATACGCCCCGCCCCCGCCGGGTCACCAGCCTGGGCCTCAACCGGCTCCTGTTGGCTCAGGCCACGCCCCCGACCTGCCCATCCCGCAAAGTCCCGCCCATGCCGCGCGAGTCCACGCCCACCGCACCCAGGCCTGCTAGGTTTCTAAATTTCCTTGGGAATAACTTCAGAGCCAGTTCCTATTCAGTATTACTCTGCATAGAGGGCCTCGCATACGTTGCCTTCCTTTGGACTGAGTTCAAGTCCCAGGCTTTTTAAATTTCCATTTTAATTTTATAGATTGTTTGTTTTGGGGGTGCTGGGGATGGAACTCACAGCCTTGTTTGTACATGCCAGGCAAGTAGTCTAACATTGAGCCCTCTTACTTCCATTTTTAGAGGAGAAAATTGAGTTGCCTAAGAACGTATAGCAGAATTGTCTGCTAGGACCCAGGTCTCTAGAGCTGTCCTGGACCTGGCTCCTAGGAGTCCCAAGGCTGGTTGGTGAGAGGGTAGGAAATCCTGCAGGTGGAGCCTTGGGTTCTCAGGAAGAGAGGCGTATTCCTCCCATGCTCCCATCCCTTGGCCCCAGTCCCTGTTGGCATGTGGAGGCTCCATGATCTGAGTTACCCTCGCTCCCTGTGCTGGATCCCTCACTCTTGAGTTTTGGGCTGTTCTGCAGCTAGCCCTTGGTCACCTGTGTCATCTGGATTTGTGTGTGTGTTTATGTGCCTGTGTCCCAGTGTGCATGCATCCTCATGTCTGGGTAGGGGTTTGGGGAAGCCTTTTGACAGGTGCAGCCTTCTTACCTTTCCTGGGGTGGGGGAGGCAAGAGCAGTCTTCCTAAATCTGTCCTTCCTACCCCTCCTAGTCCAGCCAGGGCTCAGAACTGCCTCCCTCAGGGGTAGGGCTGCTGTGTACAAGTGGTGGTGTGGGGCTGTTGTATTTCCTGTCTCTGCAGCCAGTAGCTTCCTGGAGCTCCAGCATCCATCAGGGCCCTGGGTGTGTGTCTGGGTGGAGGGAGACCTGGCCTCCTGTCCTGGCCTGGGCCTGGTGCACCTCTGCCAGGCAGGAGTAAGGAAAGTGGGCAGGGGTGCAGTGCCCATGAGTGCCAGGCACGGGGTCATTCCCCATAGGTGCTTGTGGGTCAGAATACGATATAATGGGTTCGCAGGGGACTCTAAGCAAGGCGTAGGGCAGTGAGTGGACCCATGGACAGGCATGTACAATCTTGGGCTCTGCTCTCCGCTTCATGCCTTGCTGAAGGCCTCGTTTTCTCCATCTGTCCTGTGTGTGTGGCACCCTCACCCACTTTGGCTCAAATTTGCCAGGTGCTGATGAAAGTCACTCTCTAGTGCAAAGGGTCCACGTGGACTCACAGGTCCTTACTGTCACTTCCTGCGTGCTCAGCATGTGTGGGCTTCTGAGTATGGTGTGAAGCCATGGGGTCAGCGTGGAGCTGCTATCATGGGAGCTTCAAGGTGGGGGTCTGTGGCTAATTCCTGAACTTGGGGACCCTCCTCTGTCCACAGTGTCCCCCACTGAAGGGCAAAGTCCAGCGGATCCTACATTGGAGGTGGACAGAGCCCCCAGCCCCCTTCATGGTGGGGCTTCCGGGATCAGATGTGGAGCCAGGCATGCCCCCGCCCAAACCCCTGGAAGGTATTCCAGAGAGAGAATTCTTTGTCAAGTGGGCTGGGCTCTCCTACTGGCACTGCTCCTGGGTGAAGGAGTTACAGGTGAGGCGCCTGGGCAGTGTGGCTGTGCTGGACTCATAGTTGGGAACTTTGGTTCCCAACTGCCCTGGGTTGGCAGGAAGGGGTGGACACTCACTGTTCAGCCCCCTGAGAGAAGGGTATGGTTGAAAGTTGGGGAGGGGAGCTGAGGAGGAGGCTTGTCCTGCCTGGGACAGGAGTGGGGGCTGGTGATCCAGGTTGGGGGACGCAGGGTGCAGCCCATCTCCCTCCCTTAACTTCTTTGTCCTCTGGGATCAGCTGGAGCTCTACCACACTGTGATGTATCGCAACTACCAAAGAAAGAATGACATGGACGAGCCACCGCCCTTTGACTATGGCTCTGGCGATGAGGACAGCAAGAGTGAGAAGAGGAAGAGCAAGGATCCCCTGTACGCCAAGATGGAGGAGCGCTTTTACCGCTACGGCATCAAGCCAGAGTGGATGATGACACACCGTATCTTGAACCACAGGTGAGCTGCTGTGAAGTGGAACACCCTGGGGCTGGGAGACATGGCCCGTTCACTTTGTAAAACAGGTATGGGGTGGGGCACTGGGCCTTGTTTTGGGGGGGGTGTTTAGAGCCCATACCACACACCGCCTCCAGTTGCAGCATCCTATCAATCCCATCAAGAGGTTAAGAACCTGAGCTAGATGGTCAGATTTCTGCCCTGGCTTGTGGCCAGGGGCTCTCATGCCTGTTTTCCTCTCATGAAGTACCGATGCTGAAAGGGCTTGCTGGGGTGGCCTTCAGTGACAAAGGACTGTAGAACATGAAAGAGTGGCCGCGTTGATTGTGAAATGCCCCTTGCCTATCCCCAGACTTCTCAGAGGATGACCCTTACTGTGGGTCGGTTCCTGTGGGAACCTGAACCCCACCTTGAATTGACCCACACTTTTTAAAAAAATTTTTTTATTAAATTGCAAGCTAAAAGCACAAACGGCAGTTTTTTCTCTGTGCCTCCAAAGTGGAACAGGTGAATCTCCCGGATTTATTCCCTGGTGTCTGCATAACAACCAATTATTTATTGAAAAAAATGCCATTGGTTTCCATGGTGACTGGGAATTGGTCTTGCTCTTAATGGTCTCCAGGCCAGCTGCAGCCGCTCCTTCGTCTCTTTGCTCACCTCTGCCAGTAGGGACCCCATGGCTTCCCTGGTCTGGTTGTCTGATCCACTGAGTTGGGTGGGAATTCCGGAAGACCTTCCCAGTGGCCAGAATCGAGGTGTATGCTGTCAGGCTTAGTCATCAGGTGCCTGTGTCCTTGGGGGTCTTTGGAAAAGGGTGTCCCTCCTTCAGCAATTGCATCTTTGCCTACTTTGTTTGGTGTAGGTCTCCTCACCCAGGACAGGCACTGCTAGAGTCCTGCAGATTTTTTAGGTTAGAAAACTAAGTCTGTGGGCAGGGGAGAGAAGTCAGAAGTCCTGTGTCCAGACACCATGGCAGGATGGGACTCATTCCTGCAGCAGAGGCTGGAAAGGACAATGACTCTTCTGTTAGCATGGCCTCTCAGTGTCCCTCTCTTCATAGCTGTCAGTTCTCTGGGACCCTCATTCCCACTCACAAGGTTCCTCAGGGAAACTGCTGCATCTCCTTGGAGCCCTTGCCCTGGTGCCCTCCTCCTATGGGGCCCACCATCCCAGGGGACCTTGGCCATTGGTGGGCATGAGTGGTTCTGCATCTAGGAAGATCCCTGCCTCAGACCCATGCCGTGGCTGCTGCTTGAGTGGCCTGCGCCTCCCCCACCATCTCTTCCCTGTGTTACAGCTTTGACAAGAAGGGCGAGGTGCACTATCTGATCAAGTGGAAGGACCTGCCCTACGACCAGTGCACCTGGGAGGTGGACGACATCGACATCCCCTACTATGACAACCTGAAGCAAGCCTACTGGGGCCACAGGTGGGTTTGGGATCTGGCCATGGGGCATAGCTCCGGGAGCCCCTCTTGCCCCCAGCTTTGTTCACCTGCATCCGATGCTCTTCCCCAGGGAGCTAATGCTGGGTGAGGACGCCAGGTTGCCCAAGCGGCTGATCAAGAAAGGCAAGAAGCTGAAAGACGATAAGCAGGAGAGGCCACCTGACACGCCCATTGTGGACGTGAGTGGGGCAGGTTGAGGGAGCAGAGGGTGGATTGCCAGGGCCCCTGGGGAGAAGGGCCTTCTCTGGACGACTCTTCCATGGGTGCTCATGGCTTGTGTGTTCCCAGTCACGGCCACCAAAGGGGCAGTGGGATGGGCTCACTCGCAGCATGACAGCTAGCATGGCGACCACACGCCATTCTTACCTGGGAGGACACCCTGTGATTCATTTAGCAAGACTGTCTGGGATGTCTGCTAGTGCTTGGCACCAAGGGGAAAAGGGTTAAAGAGCCCTGGGCTGGGCTGGTGGAGTGGGTCAAGAATACTGCTTAGCCAGGCTTAGCTGGGCTGCTTAGCCAGCATGAGGTCCTGAGTTCAAACCCCAGTGGCACCAAAAAAAAAAAAAGCCCTGGGCCCTGTTGGAAGAAGTGTACCTTCTCCTAGGGGGTCCATGCTATGGGTACACAGAGTATGGGGGCTCACTGCTAGGGAAGGGCCCATGGGTCTAGTCCATTGAGGGAGGTAGCCTGGAGCTGCAGGACAGAAGGGGCACAGGGTCACATTTCTGGGTAAGTGGAGGCAGCACTTCTGGCAATCATGGGGAGCACTGGACACACATTCATTTCACTGTTCAACAATATTGAGTAAGAGCCCTCGTGTCCAGGCACTGCACGGGGCTTGAAGGAGGCCAGGAATGGGACCAACATGGTCGTGACAGCCCGGGCTCAAGACAGAGAATCTAACCATGGGGAAATGTCCTTGATAGGACGATGTGAGACCATCAGGGTTGGATATCATGGGAGCATCTAAACCAGGTTGGGAGTCAGGGAGGCCTTCCTAGAAGAGGTATTCTAGCTGAGGCCTGAAGAGGAGTTAGGAAGGCAGAGAGCGGCGGGTAGGGTATTGTAGGGAGAGGGACTTGCATGTGGAAGCCTGGAGGGTGGACTCAGATTCGGGGTGTATCTGAGCCTGTGCCTCTCTCATAGCCCACGGTCAAGTTTGACAAGCAGCCCTGGTACATCGACTCCACCGGTGGCACGCTGCACCCGTACCAGCTGGAAGGCCTCAACTGGCTGCGCTTCTCCTGGGCCCAGGGCACTGACACCATCCTGGCCGATGAGATGGGCCTGGGCAAGACTGTGCAGACCATCGTGTTCCTCTACTCACTATACAAGGAGGTGGGCGGGCAGCTGAGTGGGAGGGTGGGGACAGGGCTGGCAGGTCCAGGGCAGCCAGCCTTACTGCCTCAGGCTCTCTCTGCAGGGCCACTCCAAAGGGCCCTACCTGGTCAGCGCACCCCTGTCCACCATCATCAACTGGGAACGTGAGTTTGAGATGTGGGCGCCTGACTTCTATGTGGTCACTTACACGGGGGATAAGGAGAGCCGCTCTGTGATCCGTGAGAATGAGTTTTCCTTTGAGGACAATGCCATTCGGAGTGGGAAGAAGGTGTTTCGTATGAAGGTGAGCCCTCATCTCTAGGGAGGCATCTGGTTTGCCCCAGGCCCACAGAAGCATGCATTCTGCTGGGTCCTTCTGCTTGGGCCCCGTGGAGGTGAGACCAGCAGACTGGTGACCAGCTCACTGCAGAGGTTGCTACTGCCAGCTTCCTGTGGCTGCTGTAACTGCACGTCACACACTGTAGGCTCAGCACCCTGGAGCCCTGTTCTCCCCATGTAGAGGCCAGCAACTTCTGGGGTTGCAGGCTCCCTCTGCCGGCTCTGATCCCCACACATGGGGACTTGGGCAGGGGACAGGCAGTCATAGGTCAGTCAGGATGGTTTGTTTCAAATCATTGTTTGTTGCACCCAGTGCAGACCCAAACTCAGGGCTGTTGTTCTAAGCAGCCAAGCCACTTTCTTTTTGGTTGGGTGCTGTAGCTCAAGCCTGTAATCCTAGCTACTTGGGAGGTATACATCCAGAGGATTATGGTTCAAGGCCTGCCCAGGCAAAAATTCATGAGACCCCCACCCCCACCCTTCAACCAGTGGCTGAGTGGAGTCCCAACTACGCAGGGTGACACAAACAGGAGGATTTTGCTCTAGCCCAGCCTGGGCATAAGGTGAAACCGTATCTCAAAAATAACTCAAAAAGAGCTGGTGGAGTGGCTCAAGTGGTAGAATGCTTGCTTAGCAAGCACAAAGTTCAAATCCCAGTACCAGAAAACAACACAAAACACCTCGTTTTCCTTTCTCCGTGGTCTTTCTTGACTGCCATGATGTGTTTAGTTGTCTGCTATCACCCTCTCAGTATGGGAATCTTGCTGGTGGATATGAACCTCAAGGTACCTGGGGTCCTGCCACGCAAACGGTGCATGGCATATGTACCTCCTCCCTCCCCGTCAGCACCCGGGCCCCAGCAGGGCAGTGGTCCCTGGGCAGGGCTCGGGGGGGGTGGTAAGAACCTCAAATGAACAGTCTGCAAGCCTCCCGCATACACTCCACTGTCCCCTGGGACTTTTCTTCCAAAACATGAATTCAACACTAAAATTAAGCCCTGTGCGTGGGGTCCCTTTTGCTGTTGGAATGCTGGCTTTGCCACTTGTTAGACATAGGGACCTGAGAGAGTTCCTCAGCCTAAGGCTGGGATGGGGAAAGAAAGTTTGGTTCCTGTGGTTTCTGAGAATGTCAGTGAAGTTCTTAGCTTGACCCCTGCTGCCTGTCCCATAAGCAGGCTCTGTGTTAGTCACAGTCACTGCCAGATAGTTGTCTCTCTGTCCTCGGGGCTCGGTTCCAGGCTCCCCTTACCAAAATCCTCAGGTGTTCAAGGTCCTTACATAAAATGGTGTAGGGTTTGCATATAACTTAGACCCATCTTCTCATATACTTTAAGTCTGGATAATTTATATATTGACTTTTAATAAGTATTATTTACTTCTGTAACTGCTGCACAGTATTGTTTAAGGAACAGTGACAAGAGAAGAGTCTATAAATTCAGTATGGGTGCAATTTTTTTTTCTTTCTTTTTTGGCAGTATTGGGATTTGAACTTAGGGCCTTGTGCTTGCTAGGCAGGTGCTGTACCACTTGGGCCACACCTCCAGCCCTTTTTGCTTGGTTATTTTTTGAGATTGGATCTCACTTTATGCTCTGGCCCACAATCCTCCTCTATTTGTGCTACTCGGCATAGCTGGGGATGACAGGTATGGGCCACCAAGCCCAGCCATTGGTTGAGATGGGAGGTAGGGGGTGGTGTCTGGTCTCTGCAGTCCTCCCAATCTCCATCTTCTGAGCAGCTAGGATTATAGATGTGAGCCACTATGCCTGGCTTGAGTGCAATTTTTTTTCAAATATTTTCCGTCTGAGGTTGGTTGAATCTGTGGAAGTGGAACGCACAGGTATGGAGAGATGCCTATATTTATTTTTCATTGACCACACATCACCTTCTGTGATCATCTGCTGTGTTTTTTGCAGTACTGGGGTTTGAACTCAGGGCCTACACCTTGAGCCACTCCACCAGCCCTTTTTTTTGTTACGGGTTTTTTGAGATAGGGTCTTGTGAACTGTTTGCCCAGGCTGGCTTCCAACTGTGATCCTCCTGATTTCTGCCTCCTGAATAGCTAGGATTACAGGCGTCAGCCACCAGCTCCCAGTCCTCCACACCTTCTTGACTGTGTTTCTGAGCTTTTGGTCCTCTCTGCCCCATCTGCCTCCTCCCCAATGCTGGTCTTTCCCTCCAGAAAGAAGTACAGATCAAATTCCATGTCCTGCTCACCTCCTATGAGCTCATCACCATCGACCAGGCCATCCTGGGCTCCATCGAGTGGGCTTGCCTCGTGGTGGACGAGGCCCACCGGCTCAAGAACAACCAGTCCAAGGTAGGTGGTCCTGGCCACGGGGCTCAGACCCACCCTGGGTGGGGGCCGCCTGTGCCCCTTAAAGGTCCTCCTTTCCTTCCCGAAGTTCTTTAGGGTCTTGAACAGCTACAAGATTGATTACAAGCTGCTGCTCACGGGGACCCCGCTTCAGAACAACCTGGAGGAACTCTTCCATCTCCTCAACTTCTTGACTCCAGAGAGATTCAAGTGCGTCTCCTGGGTCTGGTGGGAAGGGGCACTGGGCTGGGGCCCAGGGAAGACATGGCAGCAGCCCACCCTGGCTCTGAGAGCTGCCTGCTGGGCCTTTATTTCCTCATCAGTGAAATAGGAACAGAAGTAGTGCTAGCTGTGATGTCCTTGTACAGGAGGGGGCACGGCACTGGCACCTGCCAGCGCCTGGGAAATCACAGCCCCAATGATACTGTATTTCCCCTCTGCCCAGCCCCAGAAGGCTCGGGGGGAGCTCCTCCTGGGCTCTGGTCCCTGCTCTCTCCATCTTCACTGCCCTTGACTCATTCTTGTCCCTCCAGAGGACCAGGTGACCCACGTGAGCAATGGTGGTGAGGCCAGGGCCTGGGAGTGGGTGGAGAGAAGATGGAGCCCCACTTCCTCGGCCTCTTCATCTTTACCCACCCCTGTTTTTCTGCTTGCGAGTTGGGGGTTTAGGGTAAAGAGTGCTTGTTTTGGAGCCAGGATGTTGTGACTTGGCTGGACGGTGTGGCCTTGGGTGTCCGTCGCCTTGGTTCCTTTGTCTACAATGTGGGTCGTAGTCCTGGAGAGCTCATGCCCTAGACGGCTTTGAGAGTGGAGAGGCCTATGACTTGAGGGTGACTCTTAGATGGAGATAGACCACTCAGAGCAGTGCCAGGGCTCCCTGGCTACTCTGGCCTATGCTGGCTGGGCCTCCCTATACCCTACCTTCACCCCAGTCCTGATTCCCTCTGAGAGGGCTGGGGCCTGCTAGGCTCTGCTGCTCCTAGCTCTTATCCCAGCTCTCCATTGCAGCAACCTGGAGGGCTTCCTGGAGGAGTTTGCTGACATCTCCAAGGAAGACCAGATAAAGAAGCTGCATGACCTGCTGGGGCCGCACATGCTCAGACGGCTCAAGGCCGACGTGTTTAAGAATATGCCAGCCAAGACGGAGCTGATCGTCCGAGTGGAGCTGAGCCAAATGCAGAAGTGAGTGGCAGGGCCCAGCAACCCATAGCCATCGGCCCTTTTCTTGGGCTTGTCTGCTCAGCTACTCCTGCTAAGGTCTCCCACCTGCTCCTCCTGGCTGGGAGGGTCCTCAGCTCGCTGAGGCCTTGGCTCCCCTTTTCCATACTCGTCCTTCTTGGGGCCTCATCTCAGATCGCAGTGACCCTTACGTTCTAGCAACACCATCTAGTGACTTGCTGGGTGACTCCCACCTTGTGGCTTAACCTCTCTGGGCTCCCTGAGTCCCTTTGTAAATGTTGCCTGGCCACAGCTCCCAGCTTCCCTGAAGGCAGAGCACCCTCTGATCAGAGGCTGATCAGAGCCAGGCACATCGTGCTGCCTTGTCCACTGCTCTGCCGTAGGAAGTACTACAAGTTCATCCTCACGCGAAACTTTGAGGCCCTGAACTCCAAGGGTGGCGGGAACCAGGTGTCACTGCTCAATATCATGATGGACCTGAAGAAGTGCTGCAACCACCCCTACCTCTTCCCCGTGGCTGCCGTGGTAGGTTCAACGTGGCCACCATGGCACGCTTCTCGTCACTGTGGGGTGGGTTCTTTGTGACTTCTCTGGTAGGTTCCCTGTGGCTGCAGTGATGGGTTACCTGAGGCCTCTTATAGGGTCCTTGTGACTGCGGTGGTAGGTTTTCCATGGCCACCATGGTATATTCCCTGTGGTCATCGTGATGGGTTCCCTATGGCCTCTGGGAGTTTCCCTGAAGCTGCAGTAATGGGTTCTTCACAGCCACCATGGTGTATTCCCTGTGGCCGTTATGGTGGGTTCCCTGTGGACTTTGTGGAAGGTGCCCATGGCTAGGTATGCTTAGACCCTCAGGTCTCCAAGAATGAGGAACTGCAGGTGAGGCAGGTCCCCATTACGCCAGAAGTTTCTGAAAGCTGCCTCTGTCCTCTGTTCAGCCAGTTGTCTCCTCCCAGCCCCTTTCTGTGACCCATAAAGTAAGGGGGGACACTGAATCACCCCAAAGACCCATCCAGCTCCACACCGAGACTTCAAGTCAGGATTCGGGGACTGGTTGCACCCAGTCCCTGAGGGAGTTTGTCACCGGCTTCCAAGGAGAGTCTGCAGCCGTGGAAGATGCTGGGCCCTGGCATCCCAGATGGCCCTGGCGCTGTGGCCTGGGGAGCTCGTGGTCCTCTCTGAGCCTCAGCATTTCCTCTGTAAAATGGGGGTGGGAGTGGCCTCTTCCTGGAGGGGTTGTGGTGAGGGTCATGAGTAGATGGGACCTGGAGTTCTCAGGGCGTCACTGCTACCACCATCCCTCCCTGGCATTTGAGTTCAGATTCATGCCTCTGCAGTTACATTTCTTTGTCCACACTGCTGAGCCCAAGGGGTGGTTGACCCAGCCTTGGGCAGCTTGGTCCTCCTTGTGACTGGTGTGGCAGAGGGATTCTTTGTGGCTTGCCTTCTGAGTGTCCTGCCTGGCTTGGGGCAGACTTGTCCCTGCATGGGCAAACTCTCCAGTGACCATGGTGGCCAGGCTGAATTCTTGCTGGCTTCACCTTCCATCTACTTGCTGACCTCTTGTGTCTCAGATGCCAGCCAGGGAGCAAGACTGGGCAGGGCTGGCCAGTCTGTACCCTGTCTGTGTGAGCCCCAGTTCATCCCACAGCATTCGGCCTGCTGGGGTTTTGGCTTTGTGTTCAGCAGGGCAGCAGACCATCCGCCTATGGCTAGGCCATTGTCCATCCCTGCAGCCTCTTTGGTGCCATGTCAGAGAGGGGAGCCCACCAAGGCCCCACTTCTGCTGTGTCCGCAGGAGGCCCCCGTCTTGCCCAATGGCTCCTATGATGGCAGCTCCCTGGTCAAGTCTTCAGGGAAGCTCATGCTTCTGCAGAAGATGCTCAAGAAGCTGCGTGACGAGGGACACCGTGTGCTGATCTTCTCCCAGGTGGGCCCTGGGAGCCTAGTGCACACCTTGCAGAGACCATCCTGACCCAGTGGCTTAGGGTGCAACCTTGCCTGTGTCCCTCAGGGCCCAATGCCATTCCCCTGTGCCTGGGCATGACAGCCAGTAGCCGGCTGAGGGCCAAGTTCAAAGTGCTCAGGACCTGTCTGCTGCAAAGGCTGGCATCTCCCTGCCCCTTCTGTCTTGCATGTCCAGGCTGGTGTGATAGCCCCCTCTTCCCCTGTGCTGCCTCTCACCCCTGAAGTCTGACCTCTCGTTAAGGTTGGGCTTTGGGGTTGGTCTGGGAGCCTCTCCCTCCAGCTTGATCCTGGAGTTCCACTGGCAGCATTGCTTTCTGCATGGTCCGAGGTAGGGTCAGCCAGAATAGAGGTTTGCTCATTTCTCCCTCCACCCCTTTGTATCTGTCATATCAGGCTCTGTACTAGGCTCATGAGTACAGAGAAGAATGATCTAGTCCCTTCTATCAAGCTGCTTAGTCTAGAGGGGAGACAGCTCACAAGCCAATTGCCTGACTGTGTGGTCAGCTCTTTGTTCAAGGCCCCAGTGATGGGTCTGCAGGAGTAGAAGTGCTCCCCTGTGGGTTGGACTGAGCCAGGCCCAATCTCAAAGCCAGAGTCTGTGCACAAAACTCAAGTGAAACTGACCGCTGGTCCCTCGTGGTGCCGTGGGTGGGCAGTGGGGCACTGAGTCCCGGGGAAGCCAACCAGTTGTGTGATTGCAGCTGAACCAGGCAGGCAGTGGCTGGACGATGGATCCACATTCCCCCTGATGGCCCATGCCATCACAAGACTGGGCAGAGGCTGCGAAAGACCAAGTAGAGGGAACCACACAAGTGCTTGAAATGCACACAGAAGGAAAGGGACAGGAGCAGAGACCTTCCATCCAAAATAAGCTCACAAACCCAGGTTTCCTGAATTCACAATGAAACCATATGCTAAGACATCCCACAAAACAGTAACTAGAACCTGAACGTAAAGAATAATAGAATGGCCTGAAAAAGACTTTAAACATGTTTTGGGTTCTCAAAAACAATGGAGTGACTAACAGCCATAAGTGAAGAAGAAATTAATTAGGCAAAAGCAGGAAGTAATGAAATAAGAAGAAACAGGTAAGTCTGTGGAGGAATTCAGTTACTGAAATAAAACATTTCACCGGACTGTGTGAACTGAAGATTGTTAAAGAGCTCATCAATGAATTGGAACCTGGTACTGAGGAATTTCCCAGGATGCAGTGTAGAGAAACAAAGATAAAGATGAGAGAGGGTGGGGAGGGTATCTCAGGAGGCTCCCACAGTCAATCAGCTGAGGGGAGTTGCAGAAGAAATTGTGAAAAGCAGGATTTGTAGACTTGGACAAAGACACGAGGTCTCAGATCTGAAGGGCACTGTAGAGCAGGAAGCAAGGTTAATTCTATAAGCCAAGCTCCAGCCAGCAGTTAGGGAATCCGTAGAGATTCAGACTGAGGATCTACAAATGAGAAAAGGTCAGATTGTCCTCAGGCTTTTGACAACAGTGGCTGAGACAATAGCAAAATGTACAGGCACCAAGGGAAGGTGTCTGCTGACAGTTTTATATCCAGCTAAACTGTTTCAAGGCAGAGGGAAAGAGGTTGCAGGCGCTCAGAAGGGCCTGCCTTCCTGTTCTGGGGAGGAGTGACATCATGGAGGAAGTGAGGTTTGAATTCCCCAGGCAGTAAGGAGTGGGCATTCCAGGAAATGTCAGTTACATGGTTGAGGATAGCTTGGTCGGGGGGCAGAGGAAGGGAGCACTGGGCCTGCAGAGCCTTGAATGCAGGCTGAGGCAGTGGGGGCTCCCTTCTGGGAGACCGGCACAGGGGAGGCTCACTTGGAGCTGTGTTTGGAGGCTCATATGGAGGATGGATTGGCTGCTATGGGGCGATGTGGGAGGCTGAATTCTTCTCCACAGTCCTGCCTCAGGCTCCCTGGGTCCCACTTGTCTCTCCTCTATTCAGAGGGTTGGTGTCTTCCCCTACCCATGGTGGATGCCTGGGGGGACTCCTGGTACCTTGGCAGCCCTCATGCTCCCTCTCTTCTGCAGATGACCAAAATGCTGGACCTCCTGGAGGACTTCCTGGAGTATGAGGGCTACAAGTACGAACGTATTGACGGCGGTATCACAGGGGGCTTGCGGCAAGAGGCCATCGACAGGTTCAACGGTACCCACCCACGGCCAGGGCCCCAGCCAAACCTGCCACAACCAAACAGAAGGTTGAGCTCTCCAGTCCCACGGTGGCCTTGCCAGGCTCCTGCCTGTATTTGCTGGCTGTTTGCAGTTTGATCTTTGCCCACCTGGGCTTTGAAAGTCAGCCTCCTTCTCACTCTGGTTCTTCCCCTTGGGCCATGGCTCAGAGCACCTTTCACAGCTCATGGGCCCAGATGGGCTCCGGCTGCCCCTCTGTGATGGGATCACGGCCTTGTCCTCCTCCTCTGCCACATTTCCTGTTCCACCCTTCATGTCTGCCATCCCACCTGACCCCTGCCCAGGTGTGCCCCACTAATTCATGCCCGTCTGCTGGCTTCTTTCTCAGCCCCTGGGGCCCAGCAGTTCTGCTTCCTGCTCTCCACCCGTGCGGGCGGCCTGGGTATCAACCTGGCTACGGCAGACACAGTCATCATCTATGACTCTGACTGGAACCCGCACAATGACATCCAGGTCTGTGGCTCTCCTGGCCACGCCCCTTCCCCTCCTGGTTCTGTGGGCCTCCCTTTCCCTCTCCTGTGGAGTCTGAGCCCCAAGAGGGATCTGGGAGGTGAGTGGGGTTTTGCCCCATCCCTCCATCTCCCTCATTGTACAGAGGAGGAAATGGGTCCAGAAGGGGCAGGGGAGGTGTTCAAGGCACAGCAATCTGTGGCTGTCAACTGAGGTTCCCATCATCTTTAGGACCAAGGCCATGGAAGGAGGCTGGAGGAGGGCAGTCTGGGGTCATATGGGCACCTTTGCAGGGGATGTGGAGCATAGAGTGAGCACCAACTGGAGGTGGAGGATGGGAGTGATAAGGAAGAGTGGAGAAGGCTGTGGGCTGTGGGACTAGATCCACCTGATGTCCTCCGGCTGCCCCACTCTGGGACAGACACACGCAGTTAACACATGGTTGGGGCATGTCCACAGACTCATGTCTCTCATGCATATGTGTGACACAGACACAATCACGTCAGGGTCATGTATGTGTGGACCCAATGCAAGGTAGTTTCTAGGCTTTGTGACCCTCACAAGGTTGGCTGTATGTCTCGCAGTTCTGTTAGCTCTCACAGAGAGGAGCAGCAGTCTCCCCAGGGTCACCCGGCAGCTTCACTTACATCCAGCCTGAGGTCCTCTATCCCACGCTCATATCCCTGCATCCTTGCAGTCACACCGGGTTCCCTCCTCCCAGGCACATTTCCATTGTCAACCCAGCATAGCCTCCAGGCCCCCTCGGCAATTAGGGAGGTGGGCCAGCTGCCCTGCTGCATGCACTGTGCACCTCTGGGCGCAGTCAGGCAGCACTTCGTACTGTCTCCACCCTGTGGCACCCAGCCCTGTGCCCAGCCCCCTTGGTCAAGGCCTGGGTGCTGAGCAGCAGTCTCTCCCAGGCCTTCAGCCGCGCCCACCGCATCGGCCAGAACAAGAAGGTGATGATTTACCGCTTTGTCACGCGGGCCTCCGTGGAGGAGCGGATCACGCAGGTGGCCAAGCGTAAGATGATGCTCACCCACCTGGTGGTGCGGCCCGGCCTGGGCTCCAAGTCGGGCTCCATGACCAAGCAGGAGCTGGACGACATCCTGAAGTTCGGCACAGAGGAGCTCTTCAAGGACGACGTGGAGGGTGGGCCCCCTTGCACAGGAGCGCGGTGGGGGTTCGAGGGTGGCCCTGCTTGGGGCACACCCCTCCAGGGCCTTCAGGATCCTACTGGCCTCGCCAAGCATGGCTTCCCTCTCCTCCACTCCTGGCCTGTGTCTCCTTCCAGGATGGGCCAGGGTGGGGGTGTCTGTCCTCTGCTGGCCAACTCTGGGGTCCTTTTGCTTCTATACCAGCGGCCCTCCTTCTTTGCCCTCCAGGCATGATGTCCCAGGGCCAGAGACCTGTCACTCCCATCCCTGACGTGCAGTCCTCTAAGGGGGGAGCCCTGGCTGCCAGTGTGAAGAAAAAGCATGGTAGTACCCCACCAGGTAGGGGCCACTTGAGCCCAGCCCCCAGCTCTTTCTCTGGTCAGGTGGCTGCTCCTGGAGAGGAAGGCTTCCTCTGCTGTCCTCCCATTCTCTCCCTTAGGTGCCCTGGGTAGGCTGAAGGTGGGTGGGGAGTAGGACTGTCATGCCTGCCTAGCTTATGGCACCATTTCTTGTCTGGTCACGATCCTCCTCAATCCCAGCCCTGGAAAGGATGGGGAAGGACCATTGTTGGGCCAGAGGTTGGAACGGGGCACTCTCCATTTGTGTCCCCACACTGTACTCTGTCCGCCCCCCCAGGTGACAACAAGGATGTGGAGGACAGTAGTGTGATCCACTATGATGACGCGGCCATTTCCAAGCTGCTGGATCGCAACCAGGATGCCACCGATGACGCCGAGCTGCAGAACATGAACGAGTACCTGAGCTCCTTCAAGGTGGCACAGTACATGGTGCGCGAGGAGGACGGCGTGGTAAGGTCCCTGGTGCCGCGGCCGCGCCCTGTCCCCATGCCCGGCCCGCTCCAGCCCCTTCTGCCCAGGTACCCCTTGCCCCGGCCCGGCTGGACCCTGGCTCCAGAACACTTCTGCTCCTCTTGCGCTTTCTGCACCCTGCAAAACTGGCTTCTCTCCTAGAGCCCCCGTGGGTCTCCCTGTGGCCACTTCACCGCCCCTGAGTACTGCCACTTCTTCCCAGACCCTGGGCGCCAGTTATCCCTCCCTCTGAAACTCAGAGTCCCTGAGGGAAGGGCTGAGCCTTGTCCAACGTTGTACCCCAGTGCTTACAAAAGACTAGGGCCTCCTTGTGGAGTGAGTAAATAAGTGAACGAATGAATACGTGAGTGACGGAGGGAGTGCGGTAGGGGCAGGGAGAGGAAGAGCAGCTGGCTGGAGCCATCAGGGAAGGCTTCCTGGAGTTTGCAGGATTTCCAGTTGCTCTTGGAGCCCTGTGAGGGTGTGGTGGAGGCAACTGAGGCTCTACAGAGGGCAGGGATACTCAGCTGGCCACCACGCTGGTTCCAGCCCTTGCATCCGCAGGAGGAGGTAGAGCGGGAGGTGATCAAGCAGGAGGAGAACGTGGACCCGGATTACTGGGAGAAGCTGCTGCGCCATCACTACGAGCAGCAGCAAGAGGATCTGGCGCGCAACCTGGGCAAGGGCAAGCGCATCCGAAAGCAGGTCAACTACAACGACGCCTCCCAGGAGGACCAGGGTGTGTGCCGCTCGGGGCAGGCGCGTCGGGGCACAGAGCGGTGCCGCGGTGGTGCCGGCGGTGGGGCTGGGAGGCGGGCAGGGGCGTTTTGGGAGGGAAGGGGCTGTGGGCGGGTGCAAGGTAGAAGGGTCTGGGGGAACAGGACGGCTACGGGTCCAGTGGCTCCCCTGCAAAGGTGTGACCTTGGGCAAGGCTGCTTGAGCGTGTTTCCCTGTCTGTAGAGTAGGATGGAAGTCATGTGATTCCTTTGTGTACAGGGTGGCGTTAGGACCATTAGGTGAGCTCGTAGGGGCTGGGGGCGTGGCCCAAATGGTAGCGCATCCGTGAGGCTCTGAGTTCAAACCCAGTACAGCTTCCGTTCCTCTCCCCCCCCCCCCGCCTCTCCCCAAAAAAGCAAAGCTCACAGGAAGTAGCTGGTAGCCACTATTGTCACTATTATCATTGGACTGGCCCTGGGTGTGCCAGGCACACCCCACTCCATGTCCCTCTGCTGCCCCGCCCCCCGCTGTAGAGTGGCAAGATGAGCTCTCAGATAACCAGTCGGAATATTCCATCGGCTCTGAGGATGAGGATGAGGACTTTGAAGAGAGGCCAGAAGGGCAGAGTGAGTGTCAGTGCTGGTGACCTGGGCTGCCCTGGGGTTTGTGTGTCACGGGCACTGATGCTGGTGGGGAGTCAGACTGGGGTCCCCCTCAGGGAATTTTTTGAGGCTGTCCTGAGAGGTCCTGCTGCTCTGGGGCATGCTGGTGGTGGTGTAGGGGATCTCTGGGTCTCCATCTGAAGGTTCGTTGCTGGGCTGCTCCCCAGGTGGACGGCGACAATCCAGGAGGCAGCTGAAGAGTGACAGGGACAAGCCCCTCCCACCTCTTCTGGCTCGAGTTGGTGGCAACATTGAGGTGGGAGATACCTGCACCCCCATCTCTCCCAGCCCTTTTCCTGCCATCTCTGGAGTATGGAGAAGGGGCCTTGCCTAGAATCAGCTGCCTGGACACCTACACTACTCTCCACCCTGCCCAGGTGCTGGGCTTCAATGCCCGACAACGGAAGGCTTTTCTGAATGCCATCATGCGTTGGGGGATGCCCCCCCAGGATGCCTTCAACTCCCACTGGCTGGTGCGGGACCTCCGTGGGAAGAGTGAGAAGGAGTTTAGGTAAAAGGGCCAAGGTGGTGGCAGTCTCCCATCCCTGGCGGGGCAGGCTCCAGCTGGGCAGGCTCTCCAGTGGTCAGTGTCTGCTCCCTCAGGCTTAGGGTATCTGGGGAGTTCACCACCCTCTGGCCTTGGGTTTGGGGTGCTGGGCCTCTGCCCAAACTAGCAGTTATGAACAGCAGTGAGGAAGAGCTAGACCATCCAGGGCGAGAGCCAGCCTAGGAGAGTTCCTGCTAGGGAAGCCCCCTCTGTCCTTGCCCAGGGCCTGGCCCAGCAAGCCTGGTTGGGAGGCAAACTGTGGTGGGTGATTCCAGCCAAGAGGTCCCTGGGGGTCCTGCCAGCCCTCTCAGAGGATCCTTGCTGGCCCCTTACTCCCTGAGCCCCACTACCCCCCACCCCAGAGCCTATGTGTCCCTCTTCATGCGGCACCTGTGTGAGCCGGGGGCCGACGGTGCAGAGACCTTTGCGGATGGCGTGCCTCGGGAAGGCCTCTCCAGGCAGCATGTGCTCACACGCATCGGGGTCATGTCACTGGTTAGGAAGAAGGTGGGTGAGTAAGCCTCTACGGGGCCTTCCTGCTGGCCGCCTGGGGCCCTGGCACTACCCCTGGGGGGGGTCAGTGGCAAGAGAGTGCTCAGGGTCTGAGCCAGGCCAGAAGGATTGACCCAGAAGCCTTTTTGGATGAGGTGCCTGGGTGGAGGCTAAGATGGTGATCACAGGGAGATTTGGGGTGTGGGTGAATTTGCATTTGTCTTGGCCAGCCTCAGGCAGAGTGGTACCACCCTGACCATGCGACTCCCTCAGTCCTACAGGCCATCCCTGCACCCTAGGGCTAAGCCTGATCACCACCCTCCCATCTTCCCTTCACTGCCCCAGGTTCAGGAGTTTGAGCACGTCAACGGGAAGTACAGCACCCCAGACCTGGTCCCCGAGGGACCCGAAGGCAAGAAACCAGGCGAGATCATCTCCTCAGACCCCAACACGCCAGTGCCCGCCAGTCCTGCCCACCTCCTGCCAGCCCCGCTGGGCCTGCCAGGTCTGGGGTCTGGGGTCTGGGCGAGCGGGGTGGGCACCTGGGTTGCCAGAAATGGCAGGGCACCAGTAGCCCCAAGTCCCTGAGCACTTTACAAAGGACAGCCACCTCACCCCAGAGGGTTTTTCTTTTTCATAACAGCTTTGGGATTTATTCACATGGGTACTAACCATTCATGCTGTTCTAAAGTGGGTGACTCTATTCAATGGTTAGTGGCACCTGCCACTATGGTCAGGGTCCTGCAGTTGTCTCTGCTTCCAATGCCAGAACATTTCATCAGCCCCAATAGAAACCCCATGTTCTTTAGCAGCCACTTCCCACTTTCTCTCCTCACAGCTAGGCACCCTCTAACCTGCCTTTTGTCCCTATGGATTTGCCTATTCTGGACGTTTCATATAGGTGGAGTCACAGACTGTGTGGTTTTCTGAGCGCCACGTTACAAGATCCATCCACATGTGTGAACTCTTCCTTCCTGTTCATGGCCAGATAATACTTCATTGCACAGATTGACTGTATTTTGTTTTTCCATTCATCTCTGGATGGATGCTTGGGTTATTTCTCCTTTTTGGCTCTTGTGAAGAAGCTGCAGTGAGCATTTGTGCACACGTGTTTTGTGTGGACATAGGTTTTCCGTTCTTTTGGGTACATACCTAGGAGTGGGTTGCAGGTAACTCTGCCAGGCTGTTTTTCAAAGTTGCTGCACCATTTACATTCTACCAGAAATGTATGAGAGTTCCAGTCTCTCCACATCTTTCCCACACTGTGTCTGATGGTTTGATTCCAACCACCCGAGTGAGTGTGTGGTTTTGTTTGCAGTTTGTGATGGTGAGAATGTTGAATATCTTGTATTTATTGGCTTTTTTTTTTTGTGGCGGTACTGGAGTTTGAACTCAGGACCTCACACTTTCTAGGCTGGAGCTCTACCACTTGAGTCATTCCACCACCCCTGTTTTGTGTTGGGTGTTTTTCGAGATAGGGTCTTGTGAACTATTTGCCCAGATCTGACTTGGAAACCTCGATCCTCCTGATCTCTGCTACATGAGTAGATGGGATTACAGGCGTGAGATACCTGTGCCCGACTCCATGGAGCTTCTTGAAGTCCATGCCCTCCCTCTCTTATCTGATACCCCTCTCTCTGCCCTTCTTTCCCTTCCTGCCTGAGCCTGCCCATCTCATCTCTTTTCCTTAATCTTTCAGACAAAATGGAAACCCAGCTGGGCTACATGGATGAGAAGGAGCCAGGGGTGCAGAAACCAAAGAAGTCCCTGGAAATCCAGGTGTGGAAGCTGTTGGTGTCTGAGCCTGTGGTGGGTGTGTCATCTCAGGTCTCGCCTAGCCAGTAGAACCCAGGCCTTTTGGCTCCCAGTTTGGACATCTGGGCCTGGGGGGAGCAGACTGGGAGCAGGTGTTGGCAATCAGAATGGAGACTCGGGGTCCCTGCCTTTCACTCCTGCTGAGGCCCAGGTCCTGCAGCCCCTGGCCTGTTCTCCTAGGCCCTGCCAACTGCCCTGGATAGAGTGGAGGGTGAGGACAAGCACGAGTGCTCAGACAGCAAGGACAGAGCCCGAGAGGAACAGTCAGAGGAGACAGAGATGGCCCAGATGTCTCCAGAGCAGCTGCTGAAAGGTAGTGACTTCTGCCGGCTTGGCTGCCCCTGCAGCCTCTGGTCTCTGTGTCCCTGTGGCAGGGCAGGGTGGTGGGTTTGGCTGCCCTTTATTCTGTTTCTCCCTGACTGAGTGGTAGACTGTATGGCTTTGACCCAGCTCTGTAGGCCCCCAAGTGAGGAGGAGCAGGGGCTCAGGTTTGTACACATGGACTTCAGCTTCTTCGATGGTGCAGAGATTGGGGATCCTGTGTTATATTTTGATGAGTGATTTCTTTCTTTTTTTCTTTTCATTTTGATCAGTGATTTCTAACTCAGTTGCATTCTGGTTTGAAACCATGAGCATTTTCACACCTGTTTTCTGCCTTAATAGGGTCCGATTTTGTAAGTACTGTGTGCTGGGAAGTGGTGTCTTTTCTAATTGCTGGGCGTTCAGTTCTAAATGCATTAGATGAGGCTTGTTAATTATGTTGTAAAGTTTTTTTTTTTTTCTAAATATCCTTACCAGTATTTATTTAGTTTGCTTTGATCGTCACTTGCAAAGAGATCCTGTGTTAAACGCTGAGTGATTACAGATTCATCTTTCTCCTGCAATGCCAGGTTCTGCTTCGATGTGTTTGGAGACTGAGTTGTTGAGGTGGTTAATATTTTTCTGCTGAAGTGTACCTGTAATTATTCGGTAGCAGTGGTCATTCCTCCCAAGACACTTTGCCTTTAAAGTTTACTTTGGCTGATTTGTGTTGATCTTACTTTTAATACATCTTTGGCACACCTTTTTGTCTTATTTATTTTATTTTACTTTTTTGAGACAGGGTCTCACTAGGGCCTGGAACTTGCTATGTAGCCCAGGCTGGCTTCAAACTCACAATCCTCCCACCACACTCAGCCTCTCATTTATAGTTTTAAAAATAAAATAGTTTTATTGTGATATACTTCATATACCATACTCTTCCTCTAAGTTGTATCATTCATTGATTTTTGAGTATATTCATAGAGTTGTGCAGTGATCACCATTGTCTGATTCCAGAACATTTTCACCACTCCAGAAAGAAACTGCATACCCATTCACAGTCTGTATTACCTCCTCCCCCAGTCCCTGGCAGTCTCTGTTTTCTGTCCCAGTGGATTTGGCCATTGTGGACATTTCATAGAAACAGAATCATAAAAACACGTGGCCTTTCCTTTGGCTTCTTTTATTTAGCATGATGCTTGTAAAGTTTATCCATGTCATAGAAAGTACTTAATTCTTTTCAATAGCCAAATAATTTTCCATTGTGTGGGTCTATGATGTTTTGTGTATCTGTTCATAGCTGAGGGATATTTGGTGGTTTCTACATTTAGCTATTATAAATAATACTGCTATGAACATTTGCATACATTTTTATGTGAATACAAGTGTTCACCTCTCGGGATATACCCAGGAGTAAAACTACTGCATTTATGGTAACTGTTCTATATATATAGATATATATAAAACCAATGATGGGGTCTCTACATTTTATCTGGGAGGTTTAATCTCTTTACATTTACTGTGATAGCTAGATATTTGGATGAATTTCTATCTTTTTATACTACTCTTGCCTTCTTTTTTTTCCCCTCCTGGATTGGTCAAATATTCTTTATATCTCATTTGGAATTTATGGTTAATTCTATTCTGTAGTCCTACATTTTTACCACACATCTCTCCTGAATTATATAAGGACTATAGATAGCTTTAGCTGTAATTTACTTTCCTTCCATCTGCTGTGTGCTATTGCTCAATATATATTTGGTGGGACTGGGGTTTGAACCCAGGGCTTCATGTTTGCAGAGCAGGCGCTCTACCGCTGCAGCCACATTTTCTCACATTCTTGCTGGTTTTATGTTTGCTTACTTGTTCGTCACTCAAAGTCTTTCTTCCTAAGGCATACTCTTTAATAGTTTTTTTTTTTTCCTGCAAATTTCCTTTACTTTTCCTAATGGCAAGAGGTAGGGTGGGAATTTTCCCTCAGCCTTTTCACGATATTCTTTCTGTTTTATGTCTTTTTCATCTTGTTGTTGAGAAGGCTGATATCACTGTAATTGTTGCTCCTTTGCAGGAAATCTGTCTTTCCTATATTTTCTACCGTTAAAAGACTCCTTCAAGATGTCCTGTTTGTCTTTGGTGATGTGTGGTTTCACTATAATGAGTTTCTTCTGTTCTGCTTATGACTCACTGGTTCTTAAAGCTGAGCATCTATGTTCCCTCATCAACTGTGGGAAAATTCTGTCATCCCTCTCTGAATATTGCCTTCGCCCCATTTTTTTTTTTTTTAATTTCCTCCTCCTAGAATTCCTATTCTCATTGATTCATTCATTTATCCATATAAAACCAGCTGCCAGCCCGACACTGTCCTAGGTCTTTGGGACACAAGCAATGAATCTAAACAGCTGGAGGTCTCATCTCTTAGTGTTGGTTTTCTGGTGGGGGGGCACAGAGAATAGACCCCAAGTGCTATGAAGAAGAAAGCAGGGCTCTAGGACATGGTCAGCCCAAGGATGGGACTCATGAGTCTTTCACATCCTTTGCTCCTTTTTGTTTCTCTCACAGCAGAGTTTTCAGAGAAGACTTGGGTGTAGCTTCAGTTTATCCTGTCTCTCCATTTTGTATTACTTCGTATGGCTGTATAACAAAATGTCACAGACTTACTACTTTTGGGAAGTTTCCAGGTCAGAAGTCTGGTAGCTGAGCCCGGCTCTCTGCTGAGGGTCTCCAAAGCTTAGATGGAGGTGTCGCAGGGCTCAGTTCTCACCTGAAGAAAAATTGCTTTCAAGCTCAGTCTTGTTGGTTTATTTCAGTTTCTTGAGGTTGGAGGACTGAGGTCCCATTTGCTTGCTGGCATCTGCTGGGGCCACCCTCAGCTGGACATTACCCTCCCTGCTTGCCACATTGTGGCCTAGTCCATTCCCAAGCAAGGGGGCACGGAAATCCCCTCTTGCATTACATCTGTCTTCCTTTTCTGGAACCAGCCAGAGAAAACTCCCTGCCTTAAAAGGGTTCCTGTGACGAGGTCAGGTCCATGCAGGTAACCTTCCTATCTTAGGGTCACTCTGCCACATGACATACCCTACTCATGGCAGTGGAATCTGTCATGCTTGTGGCCTTGGGGTTTATGCAGGAAGTGGACACCAGGCGTCGGGGGCTTAGAGGATGACTGAATCTCACAATTGAAACTTTCATTTCTAGAATTTTATCTGGCTCTTTCCAACTTTGGGGGGTCTGGTTCTTTCCCTGAAGATTCTATTCTTTTCCTCCCTTTTTCGCTTTCCCCTCTTAGACATCCTTATTTAGTCTCTTTGACCTTGTTCTGTCATCTCAAGATGCCTGTCTGCTCACTCTGCTGGGTCTCAGTTGTGGAGCTGGACTAGTGTTTTCTAGCTTCTGATTGGCCATGTCTTTGCCAGGGATTATTTTGCTCTTTGGAATCTCTTGTCAACTGGGTAGTGGTGAATCCATATCTCCCTTGGTTTCCAGAAGCTTGGGGCCCAGTGGTCTCACTAGTGGATTTGCTGGTCTGGGACCAGTTTCTGTGATGCTCTTTCTGCTTGGGGCCTGGCGGTTCAGATCCTGCAGCCCATGGGGCCTGGGCTGTGGGTTGGGGTTCGTTCCTGGGGATCTTCTTCCCTTAGGTCCCCTGCTGGAGATGGGCTGCCTCGGCGGGGCTGTCATGGTAGACAGAGCTTTCTTTCATTTGGAGAAGCAGTGGTTGGGGGGACCAGCTTAACCCAGTTCTCTGCATCTTTCAGACTGAAACCTCTTATCTGTCCTGCCTGGGGGTCAACACAGCCCCAAATTTTAGGCTCTCCACCTCTTTCTGGTGTCCAATAACCCTGGCCTTGGGCCAGTGCTTCCCTGGCTATAATTTCCCCTTCATTTCTGGCGCCTGATCATTTCCCTTCCTTCTTTTAAGCTCACACGTGTGTGTGTGTGTGTGTGTGTGTGTGTGTGTGTGTGTGTGTGTGTGTTTGTGGGGCTGGGGCTTGAACTCAGGGCCTTCACCTTGAGCCACTCCTCCAGCCCTTTTTGTGATGGGTATTTTCAAGATAGGGTCTTGTGAACCATTTGCCCGGGCTGACTTTGAACCATGATTCTTCTGATCTCTGCCTCCCTAGCAGCTAGGATTACAGGCATGAGCCCCTGGCATCCAGCTGTGTGTGGGTTTTTTAAATGAAGTCTCACTATATAGGAGACTTGATCCCTCCAGGTTCAAGTCTCAGCCTTCTGAGTAACTGCAACCATAGGCACATAGGCCATGCCTGACTCTTCTTTGTGCTTTGTAAATTCTGTGTGTACTGCAGTGCTGGGGTGGAGACCCGACTGTGCATATGTGGGCTAGCTGTTTACCACTGAGCTCAGCCCCAGCCCCATTGATTCATTGTGTTCTGCCCAACATTTCTGGGTGTTTTAGAATGAGTTTCAAGGTAACGTGTACCTGTCTGCACTGCTGCTGGAATCACATCTGTGCAGGAGGAGGACTGGGGTGTATCTGTGGACTCTGAGTAGCCTTGCTGGTGGCTGGGGACCCTGGGCCTTCCCGGGCCTTCCCTGCCTATGATCCATCTTTGTCTTACAGAGGATGTGCTCCCCGAGAAGGAGAAAGCCCTGGACAAGCTGGAGCTAAGCCTGAGTCACAGCAGAGGGGATGGCAGCGATTTCAGGGCAGGTGTGTGGCTTTTTCCTTTGCTCAGCCTTGGGTCATTTGATCCCTTGAAGAATCCTGGCCAGCCTCCTGGGCACTGCCCCCAGGCTCTGGTTGGAGCTGGTGGATGGGAGCTTGGACTGACTAGCCCCTAGAGGCACGGTGGCTCTCTCCCTACAAGGAGTTGGACTCCCCCTCCTCTCTTCTTATTGGGCTGGTGGTCCTAGCCACCTAGAGGGAGAAGAACTGATTGTTGAGTGTGACCTGGAGCACTTGGACTCAACTTTGTGTACCTCTAGGCACTAGAATTCTCTAGAACAGTCATTCTCAGGTCAGACCCCTCGGGCAGCAATGTCACCTTTGAACTTGAGCTGTACCTTCATGGTGATCTCCTGCCCTGCTGTGGGCTGTCCTGATATGGTTGGGGTGGGGTGCCAGGTCTTGGAGTCACCCTCCAGAACAGAACGAGGGAGCTGCTAGCTTGTCCCTTTAAAAACCTTCTCAGAGATGAGCCCCTTGAGGACAGGGACATGTCCTGTGTGCCTTTGGACCAACAGTGTTGGGCAGACAGAGGCCCCTGGGCAGTGACTTCTGGATGAAGAGTGAATATATCTGTGCCCCCCTGCAGATGACCCCAAGGCTGAGGAGAAGGAACCCACTGAAGCACAGCAAAATGGTGACAGAGAAGAGGATGAGGAGGGGAAGAAGGAGGACAAGAATGGGAAGTTCAAATTCATGTTCAACATTGCAGATGGAGGCTTCACAGGTACTCGGGTGAGGCGGTAGACTGAGAGTGAGGCTGTTGGCGTCCCAGGTTTCCTGACTGTGGGTCCGAGGAGTCTGGGTAGATGGTTGTTTTATATTAAGGTGGGAATGGTTGATAACAGTCTCTTGCATATCTTTCTTAGCAATACTCTAGCAGTGCACATGTGGGCAGGGGATGGCCAATGTTGGGGAAGAGGTTTTCCCAGGCCTGCCTCTGTGAAAGGCCTGGTGGGGCACCCTTCATTCTGCTTATCTTGGCTGTCTTTCCAGAATTGCACACTCTGTGGCAGAATGAGGAACGGGCTGCTGTGTCCTCAGGAAAAATCTATGACATTTGGCACCGGCGACACGACTACTGGTTGCTGGCAGGCATCGTGACGTATCCTTGCTGGCCAGACTGGGCAGACTCTGGCCTGTCCCTCTGTGGACCTCACGGAGTCCTCTGAAGGCTACAGGGAGGATCTTCGTGCCCCTCCCAGCTTCTACCGATTGCTGGAATCCTTGGCCTGCACCTGCATCACTCCACTCTGTCTCCATTGTCACCTGGCCCTCTCTGTGTGTCTGTGACCAGAATTCTCTCTTTTTACATTGGGTTTAGGGCTCCCCTAATCCATGTGACCCCTTCTTGATCATATCTAAATAAGACCACATTCACACCCCCTGAGGGTCGGGACTAGAATGTGTTTGTCCACCCAGTTGCTGGGATGGAGAAGTGGGCTCTTGGAAGCCTCAGTGCTGTGTCTGGCACACTCAGGCTACTTACCAGTCAGTGCCTGCTGATATTGTCAGTTGTTGCTGGTCTTGTAGCTGAGGATAATGACTCATGTGAGTGGTCACAGCCAGGAGGCCAAGCTCTGTGCTGCCCACCCCCCTCCACCCTACTGCCTGGCCCCACCTCTTTTGGGCCAGCTTTGCCCTTAACAGTGCCCCCAAGGCATGGCTATGCACGCTGGCAGGACATCCAGAACGACCCGAGGTACATGATCCTCAATGAGCCCTTTAAGTCTGAAATCCACAAGGGCAACTACCTGGAGATGAAGAACAAGTTTCTGGCCCGCAGATTCAAGGTCAGTCCTTGGCAGGACAGAGGGCTCTGAGAGGGAGTTTTCATGAGGGTCTGGGGCAAGGAAGTTGGAGTGTAGCAACCCCTTCCTGGATAAGGAGACCTGGGCCAAGCTGTCATCAGAAAGGAGTCAGGCAGTCAATCAACTAACAAAGCGATGCGGTCCTACTGTGCTAGTGTCCCTGTCCTGGTGTGATGGGACACAGAGAACCTAACTTGGTAAACGCTCCAAAGGGGTAGCCAGATGAGACGAGGACGGACAGCGGTGGGAGGGTGTCTTGGCTCCCTCCTTTCTGTGTAGTTCCCCAGCCTGGGGTGTGTGTTAGGGGAGGTGGCCAGTGGCCCCTCTGCAACACTGTTATCCCCTAGCTGCTGGAGCAGGCACTGGTCATTGAGGAGCAGCTCCGGAGGGCTGCATACCTCAACATGACCCAGGACCCCAACCACCCGGCCATGGCCCTCAACGCCCGTCTGGCTGAGGTGGAGTGCCTTGCCGAGAGCCACCAGCACCTGTCCAAGGAGTCCCTCGCTGGGAACAAGCCTGCCAATGCTGTCCTGCACAAGGGTGAGTAAGTCCTACTTCCTGCTCCCCAGGTCCACCAACCTTCCTGCTCAGGGAACCTTAGTTGGGGTGCAGATGGGCGAGGGGCTGGGGACAGAATGTGAGACGAGAGGATGGAGCCTGGTAGGCCAGGATGGGACAGTCCTGCTGTCCAGCCCCTCCTCTCACCTGAAGAAGACTGAGATTTCTTCCTCCTTTGGCCCTTCTCTGAAGACCTGAGAGCAAGCCCTGAGCTGGGGAAGGTTAACACAGAAATCACAACGTCACAAAACCCGTGATTATCCAGCCTGATACTGTATCTCTTTAACCCTCATAAAGCCCGGCAATGGCAACTCCTCTTAGTGTCCTCACAGGGGTGAGGACATTTTAGCTCAGGAAGGTGATGTAATTTGCTCAAAGATCTCCTGGGATTCAGACCTTTGACTTTTCCTCTGGATCTCTCTGTTACCCTTGTGCATCTTTCTGTCCTTGAAATGCTCAGGCTGGTTGGGGGTGGAGGGCGGCTGAGAGCGGAGAGATATATGGCCAAGGAGTCACTCACCTGACAATCGCTGTACTGCGCTTTTGTGTGAGCCCCCTAATCTGTCGCGGTGGTGGGCTGTGGCTGCATGCCTCTTAGGGAGGCCCCTTACGAGGGAAATGCAGGGTTGGGTCCTGTTTCTGGCTCCTGCTCTGCCAGAAGAAGGAGCCCCTAGAGTAGTTCTTGAGAAACCCCGCTGTTCCCCCAACTGACAGTGCTCTGCGGAGGGCCTGGCGAGGAGCGCCCCCTGGTGTCCGATGCTGGAGCGTGTGCGGTAACACAGCCTTGTAAATAGCACCGGCCCGGCCCTCCTCTCCAAGGCTCCATTAGCTCTCCATTCCTTGGCCCTTCCACTCTGCAGTCTTGAACCAGCTGGAGGAGTTGCTGAGCGACATGAAAGCCGATGTGACACGCCTGCCCTCCATGCTGTCGCGCATCCCCCCGGTGGCCGCCCGCCTGCAGATGTCGGAGCGCAGCATCCTCAGTCGTCTGACGAACCGTGCCGGTGACCCTACCATCCAGCAGGTCAGGTTTGGCCTGCACACGGTGGATGAGTCCCCCTCTTGCATCTGGGTGCCCTTTGGTGGGGGCTGGGTGGGGCTTGGGACAGCACCTGTAAAGCTGATCATTGCCTCCAGGGCGCTTTTGGCTCTTCCCAGATGTACAACAGCAGTTTTGGACCCAATTTCCGGGGTCCTGGACCGGGAGGAATTGTCAACTACAACCAGATGCCCCTGGGGCCCTATGTGACCGGTAGGTGCCCATCTGCTCCTGGGCAGCATGCTCTCAGGTACCTCACCAGCCTGGTCTGTTTGCTGCTGCAGACACCAGGCGAGCCCTGCTGTTTTCTCTCCTTGGCAGATATCTAGTCGTCCTGGAGACTTCCCCCTGTTGCAGTGCTCATTTCCAGCTGAGGTGAGGCTGCTGCTGGCTGGGCCACTGTCCTGTGCTTCCAGCATGGCTAGAATTGGCTGTCCTTACGTTGGATTTGCTCCCTTAAGTCCCGGAGCCTTTACTACCTCTGGGGACACTGAGAGTCACTGCTGGTCTGGAGCCCTTCTACCCCAATCCCTTTGGCTCTGTGACAGAGCCTCAGCCAGGGTGGTCACAGCCAGGATGGCTGCCCACTGGGAGGCTGAGTGCCAGGACAGGAAGGGGCCTGAAGACTTGGGCATATCCCCATGTGTGCATGTGTGTTATGTCTGTGTGCATCTGTGTGCACTTGTGGTCTCTACCATGAGTCTGGGACTGTTGACCCTAGCCTGGAACTCTGTCCTGCTTCCACTACTCTGCTCAATGGTGGGTACCCCAGGGAGTTACCTCTTATCTCACACTTTCACTCTCTGTCCAGGACCAAGGGGTGGTCTGAGGGTTTGGAGAGGGAAGTGGATTCCAGAGAAACTGCCAGTTTCTGACCTCCTTTACAGGATCACAACTTCCTCCAAGTCCTGTCTGGCCCTTTACAGGATCCTTTACAGGATCACTACAAGCTGTCAGGTGGCTCTGGACCCCTCGCCACCGAAATATAACCCACTCACCTGTCTTCTTCAGCCATGCTTGCAGGGCCACCTGCCCAACCCCCACAAGAGAGAGAAGCTACTGCCTTTTTCGGAGCCAGTGCCACCTTGGGACAAAAAGGGAAACTGAGTAATACCATCACATGGAAGGTGAGAGCCCAGAAGTGCCACCTCATAGTTCAAGTGTTCTTCCACACAGTGTCACACCCACAGCCACGCCGGATGGCCTCTTCATCACCTTTTCCAGAACAACTTACTTCTTAGAAGAGATTTCATTTATCTGTACATCTTTTGCACTTTCCCATTGAAGACTCGAATGAGTTTATCTTGATAAAAGTTGGATGACGTATGGAAGATTCTGACCTGAAACACTCATGTCTCTATCACCGGGCTCCAGACCCGAACAGAAGCTCCCTGGAGGCCCTGGAGCCACCCTGTGGACTCGGCCCAGCTGGGAGCCCTCAGTGTGGCCCCACTTCTGCCCACACCTCTGTGACTACCCTTCTGCTTCAGGTCCCTGCCTGCTTGGGACCCTGGCACCAGGTGGGTCAGGTCTGGGAGTGGCTGCCCAGCCCAATGGTGGAGATGCTGGTGGATGCCTGGGCCGGGCAGGGGAGGGTGTCTCCCACCTCCTTCCTGCCAGTGCTGAGGACCACTAGGTAGCTTTTGTCTCCCAGAGGAGCACATGTCTGTCTCTGACCTGGCATGTCTCGAAGGGCCTGGACTTTGTTGTTACCAGTGGATAGGCAGTGGCCCCAGTAGTGCATGGCAGGCCATAGAGTGTGCCCAGAAAGGGTGGGGCAGGGCCTGGACCTGGGTCAGAGGCTCTGTAGGAAGAGCTTGGAAGTCCGTTCTCTGCCGAAGTGTGGAATAGGCAGATGAGAGCTAGTGCCCCTGCAAGGCGGGATGTGGTCTTTGGGTAGTCCAGGAGACCCTGACCCTGTCCTGGACCCTGTGCCCTGGGAGGCCCTTCCCACCCACCTCTTCCCTGTGCATACTGTTCTGGGCCACAAATGCCAAGGAACCAGGCCTCTGCCTGGGGCCTGGACTCATCCCTCTTCTGACCCCAGAGAGGCCTTGATGGAACACTTGCTGCACAGGGCGGGGTCAGGGGCACAGCTGCCCTTGTCTGATTCTTGGAGGGTGTGGGGAGAGTTCCACTTGGAGGTGGGGGGACTGGACCCCATGGCCTCTGTAGACCCTTCATAGCTGGAGCCTTCCAGGCCGCGCCTTGGGCCCATCTTGTGTCTGATCCTTCTGGCCCCAGCTCAGCCTGGAGGGGACCTCCAAACCTCTATTGGGAGCTTGCCAGGGCAGGTGCCTTGGGGTACAGAATTCCAAGCTGGGCCTTGGGGTAGGGTACCAGGAAAGGCTCAGACTCCTCTCTCTGGGAGAGGCACGAGGGGCACACACTGTCTGTGACTGTGCCTTGGGATAAAGGGAGCTCAGGTGTGGGATGTCTGAGTGGCCTGTCTTGGGGACACCTGGGCAGTTGCTTGGCCCTTGCTGAGCTCCAGATGTGTGCATCTGTACTGTGGCTCTTTCTCGGAACCCCTGGAGGACTGGACCCTCAAAGCCCCCCTTCCATCTTGGCACTTCTGCACGCCAGTCTTGATCCAAATCTCCAAGGCCAGTGGACCCTGGCACTGCAGGGGAACAGAGAGGGGAGAGCCTGGCAGGTGGAGAGGATTGCATCAGGCTGGAGTGCGGCACTCACCACCATGAAGTGTGTCATGGTGGTTGACCCTGCCTCCCAGGAAGAGCTGCCTTCCATGGGGATTTTGGTGGGGGTGGGGACTTCAGGCAAGGTGACCATGAGCTCGCTGTGCCAATCCCTGGTTGGGTGGATGGTCAGCCCTGTAGTTAGCTTCACTGGGAACAGTGCGCCCCTGGCCACAGTGGACAGGCCCTGAGGATTGGACCTGGAGGCATGTATTGAGCAGGGCAGGTTTGTTTCCCTAGCTCCACTCCAAAGTTGGTGGTCCCTTCCCTGTTGGCACCTCTTCCCCTCTCTGCTTCTCAGGCCATGTCTGGGCCCCTTTGACCTCTCCTCTCCAGGCTTGAGGTGTCATCCCCAGCCTGCTGGCACCACGGAGGGCTGTGCTCTCCATGACCAGCGTCAGGGAAGCCCTGGAAGGTTTCTGGTTGGCTGGCTTGGGAGAGAGAAAAGTTTCTTCAGAATGTCCTCATTTTGGTCCCTTAGTTGTCTCCTGCCAGGTTCATGATGGAGCTGGAGCAGTGTCTGTCTGGCGTCTTCTGGCAAGGTCTAGTGTTGCTGCTTGCAGAGTCCGGGTCCTTGAGCACAAGTCTGAGTGGCAGCTGCATTCTTTTTTTTCCAGCTTCTTTTAGCTCACCAGTGTGATAGGGTTCCTGGGGAAGCACCTTTGGGCCGAAGGTTTTGGAAGGCTCTCAGACATGGGGCATTTAGGTTGGAGCCACCGTGTCTGGAGGGGACCCTTCTCACACTGGCTTGCCATGAAGCATGTCTATTTTCTCCAAGACCTTGTATGAGGAGACACTCCCCAAAAGCCAGCTTTGTTTCCCTGCAAATTTGGCTTCTCCCAGAGGTGAGCTAGACTTCCCATTCCATATACCCAAGGGCTTCCTACAAACTGGGGCTCCCTTCCCAGAGTCCTCTGTGTGCTCCTCCACCTAGGTCTAGGCTCACAGGGCTTGCCCCAGTGACCCCTGCAGTCCTTGCACCCAAGTCTTAGGTTCTAGGGCCCATGGAGAGGGTGTGCTTGGGGACCAGGGAGCCAGCAGCCCTGTAGAGTAGACAAGTTGGGACACTTGGAGCCCCTGTGTGTGCCAAGGGTATGAAGGGCAGAGAGGGAGCTGGAGTGGGGCACCAAAACCGACACTCTTTGGCTGAGGCCAAGGTCACCTTCACTGTCTTGGCCTGGCCTGCTGTGGCCAAGGATGGGGTTGTTGCCCCCGGGGCTGACCTGCACAGAACACAGTTGGGTGGAGGAAGCCATCCTGCCCCGTTTTATATTCCCAGAAGTTTACAGGTTGTGGTGCATCAGCCCAAAGTCATTGGCGTTGTGTTTATGGATTTTTTTTCCCTTAATTTTCAGATTTTTTTTTTTTAAACAAAGTATTTTTTTAGGTGCGATAACCCGGAAAGGGCCTGTTGGGTGTGTGTGTGTGTCCTGAACTCTTTCCATAGAGATCAGAGCGGAGCCCCTGGGGGTCTTCCGCGTTCAGCCTGGAGAGGAGAGAAGAAAGAGGGGTCCTGCCACCTCCATAGCGTGCCCTGGTGTCTGAGCTGGGCTGTGGAGGGAGGCTCTCTGCCCAGACCCAGACCGGCACCTGGCCCAAATAAGGGAGCCCAGCTCCTTGCCCTGGCTCAGTCCCAGGCCAGTGGGGGGGCACTTTGGGTCAGTTGGGAGGGGCTCTGGGCCTGGGGGCGGGGTCATGCTTTGGACCTGAGCTCCCCTGCAGGTTGTAAGTTGTCCCCAGTCTTGGCCTGGGGAGGCTGGATGGAGACTGTAGCTACCACAGTCACCTTTACTTCGTACTCTGTGTGTATGTTTCGGTTTCTGTGTTTTAATAAATCCTTTGGGAAGGGATCGCGTTGGTGTGGTTCTTGGTGTCTCACTGCTGTTCAGCTGGGCTGGGGGCAGGTAGTGAGGAGATGTGGGGAGACGGTGTTGTCCTTTGAGGCCTTTGGAGCTATACTTCCAAGGCTCAGGGCTCTCTGGGATGCAGGGGACCCCAAGAAGCAGTGTGCTGGGTAGTGCCTCTCCTACATAAGCCCCCAAACACAGTATGGTGGCTGGGCTCCCCAGATCTTAACTCCTCCTGTCACTGTGAGAACAGCAGCCAGCAGGTCTCCAGAGGCACAGGAGCCTTTCCCCAGAACCAGCCCTGGGCCCTCCAAGGTGGCAGCAGAGACTGTGTGTATGTGGTACAGAGGCGGCACCTCCGCCCACCATGGCCCCTGGGATAAATCACCCGGGAGAGGTGGGATGGGCCTCAAGGCTCTTTCCCCAATGGCTGGCCCAGCTTTTGTCCCCCTACCCCATGACCCTTCCTCTTGACCTACCCTTGGCTACAGGCACAGATTTTGGGGAGGCCCCAGTGGGGTCCTTACAGTTGGTGGTCTTGTCCTCCCCTCTGGAGCTGCTCTTGGCTCAGCCCTGACCCTGGAAAAGAAAGAACCAAAGGCACCGTGACTGACGGGCTTGGGTTTTATTTGTCATTCCATAAATACATGGCCAGGCCTCGTCTGAGTCTTGCTGGGAAGCTTGAGGCGCACGGTGGTCTCTGCCTGGTGGGGGTGCAGTTAGCTGATGGTCATTAAAAAAGGGGGAGAGAGCACGTTACGTACATGACTGGACAAGAGCAGGGCGGGAGTTGCCCCTGCTGCTTCTGAAGACCTTGGATCCGACCATAGGCTGGGATGAGAGATAGTGGGGCTCTGTGTTTCAGCAAGGAACCCTCATCCCAGGTCAGTCACTACTGGCGAGACCCAAGTCAGGGCCTGTGCTTCATGGAGAATGGGGTGAGGGAGGCTGGAAGGCGGCCAGAGCTGGCTGGGGATCATGGAGGTGAGACCTGGGGACCAGGGAGAGAGCAGCTGGCCCCAGACCTGTGGCTGTGCCCTCAAGGGCCAGTGGCCAGTTTTCCCTTGGTAGGCTCTGTCTGTTCATAGTCATCTTCCTTCGGTGGTCCCACCTAAAGCCCCTCCCTCACTGCAATCCCTTCCTGCGTGGAGGACCTGCCCCCAGAAGCAGAGCTCCACCCTTCCTGCAAGTGGACATGGAAGAAACCAGGTTGCTGAAGTGCCAGGCCCGATGGAGGATGCCTGGGTCTGGGATGCCACATGTGGTCTCTGCTAAGCTCACCTGGGGTCCTTGCAGGGGCTTGGCTTTTCTAGAAAGCAATAGCCCACACTGGACAGCCACGCACACCCTGTCCACCTCTGGGGGCAGCTGTGTGCACAGGGCTGGACACTCCCTGCCAACAAGAGGTGGGCGGTCCAACCTTCACTACCACTGGCTCGCTGTAGGGCTCTGGCCTGGCAGCAGGCACCTCCAATCCTGGCACAGAGGGGAGTGGCCTCAGCCCCCAACCTCAGCGGGGCTGGGAGTGGGGTGGGCAGTGGCCCCTCAACACACCCACAGGGCTGTTTCTGGTGAGGCTTATAGCAGGCCTTGGTGAAGAAGGCCCTCAGGCTTGTGCTACAGTGGGGCAAAGGTTCTAGGCCCCAGAATCAGCAGGAGAGCAGTGGGGAATGGAGGAAGCCAAGTGCCCCCCCCTTGCTGCCCTCCTCCCCCTCGGTCTTTGTGGCTTTCTTACAGTGAGTTTCCCAGGCCTCCGCCCACAACAGGCCCTTGGAGAGAGGCAGGGAGGAGTCTTCTCCTCGGAATAGTGGCTCTGAAAGGCAAAGCAGGAACAGATGTGCCTGCATCGGGATGGCGTGCGCTGTGGGCAGAAGGTTCAGGTCTCTTATGGAGCCAGCTGGCACATGTTGGGATCTGTAGAACCCTGTCTCCACATAGCCCGCAAAGGCTGGGTACTGCTAGGACCTTGGCACCACAGGACTGAATCTCCAGGCAGCCTGTCTCCCTAAATTTGCGGGCTTCCTGGCGTCACCGTGCGCCAGCCAACCCCTACTGCTAAGGGGCTGGTGCTCTGCCTTCCTGCTGTCCCTCCCTTTCCTCTTCTCCCCAACCTGTCCTAGACAGGGTTGGGGGTGCATGGAGGGGAACAGCCAGTTCTCGTCGTATCTCCAGGGAGTGGGTCCTGGGATGTTCTCCTACAACATGAGTGCTGCTGCTGGAGTGCTGCTGCTGCTGGAGTGCTGCTGCTGCAGCGCTGCCCTCCGGCCCCTGCAGCAGAGAAGGCCGAGGGACTCTCCCTCACTGAAAGGGTGTAAGTGTGTTCTCTGTGTGGAACCCAGGTCTACCACCCCAGCACAGGATGGAGGTGGTAGAGGCCTAGAGGAACACTGCCTTGTGCACGTGGGCCCAGCCTGCAGCCATCTGCATACCTTGTGGACAGCAGCCACAGTCTGGCCTGCATTGCTCAACCACAGGGCCTTCTGGGGCAAGGACAGAGGAGCCTGCTGCACTGATTCCCTCCCAAGTGCTCTAGGCCTCTCTGGCATGTGACTCACCGATTGTGTACAGGGTTGAAGAGATGGGGCAATTAGCTAGAAATCAGACCCTCACACACAATTTTTGTGAATCCCAAACCACAGAGTCAATACCCCTGGGATCCCTGCCCCTGCCAGCAAGGGTAGGGGTGGTCCCTATCGAGGTCTAGTGGGCATGGGGGTGGGGTGGGGGGCAGGTTGGAGTTGAGAAGGGCGATGAGGGGGATCGGAGTTGGGCAGCACAGAAAGTACCTTGGAAAGAGGGTCGCTCCCACCCCAACCACCAGGGCCCTGGTAGAGGGGACCCCAGGAAGCACTAGACTCCTCTTCCCAGGTGAGGGTTCTCAGCAGAGAGGCCAGCCCTGCCTGCCCAGAGGACCTGGCCAGGTCTCCACCTAGCCTTGTCTTGGGGAATCTTCACTGTAGCTGGGAGAAAACTCGGTTTCTGCTTGGAGGATGAGCCGGCACAAATCCGACATTGTCCAGAGGAGCAGCGGGTGGCATCTGGCGGTGACTTCGGAGATCATTTCCCAACGATGTCTGGGTGTGGTGTTTTCCCTTGGATGCAAACCACACTCTGCACTTGGTTTCGTAACAGCATAAGCGAGCAAACAGAGACGAGGAGGGAACCGGAAACTGTCCAAGCGGGTAGTGGGGGAGCAATTTAGGATCTGTAGTCCTTTTTGCTGTAGGGTTTATTGCCCAGAATGCTATCTATCTCGTGGACAATGGAAGATGACAGTTTTGGAAGGACCTGCAAGCAAGGACAAGAGCTATTCAGAATTGTAACGGCAAGTCTGGCCTGGCCTGGCCTGGGAAGACTCTTTTTCCCAGTGTCCCGTGGCCAGCCTGGCTGTGCCCCATCACGTGGGCTCCTTCTGAACCAGACCGAGGCCACACTGCCTTTGTGTTGCCAAAGGTTTGGGACAGACAGGAAGCATGGATGGGACTCTAGGATGCTCTGGAACCTTGTGGAAGGTGCTAGTGGCAGTGGTAGAGGGCCCACACACCTGCCTTCCATACCCCCAAATTGCTATGCCAGCCATCCCTGCCTCAGGTGACAGCAACACCAGTCTTCCAAGTGACAAAAAAACCTCAGGGCAACCTTCACTCTGCTCTTTTGCCCCATGTCCAGTTTTTCAGTCAACCCCATCGGTCTTACCTCCCCATGTGTCCAGGGTCCAGCCATGACTCCCATCTCACCAGTCACAGGGACTGTTGGATATCCCACAGGTCTCTCGGCCTTGGTCTTTGGCCTCCCCCAACCCCCAATCCCCAGCCAGAGGAGCAGGAGCCAGCTGGGGCATGCCCCTTGCTCAGCACCAAACCTCAACAGGGCTCCTGTCTCATTCCAGTCCTTGGACACATGAGACACTCTTTGGGACCTGCTCCTCTGCTCCAGGCCCTCTGGTCCCCTTGTCTTTCTAGGCTGTTCCTGATAGCTAGAGGGTTCTCCAGGCATCTGCATGGTTCCAAAGCCCCTTTCTCCTCAAGTCCTCTGACAACCCCTAAACCTGCCTCCAGCTCCCTTGCCCTATCCTGGCCTGTTTCCCCTGGTGCTGGCCACCTTCTGACACCCACCACGGTGCCCTTGTTTCTTGTATTTAGCGTTGCTGACCATTCTCCTCTGCTAGAAAGCAGCTCCTCAGGAGGGCTTTAGCCAACTCAGCTGACTCACACATGTCTGGAAGGGTGCTCGGCAGACCTGTGCTGTGTGGACTGGTGGGGTGTAACTCCGCTGGTAGGCCTGTGCTCACCTGTATTGCCCCAATGTTCTCCATGAGCTGCTCTGCATTGGAAGCACCCAGGAGCACGGAGCTGACCCCCTCGTTCCTCAGGCACCAGGCTGGGGACAGCAAGACCAGTGTGAGGGAGGCAGCTGTTCTGGCCCCTCTGGCCCCGCCTTGCTCCTGACTGGGCAAAGGTACCCAGCTTCTCATCTTGGGGCTGAGAATGCCTATGATGTTCAGCAGTGTTGGGTGAGGTTTCGCCCAAGGGGTGGCTGGAGGGGGTCCTGGTGGGGAGGGGGCCCACATGCTCAGGGAACTCCCTTCACTCCCCATGACCCACGGCAGGTTGATGGAGGGGATGGTCCAGGCTCTCAAAGTCCCCTGTTGTTTCCCCAGGGATGTAGCTCCTAACCCTGCCCCACAGAGCCCTGTCACCTATGGCCAGCGAGGGATGTTTTCCAGGGACACTGGCCCCACTGCAACTCCCAGCCCATTACCTACTGCAGCCCGGGACCCAGCCATTTCCCCAGAGCCCGTTACCTATGGCCAGCTGTGGGAGGGTGCAGCCTAGGCGCTCGGCAATGGCCTGCAGTTCCTTCAACTTGGCCTGCTGGCGCCGTCCCTCCTCACTCAGGATCTTGTCTTTCAGCCACTGGTATCCCTGGGAAAAGGGCACAGCTCCAGGTGAAGGGCAGTCACCTGGATTTCCTAATGCAGAGCCTGCTCTCCAGACCCTTGCAGAGGGCCAGACTCAGGTAGATGGAGGTCGGGCCCGTCTATGCCCTAACGGACACAGTCTGTCAGAGGGCTGACTCCACTCCAGGCCAAATTGGGATGCCAGGGGCTGACCTTGCCTTCTCCCAGAAATCTGATGGCCTGGGGCACTGGCTGCCAGTCTCTTGGCTACAGGACTCCTTCCGCTATCCCTGGGGAGCTGCGTCTCCAGTTCTCCAGGGGGCTTGCTCCTGCCTGATCAGGGCTCCAGAGCTCCTGTCTCCCAAACGGGAACCCTCCTGAGTTCCCTGAGTGTGCAGGGGGTCAGGGAATGGCACTTGACCCAAGAGCCAACTCTTGGGTCAGCTAAGCTGAGTCCCCGGGCCTGAGCTTAGCCCCAGGGGTCTCAGGAATGGTGGGAGGGCAAGGGAGTTATAGCGGGAGGGGGTACCCCAAATGGCGTAAGTAGACCAGCCTACGCTGTGAGTGTTGAACCATGGTGAGGTGGAGGAGGGCTGAAGGGGCCTGTGCCATGAGGTGGGTCAGGTCGTAAGGGGCTCCATCTGTGTTCTCATGCCATGGGTTCTGTCTTGGTGGACAGTGGCTGGGATGGCTGAGGCCCAGGGAAGCTCTGTCCAGCACCAAGGCCATGTGCCCAGAAGTCTCACCTGTGCAAAGTGCCCTGCCCCACTCTGGCCCCAGCTTACCTTCAGGGAGGCTCTGGAGTAGGGCGGGATACCACTGTCATACTTTCCCGAGACGATGCCGCAGGCCAGAGGGGACCAGGTCATGGCGCCCACACCTGAGAGAGAGAATCAGGTGAAGTCGAGCCTGGGGCCCTGCCGGCAGGGTAGGGGACAGGCACCCACCTATCTTGTGGAACAGCTCAGGCAGCTGCACCTCCACCTTCTCGCGCTGGAACATGTGGTACTCGGCCTGCTCGCAGATGGGCGGGATCAGGTTGAATTGCCGGGCCACTGAGTAGGCCTCCTGTGGGTACAGAAGGGGCCCAGGTGGCCTCTGAGTCAGCCTGGGAGCCTGAGGGTCATGGGGAGAGGACACAGAGGCGTCCCTGGGAAGCTGTCCCCTTCCCCCAGCTCTCCTAGGAGTCTGGAAGGCCCTTGTGAGCTGGGAAAAAGGGTGGGATGTAGGACCCTAAGGCTGAAAGGTCTTGGGAGAAAGCACAACGCCACAGTGAGACTGTACTTCTGGCAGTTTCTGGCCTTGGGCAAGGGGCTCACCTGTGCCTCATTTTCCCCGTTTGTCCTGAGCAGGCCAATGCACCCTCACAACAGGGCCTGGCTTGTGGCCAGCACACAGTCTGCCAGATATACTGTGCTAGTTTTTAGCCCCTTAAGCCCTGGGGCCCTGGTCCCAGGATGAGGGTCAAGCAGTCCCAATTTCAGCACTGGAAGCTCGAGGGCTTGGCTTGCAGATTCTCCCTCTGTTCCCAGCTGCGGGGGTGAGCCAGGGCTGATGCCAGACAGACTCATGGAAAGACCCCTTTGGTCTGAGACTCAGTGTTCTCACCTGTAAAATGGGGGGTAATGGTACTGACACCTCCCCAAGCCCAGTGCTGCCTGCAGGAAGATCAGGAAAATGCCACATGCTAGCTCATTAGAACCACCAGCACCAAAGACTGGCTCATATCAAGGGCTTCTGAAGTTGTGTTTAATTTGAAATGAAAATCCTGATGGATGTCTTTCATGAAGCAGGCACCTGGGACTCACTAGGGGGATAATGGGTGCTGAGAATGCTGGGGCGCTGGGCATGGGAGGGGCTAAGGTTGGAAGGAGGCTGAGGGCTGGGCATTGCCATACCCTACCCCTCGCTCTGCCTGCATGGAGGCAGCCTCTCTCTCTTGGGACCCCTCCCCTCCACACCTCTGAGAAAAGGGCTATGCTGCTGACTCTTCCAGGGGGCCCAGAAGGACCTGCAGCCCTTGGCCTCTAATGGCTCCACAGAGAAAAATGACAACTAGTAGAATCTTTCCTGGCAATATAGGCGAGGGGGAAAAATCACCAATTAGGAGATGGAAGCCCAGGGTCCTAATGGTTGGGTCACATTCTAAGGCAGCCCGGGTTCTGAGCTGCATGGCTTGGATATCAGTCTTGGTCTGAGCTGTGTGACCTTGAGCCTACTTCTCAGCCTTTCTGTGCCTTGATTTCCACGTCTGAGAAACAGGAATGACAGCAGCATTTGCCTCACATGGCTGTGAAGGTCAGATGGGAGTCAGTCTCCAGGAAGGCCTAAATCTAACAGCACCCAGAACATCCTAAGAGCACAGTGCAAGTGGCTAGCAGTGTCACTACCCAGGGCCTGCTGTGCTGCAGGACCCTGCCTTCTCAGAGAAGCCTTGGAGCAGACACACAGGGGCAGGCCATGTTACAGGCTTGTTCTGCCGGTGGGGAAACTCAAGAGAGGGGGAGCCATCTGTCCAGGACCACCTGATGCTGTGATTCCAGTAGAGACCCATGTCTACAGGCATGACCATTACACTCCCTGGTACTGTCTCTCTCCTTAGCACAGATATGCCCAGCCTCAGGACCCTCTCCCAATACACGGGGCCAGGAGCCCATGTCTGGGGGGCACATGCAGGGTGTCACCGTACCATGATCTCCATGGAGCTCCAGCGCGACGTGCCCCAGTACATGGCCATCCCCTGGTTGATGACATGGGTCATGGCCCGCACGGTCTCTGTGTGAGAGAAGGGAAAACACAGTTGGGGGCACCTGGAGCTCAGGCCCAGCCTGGGGACATTCTGCAAATGCAGGCAAGACGCTGGGAGGAAGGAGAGGAGCTGCAAAGTTGTCTTGCAAGCAGTGTACTTCCTGGCTCCAGAGGGTGTGTGTGTGTGTGTGTGTGTGTGTGTGTAGGTTCCAGGAGGAGAGAAAATAGCAACTCACAATCTAAGAAACTGATCTTAAAAACAATTTCTCCAACTAGTTACAAGCTTGATGGATCTTTGAAAAATGGGCTACGCATGGACTGATGTCTTCAGGGCAGATTATAGGGATGAGGGAAGATGAGATCAAAGAATTAATTCCAGACTTAAGAATGGGGTCTACAGCTGGGGGAGAACTGGGGACCCTGATTATTTGGGAAGGACCAGGTAGACAGATTAAGGCCACAATCAGATTAGCAGAAGGCAACAGGAAGTAAACAGGGTTCTACCTATTTCTGGCCTCCTACTGTGGACCCTGCTACATTCCCATTGGAATCTCCAGGACTCAGAGTAGGAAGGATGGCTCCCCATAGAGTGGGGCTCAGGAGGGAGCTCCCCTCATGTCTAGGTAACCAGAAGCAGATTGGAAAAGCCTTGTATGGACCAAGTCCCAGGCCCTCAAACCGGCCCAGCACTGGGTCAGGGTCTCTCTCTGCATGGAATGGTCCCAGGGCAGTGGGGGTCTGGCTGTCTCTCTTGTGAGGGGCCACGGCTTGTAGCAGTTATGCGGGTCCATGAACTCTGAGAACAACCAGAACCCTGGACAGCCGAGACTCACAATGTCTTAAGGAGTGAATGGCTGAAACACTAGGCCATCATTTCAAATAGGAGACAAAGGGATCTCCCCCACCCCAATAGCACAATAGCTTCTTCCTAGCATTCAAAAGTTTGTGAGACATAAAAATCTGCTGGTCGTAGGTCCCCCTTGGCTGTTTCAGCCTCCTGGGATGTTGTGGTTTTAAAAACCGAATGTGGTCTCCGATTATCACGTTGCAAACATCCTTGGGTTTTGTGGGGTGGAGGGCTGGCCACTCCACAGAATTCTCACAGGTCCAATACAGTGCTTGCAAGTTCTGCTGCCAAGTGCAGCATAGGAAAAGTGGAAGAACAAGTGTTTCTAAAAACAAGGCAGGAACATCCACCCTTGAACCCCCCTCCCTCCCTGAGTGACCCACTCCTCATTACTGAGGCTCCTGGAATTGGCTGGGGTGTGAAAGACAGGCAGGAAGAAAGAATGCCAGAAGGTCCCCAGGCACCCTGCCCTGCAGGGGGTGGCACTGTTGTCTCCCATCCACACTGTTTTGGGGTGTCACTTCCCACCCATCCTGGGTCCCTAAGTATCCAGATGACCAAGGTCTACTCAGGTGGAACCCATAGCATCTTAAGCAGTGCCACTAGGGTCACTTGGGCTTGTGGGGTACTGGTCCATCCCAGCAGGTTCACCCAGCCCTATTCTTTCCTTCCTTCTGGGGTCTGGGATGTGGTTCCTGGGGTTCCTTTCCACCCAAGCCTGGTGAGTGACCTGGGCGGGGAGTCTGGGCCTCCCGGGGACCCTCCCTGGGCCTCCTGCTTTGACTACCAACAAGTCAGATATATAGGGAGGAGGACAGTTCCTGGTAGGAAGGGTTGTAGATCTAGAGGGTCCCAGGGACCTTCCCAGTCAAGCCAGCCTCCTCCTGCTTGGCTGTCCTCATTAGGTTTTTTAGAAACACTCTTGGGAGCACCTGTGACCATGCAGCATACATCCCCAGTTCTTTCAGCCAAGGCTTAGGTCCACATGCCAGAGAGAGGGAAGCCAAAGGACCCCCATTGCCAGCCTTTCTCCCTTGCCCGCCCTCCCCCATGGCTCTCTCCAGTCACAAAGATCCCAACCAGTGAAACTGTGTGATATTTCCATACACTGACAGGGAGATGGAGTCAACCTGGTACCCAGGGGACAAGGCTGATGGGACAGGGTCTGGTGAGACTGGCTGTTTTGAGTGGGAGGGGCACAGGTCCCGGGACTCCCTGGAGGATCTAGGCAGAGGCAGGCTGGATGTGGAAAATGTGCAGCAGCACGGGCATGCATCTGTCAGTGCAGGACATCAGTGGCTCCAGAAATGGGGACAATTAGGGACAACTGTCCTTTGCCTCAATATTTAATGCCAGTAGACAGGAACACACAGGTACCAAATCCTTCCACCTGCTGCCAAAACCCTGGGCGCCTCTCCTACATCACAAATAATACATGGGAGGGGTCAGGTGGCAATGCCAGGTGGCAGGCAGGAGCCCTGCTAGCATGGAACACTGCCCAGATCCCAGGGAGACCAAGGCCTGACCTTGGGGCAAGGCCCTGGGGCCCTTTGCTGAAGTGAGGGCAGAGTCCAGGTACTGCCAGAGGCTGCCCCAGGCCTGGGATTACGCTAGCTCACATAGGAGGCACATGACTCCATTTCATGGACAAGTCTGACCATAGGTGAGAGCACGGATGGCCCCACCTACTGAGGGGACATGAGTGGTCACACAGCCAGAGTGCTTACAAGGAGCCAGCATGATGTGGACGGGCCAGCCTTGTTCTTTGCCTCTGGTTGGAGTCTGGAGCTTAGCAAGGGTGAACTATGGTGGAGGTAAGACTTCTTGGGAGGCTACAAGTTCTAGGGTCCCCGATGGGTTTTCTCCTTGTGGAAATCTGGTCTTCCCCAACCTTTCTCATCATCCCATCCAAAGTCAGGTTCCTAGGCTGGCCCTGCCACATCCTCAAACCAGGAGGAGACCCCAGCAGAAAGACGGCGGCATATTACAGCAGCACAAGCAGGAGGGCGGGGACATGCACAGAAGGGAGGAGGGATGAGATGACAGCGTGGATGGGTGGCGAGGGGCTCCGACACCACTTGGTTTTTCCTTCACTTGCAAGATGTCCTCACAGGGCACTTCCCCCCCTTGCATTTCATGGAGAAGTTTGTCATCCAGGGAGAGAGTCGTGTAAATAAAAACACTGTCTCGTAAAATGCAGCTCGGACACAGAAGTCAATGGTTGGCTAAGGGTACCTTCTATGATGAATGTCCTTGACTTGGAGGAGCTAAATGGGTCCCCTGGTGATGAAAGAGAGATTTAAAGAGACCAGAGTTCATAGCTGTGGGAACACGGAGGCCTGGTATGACAAAGGGCAGGGAAGGGAAGCACAAATCACTGCAAAGAACACACATTCTGCTGAAAAGAAACAGAAAACAATATATATACGCACACTTGTGTGGCATATATAATATATATATATATACATATATGTATATATGTATATATATGTATATATGTATATATATATATATATATATATATATATATATATATAAATGGAGAAAAATACCTTGAATGCAACTTAATTTTCCAAGTCCTTAAAGCAGCGAAGCATAAATGAGAAGTTGCCAGTAGCAGGAAGCAGGGGAGATGGGAGGGGCTGAGAGCCAGCAATGTGGGGGAGTAAATAAACCCAAAGAAACCCAAACAGCTTTTCAAAGCACTGAACGTTTTTTTTTCTTCTAGGTAATCATTTATCCCCCAGAGCAAAAGATCCCTAAAACCTCCCAGTGGAACCAGATTGAGAGGAATGCAACAACTGCCAAGAATCATCAAACGGCCACTACATCTCGCTACAAAATAGCAACAGTTGAGAGAAGAGAACTCCATGCAGCTCCAAACAGTACCAAGTATGGTTCAGGCATGGACTGAAGAGCGGGGAGCCAGACTCAGCCTGGAGGTGCCAGGGTACACCGAGGTGAGGGGGAGGACTGTCCACCCTTCTCCCACCCATTGTGTGACTGGCCTCAGCCCTGCGCCATGCTATGGGTCATCAGAGCCTCAATCAGATCAGACTTTTGGTCAGCCTGGCTCTGTTTTTCTGGAACCCACCTAGACCCACTTGGGTCTGACTGACCAGTGCTTCTGGGGAGCGCCTACCTTCCATGGGCGTGTTGGGGTCCGGGCGGTTAGCAAACACCACATCCACATATTCCAACTGCAGCCGCTCCAGGGAAGCCTTCAGACCTGGGGGAGGACAGGGAGTGACGTCACCGCTGCTAGTGCATTGTGAAAACACTTGTGGACCCTCCCTGTGCCCAGCTTTGGGGACATGAGGTGAAAGAGGCCAGGCTCCCATCATGGACAAAGTTGTGAGGAGCCACCACAGAAGTGGGGCACATCCCAGAGGGAGTGGGCATCCTGGCCATTTCAGGACGTGTGGGGACCACAGGCCGAATGCTCCTGAGCTTCTGGTGGTGCGTGTTATAATGGCAGAGCTGCGTTATCAGATGAAGAGGAACATGTGTCCTTCTGTTGTCCACCACACGAAGGCCAGTGGTGTCTGACTTGCACCCGTCACCAATTAGTCCTTCCAACAGCTCAGAACCAACAGGCACGGAGTGAAAACACCACCTCTAGGGGGTGGGAGGGTCAAGCCCCCCAGTTAAGATGTTTAACAGAGGGAGGATATTACCTTACTGGAAATAAACTTGACTAGGAAAGGCATGAAGGCAGAAAAGTGCCTTCATCCAGCCAGCCTTGTTCTGGGTGTTCCCGGGGCTGAGCCCTGGCTGCATGTCCATGACCCCAACAGCTCTGAGCTGGGCACTCGTAGCCCTACCTTAGATGCTGGGACAGAGGACTGGAGAAGCGATGGCTCTTGCCCAAGGCCACTCAGCAGAGCCTGAATTAAACCCTGGGCCACCCGTGTCCAGCCTCATTTCTTGGAGGGTCCCCTTCCTCCATGCCTGCCTGAGCTACTAGGAGAGGGTCAGCTTATAAACTCCAGGGGCTCCAGAGTTGGGGCCTCTGCTGGATTACTGGGGAGCTGTGCTCTTCTGCTTTTCCTTCACAGGAAGACCCCATGGACTTGGGGTGCCCATGGCCAGAGTCCCTCCTTACCTTCTATTATGTGCTTCCTGGAGAGGCCTCTCTCAGTCTCTGCTCTGAAAAACAGGCCAGAGGCATGTGTGAGGTTGCAAGTGGTTTTGGAGAAAATGTTTATGATGCATGTTAGCAAAAAAACAAAAAAAAAGTCAGCAAACATGATGTACAGTCTGATTCCACTTCAGGGTAACAACTGGAAGGTCTGGGCTGAGTTCCCAAGGGCTCAGGTGGAAGCCTGGACACTGTCCCCAGGGGGGCTTGGGTGAGGGAGGGTGGCAGTAGGGAATGAGGGCTTTGGCTCTCACTTTTACCCTTATGTTTGACTTGGATTTTTTTAAAGCTGAGAATGTATCATATTTATAATCCTACGTGATGGAGTTTGTCCAGCCCCAGAGAGAATACAAAGTCAAACACCTGGACATGGGTGGGGGGGTAAAGTGGCCTAGGGAATCTGGGGTGGTTTGGACAGTTACAAACTTTCTGTGTTTCCAGAATTTTTTTGATGTTACCTTTGTAATCAGAAGAAAAAAAAAAAAACTAAGTAAAATAAAAAATTAAATGAGTCTGAGCACAAGACAAATTTAGCCAAAGCTGCTTTTCTGGGTTTGTTGTTCCTTAACAAGGATGGGTACCAGCTGTGTGTGCAGCTGTGCCAATGCTGCCCTACCCGCTTGCTGTTGGGCACTGGAGACAGGAAACCCACACTGGGCTTGTTACCCTCCCTTCTCAAGGATGACAGACTCTCCTGCCCACCCAAGCCTCCTAAGTCAGTTTTTGCAGGAGGCTGGCTGCAGGCGCTGGCCACTGGGAATACCTACTTTCCACCCCAGAAGATCTTGGTGGTGATGACAAGACTGGATCGCCTATGGAACAGAAGAGAAGAGCGCCATTACTGAGCCCAGCCCCTCAGGGGTCCTCCCTCACCCTTGCCGCCCTCAACTCTCACACAGGAGTTCCGAAAGCCTTCCCACATGGGAGTCCAGGTGTGAAATGAACACTTTCCATGGCTAGTCATGCTGGTCACATGCCAAGCCTGGAGGCTTGGAGCTCCGTATCTAGCCAGAAGGCAGTCCCCCAATGCAACCAACCACTCAAAACTGTAGTTTGGGCAGCGGGGCTTGGACAGCAAGGGGCCTGTGTGACCAGAGCTGGGAGGAGGAGACTTAGAAACTGAATCTCTCCCCTTCCCTGTGCTGGGGACACAGGGCTGCTCGACTTTGGTCAGGGTAGCGGGAAAGCAAGAGCAGAGGTTCCTTTCTGAGGGAGGGTATAACCCGTTTGGAAGGATGACGACCTCCTGGTCCCCATGGCTGTGCACCCCTCCCCATTAAGGGATGCTGAGGCAGGCAGCTACTCAAGCCAGATGCACAAAGCAGGCTCTTGTGGCCAGAAGCATGGCAGTGGCATGCATGGTGTCAGCTCAAGGCCAGGGGATGACGAACTTCATGTAGCTCTGTGTGTGCACAGTCAGGGGATTTGCTAATATGTGCTGTTTCCTTGAATTACCGAGTAAGGAGGAATTTATCTGAGCTCCGTTATTTGGGTGAGAGAGGGGCAGTCTAAAACCATTGGGGGGTAGGGTATACCCCCAAGCTTTGCTGAGATTCTGTGTGGCATTTGGGAGGAGGGAGGAGGGAAGGAAAGCAGGCCCAGCTTTATAACTGCTTCTGATGTTTCTGAAAATACTAGAGTATGGACCAGGGCTTAGCCCAGTCCTATAGAGGAGGGTGGGGGCCTCTGCCTGAGAAGGACCCTGAGGCTCCTGACCCAGTGCCCTTGGGTTTCATCACCTCCTGGGGGCCAGCCTTGAGGGACAGGATATAGGTAGGAGCTGAGCTGAAGACCTCCCACTCCCAGGCAGGCACAAGCCACCAGCCGGGCTGGGAGGGTGATTTATAGACGTCAGATAGCCTGCCTAGCAGGTCTGACACTGGTCCCTTTACAGATGGGAATAGTGAGCACTTGGGGGTGAGACTCTTGCTAAAGGTCCTGTGAGCAGGGCAGAGAGGGTGGAGTCCAGCCCCTCCTCTGAAGTCCTCTCTCTGGCATCCAGGCTCCTCTGACCTAAGTGTCCAGCCAAGAGGCAGAAGGCATTTTGCATCTGTCCTCTGCAGCGAGCCTGGGCTATGTGGGGAGCCCCCCACTTGCAGCTCGTTTTGGCTGGAGGCTTTGCATCTGGATCCTGGCACTCTGATTCTCTGAGGGTGGTACGGGGACAAGGGTGGGAGGCCAGCATAGTTGGCCTCCACTCCACTATTCCCAAGCAGAAGTGCTTCCACCTCTCAGAGAACTGAATTTTGTGGGGACTTGGTGAACACTGGCACCCCGGCTCTGGCTCCTTGCAGGGCAGACTCCCTCGTCTCACTCCCCCCCACGCCCCCCGGAGGATTCCATTCTGGAACATTCTCCTCTTTCAGCAAGGAAAATTTGGGGACTTCCAGGCCTTAGCAAGACTGTACAAAGGGCTGACAAGGCTAACCCTGGGGCACTCCATTGGGAAACAGGAAAGAACAACCCCCAAACTCTCATTCTTCCCACTGTAGCGCCATCCAAGCCCAGGCTTGCTCCAGGCAGCCTGCCCACCCCAGCCAGAACCCTAGCCGGCATCTGCTCTCTTGTGCTGCCTCCCACCCCTGCCTTCCCTGCGCGTGCCCTGGGGACAGACCACAGAGAGGACCCAGTAATTACCTCCAGCCTCTCTTCTTAATGATACTTCCCAACACCACTTCAGCTCTGCAAAGCGAGAGAGACAGACATGGGGATTTCATCACTGCACAATGGAAAAAAAAAAACAACCCCAGCTCCACCGTGACAACTAGACATTGGTCTTCTTTGTGAAAAATGCCATGTGGGCTAGAGAGCCAAGCTGCCCATGTGGTCTTGCCTTCGCAGCTCATTCCAGAGAGAAGCAAGGCCTGGGGCTGCCTGGGGCTGGTGGGGAGCAGTTCTGCTATTTCCCTACTAAGTGTACCTGCAAGTGTCTGTCCCAGCAGCAGTGGTCCCAGCTCTTATGGAGACGAAAGGGACCCATGTCCTGCTCAGCAAGGCCAGCATCCAGCTTCCCTGGCCAGCTGGAAACTCACAGGGGAAAATGCCTGGGAAAGTTGTGTGGGTCAAGTTTGCAGATGAGCCTATTTGTAAAAGGTAAATCGTTCGCTAAGAGTGCCCTCTGTTTGCAGAGGACTCAGGACCAGTGGTGGGATTTCCAGCAGAGCGTGTGTGTGCATGTCTGCATGTATACATGTGTGTGTGTGTGTGTTTGTGTGTGTCCCTCCTGTTTCTCGCTTTTGAACAACAGAGAGATGCTATGCCGCCCACTGTCTGTTCTGCTTGGCGTCACTCCGGGTCCTGCACCAAATTCGGGCCAGCTGGGGTCACGAGCGGGCTGTTCCAGCCTCTCTTGGCACAGCAGTGCTGGATTAACTTTTAAGAACTTTGTGTGTAGCAAAATGTTTCTGAGCAAAAACAACAGACGGAGAACGATCCACACCCTGTGCTACATTCTAATTACAAAAGCGCCTGAGTCATCCACTCAGAAATAATGGGCTCTAATTTGCAAGCTGTTTAGCATACATTCTGAATGCTTGTCATTTATGGTCAGGATGCATGGAAAATTCACTCAGCCCTGGCCTTTTCCTCTCATTCTATGGTCCCGATTTGTTGGACCAAGGGTCGGGAAAGGAAGAAGATGGTGGTAGGGCGCTGGGACTGCAGAAGATGGAAACCCAAGCCTGTTGCTTGCCATCCTGTTTGCAAGCTGTGACTGTGGGAAGGCTTGCATCTGTCCAGGAGACACAGAAATCCTGTAGCTCCCTGGGAAGTGCCCAAATTAATCTCAGCACAAGAAGCAAGATACTTGCATGGCCACCCTGGTCTGCAAGTGGAGCTGTCCCTAGCCCCTTGCTTCTCCTAGCCTGTGCCCAGGACACAGAGCTCAGCTGCCCAGTGAGGGTGGCTGCTGGAGCAGAAGCATCTATGGGAAGAGCAGGGAGGTTCAGCTCTGGGCTGGACTGAGAAGGAGCTGCAGTGGCCGGCAGGCAAGGGGCTCCAGGAACAACAGCATCCCAAGCGGAAGCTGTTTTCTGAGGCTTGACCTTTAGTGGCCCCGGGGCTTCTAAGAGTTCCTGGTGCTCCTGCAAGGCAGCCCTGAGTGTTCAGTTAAATAGGAGGAAGTGAAGACCGGGTCCTAGAGCAGAATGTGGCCTCTGAAAAGCAGAGGGTGCTGGACCCGTGCATGGAGGCTGGGCCAACTGGGACTGCTCTCATGGGCAGCAAAGCCCAGGCGGAAGCTGGGCCAGGGAAGAGGCTCAGCATGGGAGATGCCTCTGGCTGGGCATCTGCACTGGGCTTTTTTGACCTCTGTCTCTTCAGCTTAGCTAATCTGTCTGTCTGGAAAGCATTTCACTTTGATGGCAAGCTGCTGCCAGTTTGGAGATGGTGAGGCATGGAGACTGTGGCATGGAGGGATGGAAGGGGTGCTGATGGAGGGTAGAGGAGGCTTGGGGGCCCAGCCTTTAGCTCTCCGGACCCCAGGTCAGGACTTGAGCAAATGCCCAGCTGGGTTCCCTGATGCTTGCCACTATGGGCCCTATTGCAGGCTGCAGGTAGCAATCAGAGTCCCACAAGGCAGGTGCTGGCCCTGTGGCCATGGCACACAGCAGGCCAGGGCTGCAGTTAGCCCAGCTGATGGGAACTTGGCTGGCCCCAGGCAGGAGGGAGCCAGAAAGAGAACGAAGAGAGAGCCAGCAAATGATTTCACAAACAAAAGCTGACTTTTGGAAACGTGATGCAGGGGAGTGGATGATTTGATTACAGCCAGTCTTTAAAACTGAAGCCAACAGCTCTGGCTGAAGAGGCCTGAGCTTTTGCATAATTGACTAGGAAAGTTCACTGCCAAGATGGGAAGTGCTTCCTTCAGCACTGGGGGCCAGCGCCTGCTCTCTCCAGTTCTGAGAGGCCACATTCCCTGCAGTCCTAACTGCATCATTAAGATGTGAAAATGTCAGGCGCACGGGGCTGACTGCAGGTCACTGGCATGTCAAGAGCGTCCAGGACAACAGCTTAATCACAGCTCTGGCCCAGAACAGCGTCATTGGCACCAGAAGGACTGTGCTCACCTTGATTCTTTGGCACATGGGAGTTTACTAAGTGACCAGTGCCCAAGTGTTCTGTAATTCTGGGCCCATAAAAATACCTCTTAAGGCCGTTTACAGTTTTAAAAAGAAGGCAGAGTGGAAACTGTGAAAACTCTCGGGAACAAAGTGACAGGGATACCAGGGCTCTCTGGCTCTTCCCGGGCATCTTGGGCCACCTTTACCCTTGAGAAATGAACATACTTGCCAGCTGCGTAGACCTCTGCAGTGTCAAAGAGGTTGATGCCATTGTCGTAGGCCAAGGTCATTAGCTGCTCTGCCATCTGGAATAAGAAAACAGGAGCTACTCATGGCCAGTATTGTCCTGCCAGCCCATGAGAGGGCTCAGAGCCTCCAGAATATAACCCTTGTGGCCTGGGAGGCCTCCCTGGTGCCCAGCCCCTGCTCTCAGCCCTGGACAGGCTCCTCTCCCACTCTCCCCTCATCCTCCCCTGACACAGGACAGGAAGGCAGCTCGCAGTTATAAACCCTTCAAGAACTAAGAAGTCAGGGCTAGAGGTGTGGCTCAAGTGGTAGAGTGCTTGTCTGTCAAGCATAAGGTCCTGAGTTCAAACCCTAGTACCTCCAAAAATCACAAAACAAACAAGAACAAAGAAGGCAAAATGGATGAAGAAACAGCCTATATATTGTGACTCTCTTGAGAGCAAGGACCCCCCGCTACTGGAGTCATCACAGAGCATAGTCCCTACACTGGGTTGAACAGTGTCCCTGCAAAATTCCCACACCTAAAACCTCAGAATGTCACCTTATTTGGAGACAGGGTCTTTGTGAATGCAATTAGTTAAGATGATATCATATTGCTTCAGGGTGGGCCCTCGATCTGTACCTCCTTCTGAGGTATAGGCTAACACCTTGATTTTAGACTTCTGTCCTCCAGAACTATGGGAGGATAAACGTCTCTCGTTTGGAGTCACTCAGGTGGTAGCCCTTTGCTCTGGCAGCCCTAGGGCACCATTGCAGCCCCCAGCAGGAGAGCGATAGATCTTGCTAGGATGGATGTTTTTTTTTTTTTAAGCTCTGGCTGTGTATTAGCTGTATCTCACTGAACTCTTTATAGGAACTGCATGAGGAGGTATTGTTACCTTGTGCAGATGGAGACATAGACGTCCCATGGGTACTGCACGATGGGGCTGGGAGCCATATGGCTTTGGCTGGTGTTTTTCTCATGCCACACACTCCTGGTCCTTAGTGAGGCAGGACTGACAAATAGCCCCCAATCCATTTGTCTTGATGTCAATCAGGTCTCACTTCTTGGGCTATTGGATGGATGAGCTTGTGCTCCATGAGCAAACACCAACTGGTGTGAGGGTTGGAATCAAAGAACTGGGGGGCTCACCTGCAAGTGACACCCCTTCCAATTGCAGAAGGCACCCTGAACTCTGTGTCCCTCCAGAAAGTGCTGCTGTCCCCCTGAAAGTTATACTTCCCCAAGCTCAGCTCATAGCTCCATGTCTCCCACTCCAGTGAGCCCCGGGTATGCTGAATAATTCCAGAAACCCTCAACCAGTGCGGGACAGAGCCAACCAGGGCAGCTTCAGGAAGCCTCAGGGACCAAGGTGGGAGGGGGCTTGTGGGGAGCTCCGGGAGCCATTGCTGGAGGGCCACTGCTATTTGGGGAGGGTCCATGCCCAACGCTGCCTATTGGAAGCTGGGCCCAGTGTTACTGGATCCCCTGATTTTTCAAGGGACACCAGAAATCCAAGATATTTTTGGTATGGGGTAAAACCTTCTGGTTCTCAAATTTTAGCACTGAAACAAAAACATTCTAGATGCTGAGCAGCCGGAGCTCAGCCCCTTAGCTGCTGGGGGTTGAGTCAGAAAGCCGAGAGTGGGGAGGCCATTGGTGGAGTTCTCTGTCTCCTTTTGCGGCAGCTCAAGTGACAAAGATCAATGTATCCAATGCATCCATGCTGCTACTCCTGGAGGGCCTGCAGCTCTGTCTGAGCCACCTTTTGTCTGTGCCCACGGGAGGAGTCTCTCCATATTACGGGGTACTCCTCTTCTTTCCCATCAAGGCACCAAGTGGCATGCTTGGCTCGTTCACTGGTTCACTCCCCCTTCACCCTGACCATTCCTGGATGACTCCCGCAAGTCAGCCTGACACATGCCCAGCAGGGCACCATGTGCTTCCCCTGGTAGAAAACATGTGGTCTCTCAGTGCTTCTGAGAAGATGGAACTCAGAGCTCAGCTTTTTATCTTTCTAGGTTTTTTTGTTTTTTTTTTTTTCATTTCAGACATGCCTACATTTCCTTATTCTACTTCCATCTTTCTTACAAGAGGGATGTTACACTACAGATATTCTTCTGTACTTTGCTTTTTTCATTTACAGTACATAATACTGGAGATCAGTTTATAGCAATTTGTGGAGATTCTCCATCCTTTCATGTTTTTTTGTTTTTTGTTTTTTTTTTTCTCCTGGAGCTGGGGATGAAACCCAGGGCCGTCTCATGCTTGCTAGGTAAGCACTACCACTGGGCTAAATTCCCAATCCTCTTTATTCCTTTTTAAAATTCAAATATTTTTTGAGTTGTGAATTTACAGGCTGGGTTTTGAGGGGTGTTTAGGAGTTTAGTTTGTCAGGCAGGCAAGGGGAGCGTGGGTGGATGGGTGAGGGGCATTGAAGGCAGGAGGGGCTGGTTTTGCCTGGCCTGTGCCCAGTTCAAGCACTGGGGAGCCTTCTGTACTCCTCTTTCTCTCGCTCCAGGGCATATCGCCAGCTCCCCTTGCAAATAGATCCTGCATCTGACTGTTCTCCTCCCACCCCCCGCTGGTTTGTGCAGTAGCCTCCTAACATTTCTGCTTCTGTCCTGTCCCCTACAGCCTCACCAGGACCACAAGTGTCCACATCAGAAATGCAGAACCTTCTGGGCACGGTGGCGCATGCCTGTGTATGCACTAAGGGAGGCAGATGCAGGATTGCGAGTTTGAGGCCAGCCTGGGTTACGTAGGGAAACCCTATCTTAAAAACAAAACAAAACAGAACAATTCAGAATCCCAGACTCTGCCCCCATCCTGCCATGCCAGGATGCGCATTTTGAGCAGGTTCCAGGGCACCAGTACACACGTACACATTAAAATTTGAGAGCCCTGCCTCTGCTGTTCCTCATGCAGCAGCTGGAGTGCGCCTTTACAGACCCAAGTCAGGCCAAGTTTCCTCTCTGCTAAAGCCCTCCAGTGGCTCTGTCCCACAGACGACCAAAGCAAAGTGCTTCTCTTCCCCCTTGCCTTTGACCCTACTTCCTGACCTCCTACCCCATCCATCCTGGAAGTCGACCTCAGGGCTCCACCACTGCCGTCTCTGCCCTCCAGAATGCTCTTTCTTGGGATCACCTGGCTCACCCTGTTGATGCTGCCTTCCCCACTGCCCTGCATCACACAGGGGTCTGTACTCAGCCCTCCTAGCTCTGCTCCTTGTTCTCTGTGGCCCACTACATGAGGGCTCTCCCAAAGGTACTGGGTCGCTGGAACCTGTGAGTGTTAGTTTAGGTAGAAAAAGGGACTTTGCAGAAGGGATTACATAAAGATTCTGGATTATCCAGGTGAACCCTAATGCCATCCTAAGGGTCTTTATTTGAGGGAGGCAGAGGGAGGCTTGATGCAGACAAAAGAGGAGGAGACGAGGTTAGCAAGAAGGCAGAGATGGGAGAAGGCAGCCAACCCCTGGCAGATGCCGAGGAGGCTGGAAATGGATCCTCCCCGAGGGCCCTCAGAGGGAGGGCGCACAGCCGTTGCTGCCTTGGCCCCAGCTCAGTGACACTGATTTGACACTTTGGCCCCTGGAACTGTGAGAGAACAAGTTCCTGTTTTAAGCCACCCTGTAGATGGTCATTTGTTACAGCAGTCACAGGACAAATACAGTCTCTATAGCACCGTTAACCATCAGAGACAGTATGTGTTTACTGCTTTACTGTATCTGGCCCCCTTCACAGAGAGCTACCTGAGGACAGGCACGTGACACTTGGTGGTGCTCAGTAAACATGAGTCCAAGGGTGACCATCCTCTAGTCTGCTCTGGGGGCCTCCAAACTGGCCACTCCTGCTGCCTCCTCACTGCCTGAGCTGCTCCTGGCTCTGTTCTGCCCATGCCAGGGAGGCCTCCTTCTCCTGCCCCTATTCACAGACTAAGAACAAAGTACTCTATGATATGGACCCCAGAGCATGCTAACCCTGAACATGCCTGGTCCCCTTCATGGAGGGGAAAGCCTGACCAACCACAGATACCTGCAGCCCCTGGCAGTCCTCTCAGGGTATCAAGTACATCAGCACACTGACCCAGGGCAAGAGGAAAGACAAGAATAACTATGACCCTAGCTGGGACAGCATGTTGGGTGAGTACGGACAAGGGGAGGAGGAGGGGATGAAGGTGTGTGAGGGGGGTGAGGGGTAATGATTCAGGACTGCACGTTCTTTCTGCTTACGGCTGTGATTTTGGGCTACTTCTTCCTCCATGTTTTTCATGTGACCATGTTTCCCCCCACAGAACCCCAGTGCTAGTGAACAGACTGCTGAAGAGGCCATGCTTCCTCTTGCTCTCTCATGGGTCCTGCACCCTAGTTTGTTTAACTAAACCTCTACTGTGTGACTCTGTGGTTCCTTCCAGCATCAGAGTCCCAGAACTACAAACCTTAGGTGACAATACAGACCACCTTCCTGGGGACAAGCAGTCACTCCATCCCAGGACAGCTATCCCAGAGCTGTGCACTACACTGGCTTTGAGGCCCAGAGCCCTGGTGTGACCCCCCCACACCTGCATCGTCTGGGCCTCCATGGACAGGAATATTAATGCCCCTGTCCCTGAGATGACAGTGCATTAAGTTAGATGACAAAGTTTTCCACCATCGCACTTGTTACTGCCTGGCCTGTCCTGAGCACAGGCGTCCCACGGTTGCAGTGTTCCTTGCACCTGAGCAGCAGTGTGAGGTCGCAGAGAGGGCACTGAGCCAAGCCTGGAAGCCTCACTCCACCCATGACAGCCCTGCTCGTGGCCTGAGACCATATGATCTTAGTTACAAACACTGTCTACTTCCTTCAGCCTCACTGGGAGGGACAAGGATGGCATTTTGTCCCTGGTGTGGCATGAAACAGGGTTGAACATCCAAAGATAATGGTGAGAGTTGCTGTGACATCACAGAAAGGCAAATGGGAGTGTGTGTGTGTGTGTGTGTGTGTGTGTGTGTGTGTGAAACATGGGCCAGACAGAGTAAACAATTCAAACTTTGTGGGCCAGACAGTCTCTGATTTTCTGTTAAGTACTCAGCTTTGCCTTTGTAGCAAAAGCAGCCACAGATGTTTAAATTAATTGGTGTGACTGTGTCCCAACAAAACTTTATTTACAAGAGCAGGTTGGACACTCACAGACATAGGAAATAGGTTAAGAGGTCAGCAGAGGCTGGGGAGATAGTGCTTAAAAGTACAGCGTTTCTATTGATGTAATAAAAAATTTTGGAAATGGTGATGTTTGAACAGCTATGTGTATGTACTTAATGCTACTGAACTGTACCCTTAAAATGATAAATTTTATGTTTCATTTGTTTAATAAAAATATTACAGAGAAAATGCAGCCCACAATGGGCCTCACTTCCTTGTAGCTATAACCAGAGGCAGCCATCTAAAGGATAATGACCCCAGCCTTCTTCATCTGGATGGCAGCCAGGGGGCCCTCACACTTGATGTATTGATTTTTTCACACGAACTGTAGCATTTAATACAAAAATTCTTCTTGCTCCTTCACTCAGACATTTTTTCCTGCCACAAACATTTGGAACCTTGACTTTGTCATCTGTTATCTCCTCTGTCCTCCCACCTTTGTGTCATCTAGAGATGACCTCCAGTATCTTTATCCCTGTCACTATATCCCTGATGGAGACATGATGGGGCCAGAGCCAGCCAGAACTGCCATTCATCAACACTCTCTGGTGAGCCCAATCTGTTGGTGAAAAGTCCACAAGGATGTCATACTCCATGTAGTGAGTGCTGTCTGGGAATGACTCACACCCCCTTCTGCCATCCACTGTTATAGTAGCCACATGGAAAGGGAAACAAAGCCCAGGCAGGCTGCCTTATTCAGAGCAAGGCACCCAGACCCCACAGCTCTGATTTCTCCTCTAAGTATGGGGAACCAATCTGGTGGGCTCAGGTGAAGCTCTTTGCCCTAGAAACTCCCGACTCCACCCTGAGGCAGCCTGAATCCAGCAACCTTCAGAGCATGGGGCAAATGGTCCATGACCAGCTACTGTCATAAAAATAAGGATGAACAAACTCATGCATTTAAATTTTGATGGAAGCAAAGCTTCCTCTGTGAAAACTGAGCAATTATAACTAACAAGGTCTCAAATCAACTCACTTATTGATTTTTAAATGCAACCCTTTTAACAGTAAGTAGGGTAAATGTGACAGCCACGTCTGGTGCAGGTGCCCAGAGCTCCTTGAGCAAATGCCACTTCCTTCCTTTCCAGATATCTCCTACTGTCCAGAAGTGGAATGTGCCTCTCTCCTTCTAAGGGACCCCACAACGTTGGCAGCACTTGACTTGGGCCTTCCTTAGTGTGTCCTACAATTAGGATACCAGGGTCCTAATTGTGCAGAGATAAGCCCCAGCAGATACCTTCAACTGTGATGCATTTATTAGCAACACGTACGGAAGTGCACAGTTAGGAGCTTGGTACAATGTCACCCTACCCAGGTTCTTCAGCTTCAGAAGAATTGCAGAAGCTGCATTCAAAATGATTGTTACAGACATGTACTGATGTCTCACACGAGGCAACACTGTAGGGTCAGCTCAGATACTTATCTGGGTTTGTAACTTAGAAAACACGGGCTCCCTGAATTCTTGGGGTTAACTGTGGCATACACCTGAGAGCCCTGAATTCCTGGGAGCTGAGGGGCTTGCTGAAGGACCCAAGACACCAGCTGTTAGGTGGTGTCATCAAATGCAGCATCTTCCTTGGACTGTACTGCCTGGCTTGCCTGTCCCATGGGACAGGGAGCCGGCAAACAGAAAGAGGGAAGCTGCTGCCATGGTTCCCCTAAGCACATGGTCCCAGGTTCATGCAAGGGACTTAACAATGTGCCTGGGGTGAGCCCCTGCTGGGCACTGGGACAAGGGAGCCCATCTTACCTCATCAGTGATCTGGCCTCCAAAGGTCACCCATGTTCCTGGAAGGAGACACATAGGCTTGAGTTAGACAATCTGCCGGATCTGCCCTATGGGTTCTCAATCCTCAGGCAGCACATCCTGGCATTAGGGGCAGCCATACTGCTCTGCAGTGAGCATGTCCTGTGTGTGAGAACACCTGGCCTTCAGGGAAAGTTCCCAAACTGAGGAAACGGTATCTTTGGGACAGATAGCCAGCTGCCAGCCCAGGAGGGCAGGTTCTTCAAAAAGCCTGTCTGGGGTGGGTGATGATGTGACTCCTTCTCCAGGGACACACTGCAGGAGGGGCGGGATGAGACGCATCTCCCTGACGACAGACAAGGTCCTTGCTCTTGCTGAGGAGGTGCAGGGCAGGGGAAACTGGGGCAGGAAGGGGGTCTATTGTGTGCATCATGGAGGTGGAGGATGGGGATTCTGAGAACAGAGCTGGCACCTGGCAAGAAGGAAAAGGGCAGAATCGGAAGCCATTCCTGGAGGACTCTTTCTGTAAAGCCAAGTCCAGCATAGAAATCCTGGCCTCCCTGGGGCCAGGAGCTGTTCTGACTCTCTGGTGGGGGGTGGGGAGCTGTGTGCAAAGGTGTTCTCCTGGCCTCCTCTACCAAGGCTGCAGCTCTGTCCTCTCCCTTTCCCTGCCTGCCTTCCAGTTGCCATGGCAACCTAGCCCCCTGAATCATGGGCACAGGGCTGGCCCTCTTGCAATCCCCCATTTCCCGAACTCACCGAGCCCCAGGCAGGAGACCCGCAGGCCAGACTTGCCCAGATTCCTGAAAAACAAACCCTGTGTAAGCATTTAGCACTAGGGCAGGACACCAGCTGCCTGGCTCAGCTGTGACACCAGCCCCTTGCCCGTTCCCACCCAGGCGATGCGTGTTCTGAGGCCCTGAAAGGCACAGGGGCCCTTTAGAGTGAGGCCTCTGCTCACCTGCAATCAGGGTGATAAGGTGCTGTCCCCCTGGACCCACATCAGGCTCTGGCATGTTGCTGGAGTGCTGTATTGGAGGCCAGCGGAGGGGCCGCAGAGCAGTCACAAGGACAGATGGCAGCAATGCCAAGAGATGCCATCTCTTTGTATGGATTGCAATGTGACTGACCCAGGCCTGTGGGGCATTCAGAGTCCTCATGCTAAGTTCTCTCTCCTTTTCTCTAGAAGCCACATTTGTGACTTTGTGGGTTGTTGCTCCCTCTCTTGGAGAGCAGGGATAGGTTAGCCCTTTTTCATCTGGGTCACATTGCTGGGCTCTGTCCCTCTGTTTCCTGAGGCTGGCAGTTTGGGGGACAATGTGATTCCCCAGTAAGGTGGCCCTGGCTTTTGTTACCGCTGCAGCCAGGTCCTGAAGTCCCTGTAGAGCCAGGCAGCTCCCGTCTTAACCAGGCACCACTGCCCAGCTCCATCATGGCTCACTAAAGCTTCCACCTGATGGGCTGCACCCCTGAACTCACACAAGTGGGCTTTGGGCCATCATTAACATACTTAGGAGGGTGTGAAGGGTGGCAGTTCTCTGCCGAGGACTGGCCTCCCTGTCTGTCCTGCACAGGCTGGCTGGGAACCAATGGGGAAGCAGCAGGCGGGGGTCCCCGAACATCCCATCACCAGGTCCTCCTGTCAACTCTGTTCAGCAGGTCTCTTTCTTCTGGGAACCACGATCCCCTAGGAACAGATTACACAGGGACCTGTCCAGAAGTGGGGAGAGGGGAGGCAACCTCAGATCATCTGAGCTCATGTTCTCCACTATGGTGCAATGTGCCTATCCGTGCCTTGTTTATGGGAGACACGGGGTTGCCTGCCCAGACGGTGAAGCTGACAAGTGGTAGGGGTGTCACAATCCATTTGAGGTCAGACTCCACTTCCCTGTGGACATCCGATCAAGGGCCAGCTATTCCCAGGGGATGGTGGCGAAAGCTCAGAGATACGACAGGGTGAAGCGCATCTGCTTCCCCAAGAGCCCAGCATTCCCTGGGACTACCCTTCTTCTAAATTCAGTGGAGGTTTTGTCTGTCCTTAGTTTATTCCCTTTCCAACCCAAGCCTGGACCCCGGGAAGGTGGCATGGGGCTCGAGCCTGGCTCTGACCCACCTCTCTCTGACTCAGGTCCATTTTGACCCCTCCACAGCCTCTGTTTGCCAGGCTATGGGACCCCTGGGCCTTGCCGGAATCATAAGTGCTTGTAGTGGGGAGGGTATAGCACTAGTAAGCAGGTTGAAAACAGTCAAATGTGTCATTAGTTTGAAGGTAGTTCTAAATGGCCCAGCTTTCTTTCCAAATTTCCCATAAAAACCAGTCCAGCTGCCTGCTGATCCTGCCCACAGGGACAGTTTTTCTCTAAATGAGAACATAAGAGCAAGGATTTCTTTCTCAGGAAGGGAGTACACTGGGTAGTGACTCTGAAGCCAGGGCTCGAATCTTCCCAGCTGCTCAGCTCTGGGTGTCATGTGACTGTGAGAAACCTTGGTCTTCTCATCAGCAGCCTGGGCTCCCAATGCCACCTCTCTCACCACTGCTGGGAGGGTGACGGAGATGATGCATGTGCTAAGGACTGGGTCACAGGACACTGACTCACACATGTCTTGCTTCCCAAAGGGGCAGGTGCACAGGTGATAGGACAGAAGCCTTTTCCTTGTACAAACTGACAATGCGCAGATCAAATGGGTTTACTACTACTGTGTTGAACAGGGAAACAAGGTTTCTGGATTTTCCCCTTGTAAGTCAGTGAATTCATCTAACAGCATCCAGAGCACCGTGTGCCTGTGTCCGGAGTACTTCTGGGGCAGCTAGACTACAGGACTGACTGTATCGTGTGTGACTTCTGCAGGGGCCAGGTCCACTGAGTAGTATAATTTTCCCCTGTGCTGGATAGAAAGTACCTGTCGTGGGAAATGGCAAAGTCACTCAGAAGGGGTGCAATAACCCAGTGAAAGGGCTGAAGGTTTGGATCACTGACTATGGTGGGGTTGCTGAACCCTTTGAGAAATGGATAAAGGCTACAAACTCCCTCCCTAGAAGTATGCACAGGTGCCAATATCCTCACAGCCCTGTTTGTAATGTCTGGAGAGCCCTGAACTCCACTGGGTTCCTAGTCTAGATAAATCCACACATTCAGAATGAAGGCTGGGCTCACATCTCTGCAAAACCACCTGCCCGAGTGACTCTGGGCAGCAATTCCTGGACCAACCTCAGTTGAAAGGCAAGTTTTAGGTGCATTTTCCTGAAAACTTCCTTTTTATGGGTGTAGTGCTGGGGCTGGGATTCAAACCCAAGTTCTCCAATGCTGGAACATGCTGCATGTTCAGGGGGACAGAATAGCTTTAGCAGCAGACAGATGGGGATGTGAAGTAAGAAGTGAGACCACCTGTGTCCGTGGCTGAAGAGGGAAGAAACCTGTAGCATGCTGGTTTGGGGAGGTACACCAGATGTACTCCTACTCTGAAGTCTCACTAGTTCTGGGTTTGTATGGCATGAGTTGGGTCTGCTTCACCAAATGGCTCTGAGCTCCCTCTGGTGCCTGGGGGGGACCCTAGAGTGAGGCTCTTGAGCGGCCTCTCCATCCACTGCCCGCAGGAATACTTAAACAAAACTAGGGCACTGCGTGATGCTGCAATTACCCTGCTCAACTTGTTTCCCCATTAAAATGATGGTATTAGTTCTGCCATCTGCTGCCAGGCCTCCGGAGAAGGAATGAGAAGGGACAGGGTACCTCCAGGCTGAGAGCTTTCTACATACGGCTGCTCAGTGGGTGTGGGGAGTGCTGCAGTTATAGCCTGGCCCAGACGGGGGCTGCTGCCATGCTGCAGCTCAGAACTTTCAAGACCTGAAAATCATCTCCTGCAGACTTCTTTCCCCTAATTAACACTTGACATAATGATAAAATAGTTGGTCGAAATCCCTAAATGCAAATACTATTGGTCTTCATTAATTGGCCTCATGTCTCTCTCCAGGTCTGGAAAAAGGGCTAACAAGGACTCGTAGACATTACTTTGCCAGAGAAAAGCACTAGTGCCCATGACATAACCCCAGACCGCCTCACATACCTTCCACTGCACCTCAGACTCTATGAAGGGCTAGAACTGGAGGCACCTGGAAATTATAGATTCTTTTAAAACGGAGTTCAGGACCTTTCATTCTAGCCATCTGAGCGGAGAACAAAAATTGGATCAGGTAAAGGGAGGGCAAGATTGTCTCGATCAGCTGTTTGAGGAGTGAGGGACACAGGTGTTTCCCCTTAGCTCCTTGTATGCCTGCCAGTCATGACATGCCACATGGTGACGGCTGATCTTGACTGTCAACTTGACTGGACTGAGAGCTGTCTAGGAGTTAGTAAAGCACACCTCTGGGTTGTCTGTGAGGGTGTTTCCAGAGAGGACTGCGTCATGAGGCTCTGACCTAATCCATGAATTAACCCCTTGATGGATTTACAATATGATGGTATTTTTGGAAGGTGGTGAAAGAAAGGAGGTGGGGCCTGGCTGGAGGAAGTAAGTCACTGGGGGAGCATGTCCTTGGGGAATAGATCTTGCCTTGGCCCTTTCTGTATTCCATCTTTCTGCTTCTTGCTTGCAGCCTCGTGAACCGCTCTGTACCATCACACTCTTCCTACCATGAGTGAACTCTCTGAAACACGAACCAGCTCCCAGCTGTCTATGTACAGGCCTGGTCTCTGTGTCTTTACCTTCAGATTGGAGCAGCAGGGTTTCAGAGTGTTGGTTACTGATGATGCTGGTGTCATTTGGGGGTAAGAAGCCCAGGTCCTGGGGTTAGACTCTCAGGAGAGAACAGAGGCTCCTCCTTTTACTCATAGGCTTGGCCTCCTACTGCCCTGCACCCTAGCACCTCTCAGACCCTCTGGCAAGAGCCTGGCACTTGGTGCTGCCAACTTCTATCTACCTTAACACCTGGGGGCTGGACTGCTTCACTGGACAGCTGAACCTGGAGTGGCCAAGAGGAAGGGTCAGTTTTCCAGGGAGAAAGGGAGGTACTGGGATCAGGAACACCTTTGTCTCTGCAACCTCTGGGTGGACCCTGGCTGTGGCAGTCACACTGTGGCTGCTCTTGAGGCAGGAGCCCATGAGGCCAGATGGGAAAGGGACTCAGCTAGGGTCCCTAAAGGGCATCATTTGGATTCCCACTCCCATTTCAGCCACAAGGAAACCACACACTCTCTTATATGAGTGCAACGCACCTCCCTCCCCAGACAACACAGAGAAAACCTCGCCAGGCCCAGCTACAGGTGAGGCTCTGTTTGCACCATCAAAGAGATGGGGTCCAGCAGCCAGAAGTGCTGGGACTGGGATTTGAATCCTGGCCCCCTGACTGCAAACCCTTCACTGTCTCACCCTCCCTGCTTCTGGCATGTATGTGCATACATGGACATGTACATACACACACACACACACACAAGTGTGAATACACAGATGCACACATCTGGAACACTCAGGCTCTTGGAAATCCACTCTTCAATGAGTCTTAGGGGGAATCATGTTAACAGTCGCACTTTCCCTTTACAAGGTGCTGTACAGAAACAGCCTCGCTTATATGAACTCCTCTGATGATTCTCAGGTATCTAAACTAAGTACACATATGTCTATTCCTATTTGCTCCTAGCTTTTGATCCCCCTTAACTGGATTTATAAACCACAGAGCTTCTCGAATACAGACTTCCATTCTAGATTGTCCTCACTAAGCTTAGAGGATGGGAACAAAAATCTTTTGCTCGAGAGGTCCACTAAAGGACACCAAACATCCCCAGGATCAGGGGTGGCAGGGATGTGGGTGCAGATGCAGGACCCAGTGTCATTCCAGAATTCATCCCGAGAGGGCATTAGCTTAGGTGGCACAGATCCTTTACATATGGCTGCCTCCCAGGCTTTGACTCTAGGGAGGTTTGAGTGCCCATCTCAGGTACGGGGACTGAGTTGGCACTAACACCGCTTCTGGCCCAGACCTTTCTCCTCCAATACAATGAGAACTCCATGCCATGACTGCTTCAGATCACTGAAATGCAGAATTGTCCCCAGTTCCTGCCTTGGAAATCTTTCCCAGGAATCCTATTTTTTTTTGGTGGTGGTGGTACTGGGGCTTGAACTCAGTGCCTTGCATTTGCTAGGCAGGCACTCTACCACTTTCTCAGGAATCCTGAAAGACAGAGCCCACCCCTGGCCTTTCCAGCCTGTGCAGACCACATGTGGCAGAGGGCAGGGACCCCCTTTCCCTGGAAGCACCTTTCCCAGGTGCTAAGAGCCCTGGTTTCAGAGTCTTACACCGGAGTGAAAAAAGCCAGACCATAGTATGTGGCCCAGGATATTCTTCCAAGGGCCCCTCCCTCAAAGCTGCCCCCCCATTCCACTGTGGGAGCACAGGAGCGAGGCCCCTGGGTGGGGAGTGGTGACACAGGGAAGGGGTGGGAGGTCCTGCTTGGGACACTCAGACCCTCCCCACATAGGAGTCACAGAACTGGGAACCAGGTAGGGGGCTGAGCCCACACGGAGGGAAACAAGATGTTGGGCTGCCCTGTGCCCACTTGCACCAGGGTCAATGCTGGAGGACGAAAGGACTGGCTCAGGAAAGTTCACTCCATTGCACGGTTGCCAGATAACCCACCAACTTTCAGATTAGTGCTTGTGATGGTGGTCTGCTACAAACACCTCAGACCACCTGCGGGTGTCTTCTGGTCCTGTCTGTTCAAGGGAGGGCAGGAGGACACAGGGGTCCCCAGGAAGAGCCAGCAGTGCAGAGTCTGATGTGATGGCTTGGCTATTGGAATTGATCCCCAGAAAGGGAACAATTTGCAGCTGTGGAGAAAGGGCTTGGGGCTGACCAGAGATTCAACTTACTTCTTACCAAGTCTACAAAGTGCTAAGTGCCACCCCCACCCCCACACCTCAGCACAAACTGCCCAAGACTGGTGGAGTGGGATTTGCAGGCAGGAAGTGGGAAGGGGTAGCCCCCACCCAGAAGAGTCATCGGCCCCTCGTACCTATAATTCATCCCTGGCTGCTTCACGCTGGCATCTCCAGTGCTTGGAATGCTCTGCACCGACAGCTGTCCCAAGCTCCGGGCCACCATGGCCACAGCACGGAAGCGGCTGCGGGTGCCTGGGCTGGGGCTGCTGGCTGACGGCCGACCCAGCCGCTCTTCAGGGCCTCGGCCCTTGAGGCTGTGCTCGGAGCACACGAATGACACCTGCATGTTGAGGCTGGGCTGAGCTTCTGGCTACCTGTCTCCTCTGGCCAGGCTCAGAAGTCATCCGACCTTCAGGAGCCCATCTCTGCCTGGGACAAGACTTTATCCCAGAACGTGAAGAAGCGGATGGGCGTTCTTTCAGGAGCGAGGATTTCAGAAGGCAACAGAGGAGATGTGCAGTGACCGAGCACAGGGCATCAAATTTCCAGACAGCACTAGAAAAGACCTTACCCGAGAGGAGTCAAAGATCAAGGCGGGAGTCGAAGGTCCAGCGGGGGTGGGGCCATTTTTGCTGCCCTCTCACATCTGCCTGTCCCGTGCTGCTCTGGCTCTACCTGTTCCCAACAGTGTCCGAGAGTGCTCAGTGGGGCTGGACCGTGAGGGGCTCCCCAGCCGATGAGCCTGAGGAGTGCGTCTGCTTTCTTTTAACAGGAGGAGGGAGTTCCCCTCTGTGTCCTTGCTGCTGTTTGCTGAGCCCAGGGGTGGTGGCCTGGTGCTGAGCAGGTCCACTGTGACCTCCTTCCTGGGGCAGTGGCTGGAGGGTGATGGTTCTGGGCTCAGCTGCTTGTCAGGGTTTCCATGAGTCTCTCGGCTGGCTCCTGGCTCTGCACACCAGGTGGCCGAAGCTCCCACCGAGGCAATGAGGTTGCCAGCCAGAGGCACTGGCAGCACTGGGGATTCATTATTCATGACGCAGGATGCACAGCTGCCTGCCCTGCTGGTCCCCGGAGGCTGGCACTGGCTGCTCCAGGCTGACCTGCGGCCCGAGGCCAGGGCAGGAGATGGAGGCTCAGACAGAGCTTTTCGGGAGCCAGTGCACAGCTCTACCTGCTCAGGGCTGTTGCTCAGGGGCGTCCACTGGGACTCCCCACAGGGAGAAGTCAAATCACCAGAACCAAGGAGGAGAAAAGCCCACTCTGTCTTGATGATAGTGACACAGACGATCAAGGAAAGAAACCGGGAGTCAAAGGGACAGAGGAAGTGCCAGCAGTTGAACAGTACTTATCTTACAGTAGACATTAGTAAGTACATCAGGAATGAACGATGGGTGAACGAGTGATGGTTTTTCCTTCCACACCCATCCTTCTCAGATGGTTTTGTCCTCTGGCCTGAGCATCTCTCTCATAGCACACCCTGCAGGGTGGGCCCTGCCAAAGCTTCCTTTTAGGTTCCCTTTGTCCTGCCTGGAGAGGCTGAGAAAGAGCACAGGGCTAGATCACAGGCGATGGGGAGTGGGGTGGGGCTAGCTCTGGGTTTGACCCCTGGAGGGAGTCCTGTCTTCTTTGGGCCTCACTGACAAAATGAGGGGTGTGGCCTGAAGGGCTGCTCATCTCTCCTAGCTGAAACTTGCAAAGTCCTTCTACACCTATCAGCTGTCCACCTCTGCTTTTTAAAAATTTTTTATTTTATTCATATGTACATACAATGTTTGGGTCATTTCTCCCCCCTTCCCCCCACCCCCTTTCTTTCCCCTCCCCCCCCTTATCCCCCTTACCCCTCGCTACCAGGCAGAAACTATTTTGCCCTTATCTCTAATTTTGTTGAAGAGAGAGTATGAGCAATAATACGAAGGACCAAGAGTTTTTGCTAGTTGAAATAAGGATAGCTATACAGGGAGTTGACTTGCATTGCTTTCCTGTGCATGTGTGTTATCTTCTAAGTTAATTCTTCTTGAACTAACCTTTTCTCTAGCTCCTCCTGGTCCCCTTCTCCTATTGGCCTCAGTTGCTTTAAATTATCTGTTTTAGTTTCTCTGCGTTGAGGGCAACAAATGCTATCGAGTTTTTTGGGTGTCTTACCTATCCTCATACCTTCCTTGTGTGCACTCACTTTTATCATGTGCTCAAAGTCCAATCCCCTTGTTGTGTTTGCCTTGATCTGATGTCCACATATGAGGGAGAATATACAATTTTTTGTCTTTTGGGCCAGGCTAACCTCACTCAGAATGATGTTCTCCAATTCCATTTACCTGCAAATGGTAACATTTCGTTCTTCTTCATGGCTGCATAAAATTCCATTGTGTATAAATACCACATTTTCTTGATCCATTTGTCAGTGGTGGGGCATCTTGGCTGTTTCCATAACTTGGTTATTGTGAATAGTGCTGCAATAAACATGGATGTGCAGGTGCCTCTGGAGTAACCTGTGTCACAGTCTTTTGGGTATATCCCCAAGAGGAGTATTGCTGGATCAAATGGTAGATCGATGTTTAGATTTTTAAGGAGCCTCCAAATTTTTTTCCAGAGTGGTTGTACTAGTTTACATTCCCACCAGCAGTGTAAGAGGGTTCCTTTTTCCCTGCATCCTTGCCAACACCTGTTGTTAGTGGTGTTGCTGATGATGGCTGTTCTAACAGGGGTGAGGTGGAATCTTAGTGTGGTTTTAATTTGCATTTCCTTTATTGCTAAAGATGGTGAGCATTTTTTCATGTGTTTTTTGGCCATTTGAATTTCTTCTTTTGAGAAAGTTCTGTTTAGTTCACTTGCCCATTTCTTTATTGGTTCATTGATTTGGGGAGAATTTAGTTTTTTGAGTCCCCTATATATTCTGGTTATCAGTCCTTTGTCTGATGTGTAGCTGGCAAATATTTTCTCCCACTCTGTGGTGTTCTCTTCAGTTTAGAGACCATTTCTTTTGTTGAGCAGAAGCTTTTTAGTTTTATGAAGTCCCATTTATCTATGCTACCTCTTAGTTGCTGTGCTGCTGGGGTTCCATTGAGAAAGTTCTTACCTATACCTACTAATTCCAGAGTATTTCCTACTCTTTCCTGTACCAACTGTAGAGTTTGGGGTCTGATATTAAGATCCTTGATCCACTTTGAGTTAATACTGGTATAGGGTAATAAACATGGATCTAGTTTCAGTTTTTTGCAGACTGCTAACCAGTTTTCCCAGCAGTTTTTGTTGAAGAGGCTGCTATTTCTCCATCGTATATTTTTAACTCCTTTGTCAAAGACAAGTTGGTTATAGTTGTGTGGCTTCATATCTGGGTCCTCTATTCTGTTCCACTGGTCTTCATGTCTGTTTTTGTGCCAGTACCATGCTGTTTTTATTGTTACTGCTTTGTAATATAGTTTGAAGTTGGGTATCGTGATACCTCCTGCATTGTTCTTTTGACTGAGTATTGCCTTGGCTATTCGTGGCCTCTTGTGTTTCCATATAAATTTAACGGTAGATTTTCAATCTCTTTAATGAATGTCATTGGGATTTTGATGGGAATTGCATTAAACATCCACTTCTGCTCTTTGTCTTTTGACACAGAAGTTAAGAATGAAACCCTGCACAGGTCTGGATCTCCCTGCTCATGCTCTGGTTGAGCTGGGCAGCCTCTCCGGTCACACTGTTCTCAGGTGTAAAGATGGCAAAGATGTATCCCAGGTCAAGTTACATGGGCAAAGTGCTCAGACCAGAGTCTGGTCTTGGGTAAGTGCTCACCACTAAAACAAACCAACCAACCTATGCATTCTAAGTATTTCACAACATAAAGGAATGACTTTCCAATGGCAGGGGTCACAAACAGCCCAAGCTTCACCAGCTACTAAATGCCATGTGCTCAGGCACCTGCCTATGTGGACCTCCAGGGCATTTTGCTCAATATAGGATCAGGGCATCAATGGAGTCTGTTACAGATGCAGAGTCCTGGGCCTCGCCCAGGTCTGTCCAAGCAGCAGCTCTGGGTAAGGCTCTGGAGGCTTGTTTTCACCCAGGGCTTTGAGAGACCCTGTGCATGCTGGCCCAGTGAAATGCAAAAATTCCCAGTGCCTTAACTTACACTTTCACGTCTCTGCATCAGCAAGCCATGGCATGTCACAAGGCTGGGATCTCACGATTCCTCAAGGGTTGGTCTTAACTGGATAGTGTGCCAGAAGCAATACTGAATTAAGTGAGAACACAAAAGTCATAGTCACCAGTGCCAAATGCGGTGCCAGCGCCTCGCCACACCACCAGCAGTTCAGCTCCTAGGTGTATGCACTGAGAACTGAAAACATATGCCCACACAAACACTTGAACACAAATGTCCACAGGAGCATTATTCACAATGCCATAAAGTGGAAATTCAAATCCCCATCAACTGACAAATGGATAAAACAAAATATGGTATGTCCATACAATGTGATACTAGTCAGCTATAAAAAGAATGGAGTTCTGCTGCATGCCGCACCATAGATGAACATGGAAAACATTATACTGAGTGAGAGAAGGCAGTCGTGAAAAACTAACCCTATGATTTCACCTATACAAAACACCAAGAGAAGAGAACTCCAGACAGACTGAAAGCACATTAATGGCTTTTGGGGTGGGGGTGGGAGTACAGAATAATAATTAAAGGGTATGGGATTTATTTTGGGGGCTGATGAAAATGTTCTGAAATTGACTGTGGTCATTTTTGCACTGTTCTATGAGTACATGAAAACTGTTGCGTTATACACTTTAAACGAGTGAATTGTTTGGTAGGGGAATTGTATCTCACTGAAGCCGTTACACCCCCAACCCCACTCCGCCATGTAATCTACCTCAAAGCCTCTGGGCCTTTGCTTTTGCTGTTCCCTGTGGCCATGCCCTTGAACTCGCAGTCACCTTTGGTATCAGCTCAGAAGTGAGCTCAGTATGTTTGATGTGAAGACAGATCCCAAGCACAGCAGCCCCTCTCTTCTCTGAGTGCCACTGCCCTCATCCCCCTTGACACCAGGAGGTTGGATCATTGGCTGCTGTTCCTTTTGGTGTCTCTGCTGTCCCACATAGAACATGGACCAGTGAACCAAGGAGACTCCATTCCCGATCACACTGAGGGACAGAGACAGCTGCTGGACAAATGTCCATTCGCTGAGGGAATGGTGTTTACTAGTTTGCCCTCTGGCTCTTTTATGAGACTCTGAAGAAATCTGAGGGGCGCTGGGCTTTCCCCCTGAGCAGTGAGCGGGGGGTTTTCCCTACAGGTCTTCTAGCAGCTGAGTCTGTTATAAGAATTTGCTAACCGACCCTTGTTTTCTGCTTTCCTCTTCCCATATGTGCTGTTATTTATTTGAAAAACTCCATTGTGGAAGGTTAATTTGAGGAAGCCATCTATAATCCTTTTTGGAATTGGGTGGGGTGGGGAGTAGGTGATTTTTAAAAATAGTTCAGTATGATTTTTATATGCATATGATATTGCATTATAATCTCTGATAACTGTGGTGTGTATGATAACTTTGTATCAGTGGGTGTAACTGGGGAGTGGTTTTGTTCCCCAAGGGGACACTGGGGAACAGGTGGAGACATTTTTGGTTGACACAACTAGGTGGGGTTGCTGCTGGCAGCAGGTGAAGGTTGGGACACTGCCAACTAGCAGAGAAGTGTTAATAGTGCCAGGTCCACCTGGCATTACCCACAGGCTTAACCATCTTGCAATAACCACATCATTCTAGACAAGGGAAGCCTAACATGCCTCTGGGCGGGGGACAGTCACCAGAGGCATGGGGTGGTCGTGGGCACCTTTCAAGACAGAAGTACCAGCCCAGCAAGTTTTTCTTGGGCACTTCTAACTTCCCCTACCCAGGACAGAGATGCATTGAAATACCCCTCCAACAAGGGCAGTGGAGAGGCTTCCATTTATTTGCACTTCTCTACATTTTCCAAAACTTCTATCAGGGAATACTTCTCTTACAATCAGCAAGAAAAATGCCCAGTTTTCCTTTGCCTGTTTAACCAAGGACATCCAGTTTTCAAGATAAAAATTAAAACAAAACAAAGAAGAAAGGACCAGCAGCTCTGGTGTGTGCCCAGCCTCCAGGTCATTAGCCCCAGCAGGATGAACGGAATGAGAGCTTCCTACCTGGGTCATTGCTCCAGGACACTGGAGACAACCCTCCCGGGGAGCCAGGTGCCCTGGCTTCCTGAGGCCTGTGCCCTAAAAGGAAGATTCTGGAAGGTGCAGATTTTCTACTAGGATGAGAAGGCTGTCCTCCCCCATCCTGTGCTGAGTTTTGGGTTTGGGTGGCAGGTGTGGTGCTGCACAGTAGGACTTTGTGCTGAAGGAGCACAAAGACATATGTACTTGGGGCTGCCAGGTATGTGACTGGTATGGTCCTGTACACCATACCAGCTTCTGCAAGCATTAGCCCCAGGGTTTTACTTTTTGAACTCAAATGGAAATGGCTGTTCCAGAGCCAGGGTGTCCCTTGGGTCGCTCTACCTGCAGTGGGTCTCGTGGCCCTGGAGACTGAATCTGACAAGGTCTCCCACCCCAGAAGAAGATAGTACTATGGACTGGTGGCCACTTGGGTCCAGGGCTATGTAAAAGCCCCTCAGTGCCT